TGTAATTAATGCAGAATATAATTTTCAATTGAACATATGAGAAACAAAAATATTACAAACAGCATAATATTGTTAAAAATAAACTTCACTTTACAAAAACAGATATGAACATAATTTTATGCATATAAAAAGAGATGTGTTAAATACTTAGAGGCGTTTTGACAGATAGTTTTGGAAAATTATGGAATGTGGAAGAAGCGCATTACCTATGAAATAAAATGCATATGTCCGCATGGTATCAAGAAGATCATCGGTAATGGCACTCTTTATAACTGATATGTCCACAGTACTGTTCGTGTCCGTCGTTATGAATGACAAATATGGCCTAAAAGTAGCAAATAAACAAGATTTATGAATGAAGCATTAATAAAGCAAGGAAACACTAGTAACTTCTAGTATATTATATAATAAAATTCATATTTTCACTGTAAAAATGTATTTTTCACTGCAGTGAAACATATTTTCCGTATTTTCACTGATGTCATGCCGGACTACTTTCTTCTAAATTTAGACAAAACATAAAATTTAAGAAGTAGACTTTCAAATTGAAATGTCAAAATTTCAAAAAAGAGAAAAATGTATATAATAAATAAAAAAAAACAAGTTTTTTTTCTATAAAAACAGAACTCACTTTCATCTTGGGATATAAAAATTGTCATATTTCACTTGTGGCAACCGCAACTCATGAAATATTTATTTTCATACCACTCGATTAAAATAAGTCCTCTATTACAGAAAGAAAAAAAATTTGAATATCCTTTATTTATAAATGTGTCGTGAAACAAAGCAAGAAAACATTTGTATCTATATGCACAAAAATGCATATTTTCATTATTTGTCTTTTCACTGTAAGAATTACATTTCACTGTAGTAAAACTTATTTTCCATATTTTAACCGATATATATAATGCGAGACTACTTTCTTCTAAAGTCAGCCAATGCACAAAATAAAAGGGGAAGTCTTTCGAAACGTAAGGTCAAAAAAGAGAGAGCAAAAAAAATATAAGAAACAGAAAAACTTCTATTCCGTTGTGTTTTTTTTTCCTTTTTTTGACAGTGTATAGTTTGTGTAGGCTAAAAAAATGTTGTATGAACATGAGAACATAGTGAAAAGATTCGTATTCACACATATACCATTTGATAAATCAAATCAAAGATAATATATCTAAATGCAATTAACAGTTAAGCCTGGCTTCCCGTTACCCCGGAAATAATTATGATTGGATTGTAGGGAAACCACACACCCTTGTGAATGATAAGTTTCGTTTGAATATTTTCCTGTAGTGAGTTGTCAATAAGCGCATGTTTAAATACAACCCTTGCTTTCCCAATAACGGGATTTCGCTTCTTATTTTAATTTAGAGCCACTTGACTCTCATCGATGCAGGTTCGAGCCGTGAAAGATTCTTCGGACTCTTTCAGGTGAAAAGGCTATCCAGCTAGCTTACGGAATGTTGGTGGTACTAATCAGATGCCCGTTTATGCCTGAAATAAAGCACTTGAGGTCTTAATTCCTCCACCTTAAGCTGAAAAGTCGCCATATGGCCTATACTGTGTTGGTGAGATATAAAACCCAATTAAAAAATAATAATAATTTGAAGTGCACACGCGTTTATTGCCCTTCTTTACAGTAAGTCAAGTTTCATTGTGTTATATTATCAGTTTTGTTTGTAACATAGACCACCGTGTATATCAGTAATGCCGGAATGTAAAAAATACGCATGATTCGTGCAATAAGAAACGCAGAAATGTGCAATAAATTGCGACTATCTGACAGGATTTCCAACGCGGTAAGTAAACTGGCCAATATATGAAAAAAATGACGGTGTAGACACTTTAACGGTCATATGGTCATATTTCCAGCCTTACTTGTACCCCCTTCGTGAATAATTCCAGGAACCAGAGGAGATTGTATAAGTCGGCAACATTTTATATGGTCATTATGACTTCAGAATATTAATCAGTTACGTAAATATAAGAATATACAGAACATATATTACTCTAAAAGATCCGGGTCCTTGATCACTTGTTCAGATGTGAAGTTAAGTTTTGCCAGTGTTCCTAGACTCACCAACTGGTCGACGGCATATTCGTACTTGCCGGAATTAACGAACAGGTCCGTCATTTCACCGAACACGATGATCATCAGCGGAAACGCTGTCCCGTGAATCATTGCGCATAGCGTTCCTAATATCATAAACAGTCTGTCCCGCTTTGTTGAATAGCGAAACTAAAATGGAATGAACCATAAAAATGTTATGCCAAGAATTCCCTGACATGGACATAAATCGTATACGAATCAGTTAAAAAGCACACAAGAACACAATATATGTACATAAAGATTAATGTTAAATCTATATATCTTTTTCGTTAATAACATTTTTGTTAAAACAAAAACAAACTTAACATAATCTTGAAAAAAAAGATGAATAAAAATCAAACATTGAGCGTGTTTAAAATGCGATAAATAATTTCTAAGTATGTTAGGTAAAGTAACAATCTGATCTCCCCGGCTATTATGCTCTGCGATAGAAACTTTACGGAAATAGCCGATGTTTTCCGATTTGTACCGAAAAGGCTATGGATACTCTGCTTGCATCAATGCTCATAATACAATGTATGTGAATCATTAAAGACCCATTATGTTTCAGAATTGCTTTTTGATTTAAGTGTACTCTTATAGTATCAAAAAGTTACTCATTTGCCAATTACTGGAATCGTCTATCACATCTGTTGCTTTTTGGCAGCAAGTACAGATTAAAGTGATTTAGTATTTTGTATGGAAGCCAAAATACTACTTTGTTTACATTTTGCTTCTTTATGGCAAAATTATTTCACATTTATCGCTACTTTTTTCAGTAACAAGCATTTGACATTTCTCTTAAACCATTATTCAAGCATTAAAAATTCGTGTTTGTCCCTTCTAAAACAGTAAAATTTTATTTGTTTCTGATAATGTGCCTTAAATGTGTAAAAAGCCTGCTCTTAATATTGCAGTGATGCAACGAATCACCAGAAAATGCACTACAAGTTTAAAACATTGAAACCTTGACCTTTGACCTAGTAACAGAATGGTTCGTCGTTTTGATATGGCAATAATCACAGTGAAAATGTTGAAGAATTGTGGTAGACAATATTGACCGGTTTTTCAATGTTTATATTTGAGTTCATCGAATTGACGTAAAATGAGTTTGGAAGACAATGTCGGAAAGAGGTTTCATAGTATATGTCACTGTTACCTTGAAAGTTGACATCTGACCTACTGACCTTTAATTAAGCTAACAGTTGCATGCACGTTTATTACGTGAAGGCATTTATCACAGCTGTATACGGTAAACCAAACGGGCAGGCGAGCCACTCATGATCCTTGGAAAACATGCACAATCTATAGTGATTTTCCATTTTTAGCGGAATTTATCACGATTATTCAGTGTCTGTATTGGTGCATGTATATACTGTATGTGTACTTGAATTCGCGGAAGAAAATTGCACAGAGAGGTCCATTTTGGGAGCCTTTACAAGTATTCGCGCTATTTTAAACTCGGAAAATTATAAATTCTGGTTAGAAATTAAAAGGGAAATTACTCCTCCTTTTTGAAAGGTGTAAAATACGGACGGATGCAGACAAAAATCACGCTAAAAGTTTTTTCTTTAAATAGGTCGAAACATCAAGGGGTAACCGGATAGACGGTTTTGGTTTATCGCAAACCTGTGTGTTATCATCAACATTTTAATTGATACTTATTGAAGCGTTGAATAAAGAGTATCATTACGTTACAAAACATATTATGATGGAAAAGTTTAACATAAATCTCCCCGTTGATTTTTGTAACATGTTGTGAAACGTGTCATGTGAGACTTGAGGAATGAATATATAAAAATTTAAACGATAGTTATCTTGAGTGTCATATATCAATAAACTATTCCCCCAGCGGATGTTTTATTTAAATTTGATGTAATAAAATTTGCGTGTGTGCTTGATTTTGAACTCTGAATTTTTTGCCTAGATGTGTGTGTTTGTTGCAATATTATGGTAACACGTACACCATCAGTTAATAGTTGAGGTTTATGTATCTGGGCAGTTTCATAAATGACCGAAGTTTTTATATACATTTTGATATCTGTGTAGATACATGTAGTTGGATATTTCCCGATTTTTACAATATTAACCTCCCTTGCCAAAGTGGAAGCCATTTTGGGGTACACATGCTACCATGAATATGTATTAAAGACCCATGATGCTATAACATTGCTATTATTTTCATTGATCAAAAATGTTATGTACAATATCCGAGAAAGTATGCTTATACACAATGAGCCTATTTTTGAACCATCTATATTTGGAAAATGGCACCGTTGTATTGATACAGTATTTTTGTATGGGAGTCCAAATATCATTTGTTTACATTTTGCAACCTTTTTTACAATTGATTCACATTCAGCGCTATTTCTTCTGGTGATAAACCTGTCATACGTTTAAAATATTTGTAGATCTATCAAAAATTATTAAACACATGTTTGCCTTTTCTCAAGAAAACAAATATATTCAATTCTGAGGTATAATGTGCCTTTAAAAAGTGGTTACAGATATCAATGTATTTTGAAAAATAGTTTCATACGCAGCTTATTATTAGATGAGAAAAACTGCTAGCTTACATTAAAAGTTTCATTTCTGTTTTCTCTTTTCCATGAATTATTCTGATATGAAACGTTATCATCTGGTATTATGTTTTGAATGAATCAATGAATAATTGAAACATTTCATCAAGTCAAAAGTTAAAATCGATTTGTGTAATAAGCAAATAAAAAAAGTATAGAAAGATTCGTTCTTACGACTTCGAAAAGCCCGACCATGGGCGTTTCTTCCTCTTTTTTCTCGTCTGCTTTACTGTCCGTGTCACCGTCTTTTTTGTCTTCCTTCCCGCCATTGGCGGATTTCTCCGGCAGTTCATCAACGCTTTTATCGTAATTTGTAGCGCTAAATCCGTTCATCGCAACGCTATCTCCCGCCTTTTCTGAAACCCTGTTCATCTCGACAACTTCCTGATATTTAGGCGGAGGTGGTATATTTTCAGGGCTATCATCAATTGCGGGTTTCACTTGGTTATTTGACACCTCTTCCGTACCGTTCTGATTTCCGCTGACAGAACTGCTGTCAGACTGCTCAGCTGGAGTTACGCGCCCTGAATATATAATTCGTTATTCCAACTCAACAATTGGGATGTGAAAAGATAGATATAAAACGAAAAAAAACACAGAAATGACAATGACAATGACAACACCTTCTTACTAGTTTTAAATGAGACCGTTCCCTCTAATTATCTATTTTCATCAATGAACACATTCTGGAAATACAAACGATACACTTGTACATAACACGAACAGAACACAAGTAGATTTTCTATTTGCAAATCATAAATCATATCATCCTTTAAGCTGTGTATTTCAACCACTTATGTCTTGAAATGTCAACTTACAGTTTGATATTTTGTAATTTATTACAGAAAGTAATGGAGGTTTAATTATTTCAGAATAGTGGGGTCCCGCAGTTTGAATATTGCCACAAATACTTTCACCTCATTTCCATCATTAGTATATCATTCAATTGTAAAAAGTAGCCTATAAGAACACAAAGTTCAAAAACTAAATGATTATGAAAGCGAAGTGAGTGTTTGAATTCCATTGTTGGAGTAAAAAAAAAGCAAGGTTACCTTTCATTTTTTTCAGCGTAGAAATAAAGTGACGTCACTTCCTTTAGAAAAAACATATTCTTACATAATAATTTTATAGAACAGTATGACGTAACGTCGTTTAGTAAATCAACGTAAACGTGACAATTAGCGCTTATTTAGAAGAAAGCTTATGTATAGACATAATTAAACATATACTGTGCTCCTCTTAGTTCACGGTACTTAACACTTTAAAACAGTAAAGAACACAAACAATAAAGTTACACTACAAAAACTGTCATAAACTGTATCATTTAGTCATTTTTCTGCTATATGACACAAGGAAACAACAATATATTCAATCAAAATTAGTTTTAATTTGTCAGATGTAAACAGTGTGTCGACCATTTTGAAAACAGTATGTCATCATTTACCTCGCGGTAATGGTGTTTTATTTCAGTTTTTTCATGTTTCAGTAAAAAAAAATTAAGTTATTTTGCATAATTTTAAATATTAAAAGTATTTTTACATTGTAACTCAAAATTTATTTTTTCAACAAACAAGAACATTTAGAAAATGATGATTGTTTCAGACGTATGCACAATTTTAATGGACTATTGTTGTTTTTTGCAGAAGTTTGTAAAATGTTGTTCAGTTTTACGTAAAATTCTATAGATTTAAATTATTTTGCACAAAACCTTTGTTGTTAAGGTGTTTGAATAAAATATGTCAATTCTGACCAATTATAACACTGGTCACATGAAAATATGCCATTACCGTGAGATAAATGATGTCGCGAAATTAGTGATGTTGAGTATACTGTTTATTTTACATATAATAAAAATGTAAGTATGGAATAATTTACACCAGTGTCTTTCAAATAAAATTCTGTTTGAAAGACCACTTTTACATATGTAGCGGATATTGAATGAGTGTAGGTTTAATACTAAATTTATTGAACGAGTTGAATAAAATCCTAATCATTATAATTATGCGAGCCTTTTCACCATCGTACTGTCGCGTTTTCACCATCGTAGATTCGTGATTTCGCATTTTCATCATCGTACTGTCGTGTTTTCATCATCGTACTAAAGCGTTTTCACCATCGTACTATCGCGTTTTCACCATCGTACTATCGCGTTTCATCATCGTTTTGTCGTGTTTTCATCATCGTACTATCGCGTTTTCATTATCGTACTGTCGTGATTTCGTGTTTTCACCATCGTACTATCGACTATCGCGTTTCAGATTAACACATTCATAGGCGATGGCCCTAACGGCATTCCGTACTTTTTAACCGATACAATTATTTTTTTATTGTTAATAACTTCACAACAACACATTACATAATTTATCACATATTCGTGTGGTTTTTGCCCGTTGCAAGTCCTGTAAAAGGGTTATTGATATTTTATTTTATTTTTATTTCTATGGACCCCACTGGAAATAAGCATTTAGCTTAATGGGCTATCCATAGGTGCATAGTACCTCTTATTTTATTTTTTATGACAAAAGTGTGCTCTTTTATGCTGTTTTATGATCTCATTTTATATATATGATTTATTTATGTTATCTCTTAACTGTATGATTTTATATTTTGTATCATGTGCTATGTTCCTAAAATGTATAAATAAAAAAAAATAAAATAAAAAAAAATTTGACGTGACGTCATATACGTTATGCAGACAGCGTAAAGACGCGTTTCACTTAGAGCGTGTCAATGAAAAAGACTTTTTTCTAACAGTTCTTACTTTGGAAATATGGTATTCTTATATTTTATTTTGCCTACACCTTCGTGTCGAGCCTGATAAATTTTACAATATCAATTCTATGTATCATGTCTTCAAATTTAATATGCGTATCTTTTTTTTTTCTTTTTTTTTGAAATTTCAAATGTTATGAACCTCTCGAGTCCATGGTGTGCGCAGTAATATGCCACACGTAATATCTGTAAAAAGTAGTCCCAAATGTTTAAGCCAAATGCAAGAGAGATTTTAATGTTAAAACATTTTTTTCAGTGTTGTAATTTAGGATGTAACAAGTAAATAAGTGAATTTTTATATATGTATATGATTATTCTTCTAAAACAATTTCCAAACATCTAAGAATATGTTAAATATGTACTGCAAATGTTTATTCGCATTATAAGTAATCATTAAAATCTATGCATTTATTTCTTACTTTAACTTTATCGAAAATAGATTCCTAATTACCTCCCTTTATTTACATGAAATGTAAATTCGGTAATATCTTTACAAATAATGCTTTTTTTTAACTAACAATATTTGATAAATCTTTATTTGAGCATCAGATTTATGATATAAAACCATAAAAAATTGAGTTACATGATCTAGAAATATTTTCAAACTTTTAGGTGGTTAAATATTCCGTTCTCTTCATTTTATTTCAATATGAATTCATGGGGAGTTTGATAAAGCTGAGCTAGGCGACGGATAAACTCATGCATGAAGTTAAATTTATCAAGCATGTACTTTATCAACAGAAATCAACGCAATCACATGATAAAATTGTATTCGACTGGTTCAATAAATAGAGGATATTAAGGTTTTTTCTATAAATACATGATTTATTTTCATCGAGTGGTATGAAAATAAATATTTCATGAGTGGCGGTAGCCACGAGTGAAATATGGTAATTTTCATGCCACAAGATGAAATAAATCATGTATTGATAGAAAAAACTTAAATTTTCTGTTTATTATATACATTTTTCTCTTTTTATGCGATAAAAATGAAAGACTTTCCCTTAAATTTTGTGTAGTGGCAGAATTTAAAAGAAAGTAGTCCGGCAAGACACCAGTGAAAATACGGAAAATATGTTTCACTGCAGTGGAAAATAAATTTTTACAGTGAAAATACGGAAAATGAAAATACTCATTTTATTTCATCAATATTTCTCAATATTTCATTTATAAGTATATAATAAATTCAGTTTCGAACCTATATTCATTCAATATCCTTTATATAAAACATTATAATACTGCACGTTTGTAACGTCGTTTTTCATTCGATAATCATGACGTTTATATAATCTATATACCCGGCTTTAGTTCATATATGATTTTTTTGTAATAAAGGAAGTTTGCAGTATTATAAATTCGTTACAAAAATTAGATAACAGATTAGATAACTGTTTATAAAACTGCACGTTTGTAACGTCGCTTTTCATTGGATAATCGTTACGTTTATATATACACGGCTGCTATCGATTTATGAAGAATTCTTACTTTTTTCTCTGAAAAAAATGATGCTGGCTGTATTATTAATTCGTTATAAATATTCCTGACAGGTTATATGGCCGTATTTAAACGGTTGTTTGCGATATAATCCTCACCTAGCGGCTCGGGTTATATTTCCAAACAACCATTTACATTATAAGTTATAAAGATTGTTGACAGGTTATATGGTCCGATATAAACGACAGTTTGTGAGAAAAGAGAGATTTTTACATAAATCGACAGCAGCTGTGTATATTATTAGTTATAGTAATGTTGTTTTATATACAAACAAGCATTTATATAGAGCCACATAGAGCCATATAACTTGTCAAAAATCTTTTTAACAAATAATATAACGTTTTTTGTTGCAATATAACTGTCTCCTAACGGTTCGGGCTAGATCTACATCTAGCCGTTTATACAGGGCCATATACCCTGTCAAAATTCTTTATAATAAACTAATAATAAAATATTAGGTGATTCACTTACCGCTGTGCATGTCCTCTGAAGTCCTTCTCTCACAGAAGTAAGACAATTCCTCAAACAACAGCTGACACTTTTATGTAAATTCTAACATGTGAACGTATTCCAAAATTGAACTTTCAAGACAGCGTTAATAAGGATTAAAATGTTATAGATTTAAATTTAAAGAACCTTAAATGTCCAAACACGCTTATAGGTCAAACTGAACGATAAATACGAAGCAATTGTAATTCTGTCTACAGATTATTTCTCGCTTAATACCCGTTGTTACCTTCACAGGTAAAACCTTTTAACCGTAACAACGTAAATGTATGTCCTTAAAGTACCTTAAATGTGTCAGCTAAAATATAAACACTTTAGTCCAGCTAAAAAGATGTATCTTAATTTCATATAGTTATTTGAAAATATAATTTTAAACCCGTGTTCGTAGTAATATTTATATACGACGAATTTATAAGGCAGCACTCGCGTGTGCTGTATTTTGAACTGATCGATTATATAAAGGTATAACAATCGATATACTAGCATACAGTATATATCTACCGTGTGCTATTTTGTGAACCGCGGGGATTTTTTTCTCTCAATAAAAATGTTTCCTGTGCCATTAAATGAACTTCTTCGATCAATTTAAAGGTGACTCGACTGTTTCGTTGGAACTCACACCAAGATAAAATGCAATATAAAATATACAAATACAACACATGTAGGTTACGAGTATGTGACGGGTAAGCTTAAAATAATGCGGGGATTTTTTTTTTTTTTACTTTAAATGCACTGATTCAACTTGTATCACTCAATCTTTATATTGATAATTAGTCAGTTTTAGAAATATAATAACAATTACTATCTTGTAACTGTTTAAAGAAAGATTTCTAACTATTCTCAAATGATAAAGCAAAAATAACAGTAACAACTAACGAGACAACAGGCCCCTGTTTTAAAGGCCCATTAAGCGACACAGTTGTTGCCACGTCTATTTCTCAAAAGACTTTTTTAATTTTGGGTTTAATGTTACTGTTTCCAAAAATGTTGGCCATAAAATTTAGCCATTTTTCCCATTCTGGCCACTAGTTTAGTTGCATATAGCGATTTGATATTTAATTTCATTTTTCTCTTATAAAGAATGTTTCCAGTATTATAAATTCGTTAATTAACATTTTTTAACAGGTTATAGGCCTAAAAGCTCGGGTTATATACAAAGCAACCGTATATATATAGCCATATAACCTGTCAAAGTTCAGTAGAACTAATTGTGTAGTCATCCTTTCGTGTCAGCAAATTAACCTAACGAGCATTTAATCAGCTTAAAGAATTTCAACAGGCATCATTTTACAATTGTGATATTGGATTTTCTCAAGCTTTTATTTTATTAGTTATAAATAGTTTTATAATCTTTTATGGCCCAATATAAACGACTTAAAGGAAATATGACCCAAATCTCTAGGCAACTGTATCTCGTGTACAAAATAACCGTCTAGAAAACTACATAGTTGCTTCCCTTGATAAAAATAAAGCTTGATTCACAAATTTGCAGCCGACATCGTTTACAGAACACAAATAAGACGATTTTCAAATTATACATTAAACCTGTACTGTATCATAAAAAACATACACCGCAAAGCTGATATAGTTTTTATGGCTATCAATTAAGGATACCACTATCCCATGTTTATTATATTGCCCTAAAAATGGCTGCCATTTTGGCAAGGGAGGTAAATATTGTAGAAATTGGACTCAGCCTATTCTACGATAAACAGCGATAGTGACCGTGCACTAAATTCCCCTAAATTACTAAACGTTTTGTGTTTGACCCCCACCTCCCCAACCCCGCCATTCCTTTTCCCCTTTAAATCATTTTGCACTGAGATACTTTATGGTATTTACAATTGTCAGTTTGTGATCGATTATTTATAGGATCTAATACAATGTACATACATATGGAGATTTTGTAATCGATCTGTCCCTAACAAATGGCATCGATTGATAAATTTGCCACTTAAACAATTGCACGAGGTCAAACTGATATTAACTGTACTCGGGCTTTATTAAATCATTCTATATCGTAATGATTTATTTACGGATCTCTTTCACATTGACTGGCAGACTGTATTTGGAGAAATATAACTCCCGATATTATGGAAACAAAAAGAACATTATACATTTTTTTTTCAAATGTTAAACCGTTGATTACATATTTATTTATTAATAAATGAGATGACTTTTGTTCTAACGTTCACCCGGTTCCTCATTAAATTGCTGAATACTCAAGCGCATTTCGTGCATTTAAAGGCACAATATGCCTCAGAAGTATATGAATTTTCAAGCGTTTAGAAATGTCAAATATGTTTCAATTATGGATTTATATGTAATCCGTGTTTTTTTTCTAACTGTAAATGTAGCGCTGAACGAACGTAAAGTTGTGTGTCAAAACTCATAAGGGTAGCAAAATAGTATTTTGACTTCCATTCAAAATATTAATTCACTACGATTGTGCCAATTGCCAACAGAGTCAAGAAAGCAAACGATTGATCATCTATGTGAAAAATGAGGTTTTTTTTTTTGAAACTGTTACAAGATATCAGAAATAAAACGTTGATGAGAATAAAAAATAAATGTTGTTGAGGAATCATGGGCCTTTAAGAAATAGTATGTAACTATGGAACGCTAGGAGAAACGTATAGCAAAAACCTTAGCAATATCACGGGGTAGGAAGTGTAACACGAGGGAGATAATAATAATTTGGAAATTTAACTCAAAACTACCAGATTTTAAGCAAGAGGCGATGAAAAATGGACTATGAATTAGTTGTTGACACATAATACAATATGTAAGGCAAGCTTAATCATTAAAATTTAATTCAGCACCTAAAACCCACTTTTTAAAAATGAAAATTTCCATTTTTGACGAGTGTTTTTGTAGTATATTTAATAGTTTTCCGGCGAACTCCGTGACAGTTATCACAAGAACTCCTTGACAAGTTATCATAAGAAGTACATGCCTCGTGTAACACTTCCTCCCCCGTGAATATGCTGACTGATTATTTAGTGATTTCATTTTACTAAAATAATTCACTTCAAACTTAAAACAATTGCCATTATAAACACATGTGTCATGTGAGGCAAGGCTCATAACTCTAGCACATATGTTCTAAGAATTGTCTCCCCTTATTTAAACAATTTTAAATACATCTTCTTTGTTAATTGACACTTAAGACAGTTTTCTACTTTTTCTTCTTCTTCTTTGTTGTTGTTGTTTTTTTGTTATTGTTGTATTTTCATCACTCACAAAAATTAATGTGCGGTAAGATTCATAATTTTATTAAAAATTCATAATTTATTTGAATAGTCCTTTGAATAAAGAATTTGGCTTAAAAGAAGGTTATTTTTAACGATAGTTATACCTGAAGGATATACTTCAGACATTCATTCACATCATGTATACACCAACATCTATATTCCATGATGATTGTAATAACCGGTAGTAATAATGGTGATGGTAGTAGAAATGGTAGTGGTAGTAGAAATGGTGGTGGTAGTAGCACTAGTAGACGTGCTGGTGGTAGTAATGGTGGGGGTAGTAAAAATGGTAGTGGTAGGAGAAATGGTAGTGGTAGTAAAAATCGTAGTGGTAGTAGAAATGGTAGAGGAAGTAAAAATCGTAGTGGTAGTAAAAATAGTAGTGGTAGTAGCACTAGTAGACGTGCTGGTGGTAGTAATGGTGGGGTAGTTAAAGAAGTGGTGATGGAAGAAGTAGTAGTGGTAGTAGATGTAGTGGTGGTGTTGGTGGTGGTGGTGGTAGTAGTAGTGGTGATAGTAGCAGTAGTAGTAGTAGTAGTGGTAGTAGTGATGGTAGTGGTGTTATTGATTGTAATGGTAGCAGTGATTGTGGTAATGATGTTGGTAGTTGTGGTGGGAGTGGTGATGGAAGTGGTAGTGGAGGTGGTGTTATCAGTTGTGGTGATAGTAGTAGTAGTGATGGTATTATAGGAGTTGTGGTGGTTGCAATGGCAGTAGTGGTGGGGGCGGTGGTGGTAGTGGTGGTAGTAGTAGTAGTAATGGTGTTTGCAATGACAGTAGCATTTTCGATATTATTCTTTTATTTATAAGATAATGTTATTTGTAGAAGTGTTTGGTGTAATTATTAAAAGAGCTTTAGCATGAAGTTTTAAGTTTTATTAGCAACTATTATCATTAATCCGACTTGACCACTCAACAGTTAGTAGATTTTATGTGTTTGGATTTTCTGTTTGATTAATTCAACACAGTTTGTTTATTTTAGTACATTAGTATTGACAGTGTGTGTTTGACCGATACACTTGTAGGTTTCCACTTGATGGTCAAATAATATTTTACAAACTGAACGGAACAATGTTTAAATATATACATGTGCTTTCAGTTGCCAGTGGATATTGAACAAATACTGTGTTTTTATACAAAGTGAATGGTTTGTTTGAAGTCGAAATTGATCAATTCTCAATACGGGTATATGTACATGTAGTATAAATTATGAAACAGGATAAATATTAAAACGAAAATAAATATAAGTTTTATGAACTGAAAATGATTAAAATAGTAAGACCCACAAGATTTTACAGCTTTTTCTGCCTATCCTAAAATGTATTGCGTAAATATTGTTCACGTGTAAAATGTAATTATGTTTTATAAATATGTACTAGTTAGTATTACAATTTCGGTATTTTGCTGGTTATATGACCTAGCCACTCAGCTTATATTATGCCATATAACCTATTATGCTATATAACCTATCACAAATCTTTATAATTAATAATGTACTAGGAATGATCATCCAAATAAAGAATAATATTTAAAGTATTATAATAATATCTATAAAAATACGTGTTATCTACTGAAAATTTGACATGCTAAATTTGTCACAAAATTTGCCCATCCTAAAATCAAAAGCGTATTGATTGTACACGCTAAATCGAGAAACAAGAACCGTTTACACTTTTAGAGGGAAAAAAAACAACACAATATGATTACATTTATAAGTACATATATGAACACAGTGTAGTTGAAAATGCAAATAAGATCAGGTGCTCGGAAATTTTGTGAAGTGAAGGTGAAACAATTGTGTAAAATTGTGCATTTTGTTGAGTTGTTATTGCAGTCTGCTTTAGGCAGTTGAATAATTTTCATAATATAAATTGAAAATATTTGCTATGTAAACATGAGTGACAGAAAATTTGATTAACATAATATCAAATCAAAGGAAAACCATCAAATTTACGTCATTGAGATATTTGCATCTTCTTGGAAAATCTTAGGTGGGGACTTCTGAAACCAACAAATTTGATGAAGTCGGCGATTGTTAATATAACCATTTGTTTTTGTCGTATGGTTCTTCTCTATGATAGAATGAATGCCTGTATAGGATATAAAACAAACGCCATGATAATTTAATAATAGAAGAGAAACAATTTCTGGTGCAAATCTTAGAAATATATTCATCAAAGTGCACGGCTCCGAAATACAGAAACAATCAATGGAAAGTTGCATGATATAGTGAAACATAATGATAAACAACAATTACCTGTAAAGGACATAAAACAAACGCCTAGATAATTTAATAAAAAAGAGAAACAATTTCTGGTGTACACCTTAGAAATATAATTGAGCCGCGTCACGACAAAACCAACAAAATGGGTTTGCGACCAGCATGGATCCAGACGAGCCTGCGCATCCGCGCTGTCTGACCAGGATCCATGCTGTTCGCTATCAGTTTCTCTACTTGTAATAGAGTTGGTAAGCGAACAACATGGATCCTGATCAGACTGCGCGGATGCGCAGGCTGGTCTGGGTCCATGCTGGTCGCAAACCCATTATGTTGGTTTTGTCGTGACGGGGCTCAATTATTTATCAAAGTGCGCATGTAAAAACTGTGGTCCGGCATGCAAGTTATAGCTAAATGAAATATAAGTAATTAGTAGGATGAAAAGATGATGAAATAAAATAATATAGGAATGATATAGGATAATGGATTGTATATCGGACTGTAGAGAAATATAACATATAGATTACAGACAAATACACAAGATACATGTATATATACAAAATAGAGGACATAACATAAAACGATATTCGTTACGAATTACGACAATGGAATATCGACCACATGACAATAATAGCAAATAAAAGGAAAATTTGACAAAGTTGGCGATTTTTAATCATTTGTTGTTTTTTTCTTCAAAACACCCAAGTGATCTCTTTTCCAGAATTTTGAAGACTGCACATATGAAAACTGTCAGCTCGTGTTGATAGTGGTATTAAAAAGACGTAATTTTTTAGTCATAACTCCGTTCCTTCAAACAAATGTAAGTGTTATATGTCTATGTGGCATCATTTGGAATGTAGTATTTGTAATTAATCAAATACTTTAACAATAAGTCCGTCTATTTGTCCGACTTCAGTGTTCGTACGGTTGCCTGTCGACTTTGGACAGTTAAAGAATTGTATATTTACGCCTGTATTATCATCAATGCCTTCTGCTATATCTCGTCGTTGTTGACTTCCGAAATAACTGTGACCGTCGGCCATAATTATAAGTATCACCGAATACATAACGTCCGGTTTTATCCGGAGTGGCTGGTCAAATAAAATTTCATCGGTATAAATAAAAGCTTTCTGCTTCATATGAGTTTATACAGACACCATCCATTATTAGCAATTCTTGTTCACCTTCCAATACAGTGATTTTTCCTTGACAAGGTTTTTCAAGGTCATATGAACGAAAAATGTTGATTCCCGCCAATTTTACAAATCCGCTTGAAATTTTGAAATTTATACCATGCTGTTCACCCTTCTTGATTACGAAAGGCACATTCGAATCATAAAGAAACTGTTTGATTACTTTATTACTGATGACGTCCCGTCTTGACTCAGTGTTGAATCGGAACCCTTGCGGTGTTTCAAAAGGTTTATCGAGCATGTATTGAAATATTTCCACCTTTTCTTCTGAGGATAGAATATTTTCTTTGGCAACTGTAGAAGAGAACATTTCTTTCGGTATGTTTGTAAATCGTATAAGATATACCAGGTCACCTAGAGTTTTCCTCAGCTCTTCATTGCCTTTACTCTCAATACATAGGTTATCTAATTCATAATTCCCCTTTTGTCGAATTGTTTCTAATGCCCATCTCTTGCATGCCTTGTAAATATCTTTCTCTGGAGCAGACATGCCATCAGATTCGAGTATTTTCCTCAAGCATTCCTCGGAAAGTGAACAAAACCCGGCGGATTCTATAACGTCTGAGCTGTGTTTCATGATAAATTGCAGACATTTCTCTTCAAATTCTTCGTCAGGACAAATTCTACTTGACTCAGTGAGAATACAGCAAACGTTATCGACCGATATCTCAAGAACTCTATGCACCTTCTTTCTAGTTCTACAATTTGGTATTTCTTCGCAGCGTACATAAGTTCCATTGCTGACCCGGATTCTAACTTGCATTGTGTCGTGTACATGAACCTGAAAATGACAACAATGGCATACACATCTCTAGCCTTGTTTGTTGTTCTTGAATTACAATAATGTACAAAAGAAAAGTTAAAATGATACAAACATTTTTTTCAACATGGTACTTGTAATTGCTAAATGACCTTGCTCACATTTACATATGAAAAACACTATTTGTGTTCACTAAAACTCTTCAGAGATTACCAGCGGTCCGGTTAGCTCAATAGGTAGAGCGTTGGAGCGACCCGGGTTCGATTCCCGGACGGCGCAGGTCATTTTCGTTGTGATTGATCATGAAATGCTTTCATTCGCACTGTACCTCTGCTCTGGCCTTGCGAAACTGACGGCAACTAGTACTGGTAAACTGCTTGACAGCCTGCCCAGGAACGATGCGGTGGTTGAACTGTGCTCTCGTGAATTCAATGTTGCTTACTGTTGTGATCTGGAGTGAAAACTACCAACACCACCACCACTCAGAAATAACCATCATCGAGGGTGTTATTTCAGTTCAAGGGTTGCTAATGTTACAGGGTATAATTAATAATGAACTTTTGGCGTAGGTTTGTTAATTTAATATATAATACGAAGAAAAAGCCTAAAAACATAAATACATGATTATAATACAAGTTAATTAAAACATACATAAAATACAACAATACAACAATTGAACGATGTAAATAAGAATTATTTTAAGTAAATGAATTAAATGAAAATAATTTTACCACAGCGTCTCAATAAATAACTTAATAATAAGTTATTTTTAAAAATTTTATTTATAAACTTAAAGAATTTATGTACTAAGTAGAATAGTATATTTTAACTTGTAAGAGAATAAAGACGAAGTGAAGTGAAGAAGGAAAGTTTGCGGGAATTTGGAAGAAAGGAAATGTTAAAAACCAATTTAAAACTTGTTTTTAAAACTTTTTTATGCAACGTACAAAACGATTGGACATACAAAAACAGTTTACAAAATTGCACGAGAAACAGACATAGTTGAATTGTTTTGGCCGTTTTCGTGAATTTCCGCTTATAAGCGTAGTTACGAACCATTGATAAAAAATAGCAAAACGATAACAAAACGCCACGGGACAAACATAATTGACGCATTTCGCGAATTAAGATTCTTTCCGCGAAAAATGACAAAACAGTGCACGGCAAAATAAACAATTAACATAATAAATAAAACAACCCGTAACACTAATATGCACTATTTACTTGTGAGACATTATGCTTTTTGTATATTATACCGAGCCAATATTTTTATGTAATTTTTCACCGCGCCGAGAGCCATTCAGCATAAAGTTTTTTCAGGGGAAAGAACTAGAACATTACGTTTTCTTCAGTCTTTATACATTACTCGCCCCTAGATGCAAACTCCTCACAGTGATTACCTCCCTTGGCAGAATTGTACAGACGTCACATGATGCAAACTCCTCACAGTGATTACCTCCCTTGGCAGAATTGTAATCACTGCCTTCAAAGACGTCACATGATGATGAAAGTCACATGACGTAACGTCGAAATTCAAATGTAAATATCGACCGTTACAAAGAAAATCTAACGTTATTTTTCTCTTTCTGTTTTATTTTTAACTTTTAGTGCCTGCGTTCGATATAGTTTATCAAAAAATTATCGAAAGTATACAAAATAACGAAAATAAATTCAAAAGCTAAAAAATATAAAATATCAAAATATCGTCTCGGTAGAAAATAATCTCATAATTTTTAAAATTATTTCTAAATAATTATATTATTTATTTATTCATTCATAAACATTGTTAAATAAATGAGAGAAAACTTATCTGATAGATAAAAGCAGTAGATAAAACAATTTTTGAAAAAATATAGTATATCAGAAATTCTGATATATCGGGACCTTGGTGGCAGAGATCTACGCCGAAGAATTAAGGGGAGATCACTGTGTGGAGATTGCACATGATGATGAAAGTCACATGACGTAACGTCGAAATTCAAACGTTACATAGAAAATCTTACGTTATTTTTCTCTTTCTGTTTTATTTTTAACTTTTCGTACCTTAATTAGTCCGTTATATTTTATCAAAAAATTATCAAACGGAAAGGGAATAAAGGGATAAAGGAATATTCCAACAATTATCGATACTGAAAAAAATTCTCAAATGGAAGCCTATATGTTCCGGCAACTATATTCCCTCAATAGTGAAGAGTACATCGATTCAAACTATCGTCTGCTTGGGAGATTTTTTATGAATATTTAACCATGCAAATCATTTTCCTCACTTGGGATTCTACAAAGCAATAGTAAGAGCATTACCTCAAACAATCTTTTGTCCGTTTTATTGAGAAACTTCTAGATCACTTCTCTCATCGACAATCGTACGAAGTCTCCCGAGGTGTACCGATTGGTATTTGGGACTCTATTAATATTTATCCGGAGTTTGACGGAAATGGGCGAGAAGATGACTCATAGAAAAAGTTTTCTTTTTGGCTTGCAGCCACGGCTGCAAGCCATTTCATTTGGAAAACTTGTTCCGGTTAGGTGGTTTCCTGCTTACATCTGTTGGTGCATGATTGAACAGGAAACCAGCTGGCCTGCAATCGTGCCAATCGCAACTTTTCGGCCTTTTCCGTCACCTTTCGGATTAATGATAATAGCCGATGTAGTTCCGATTGCAATCGTGACAATTCGGGCGATTCCGTCATACTGCGGAATCAGACGAAGTAATATTACGGAAATCTAAGCTATTTTAGTTACTTCGGTAATCCCAGTTTGTTTATATAAATAGGATTTCTATTTTTACTTGATTTATCGGTTTAAACCGTAATAAATTATAAACGAAATTGTTCCGTTTCAATTGTTTTTCAAGACGCAAAAGTTAGTTTCTTTTATAATTGTTTTTTGTCTGTATTAGTTTTATACAATAGAGAATGGTGACTGTAGTAGTATTCCGTCTCCAAAGGGTGGTCCTGCTTACCAAATCACACATGATCGAGTTATATTTAGATCTACTGAACGCAATTCAACTTCTTGGTGAGGTAATCTAGAAATAGCCCATGCATATCATTAACCTATTTGTGATCGTGTAACATAGTTGATACATGCTTATTAATTGGTACCACGTAACGAAGTATTTTAGTGCATTTACTTGTCTATAAAGCAAAGGAATGATTTCGCTGCGAAAAAGGGGAAATGAAATGTGCACACTTGTTTTCCTTCAGTATCACGTTAGTATTTTTACGATTGATCATTTTCTTTATTAGTTTTATACAATAGAGAATAGATTTCAAATCGTTTTGACAAAAATATTCGGTTTTCCAAAAAAAAAAAAAAAAAAAAAAAAACAACTAAATAAACCCTTTATGATATACAAATACCGTAATTAAAAAAAAAAATGTGATAATAATTGAAACCAAAAAAAAAAAATCCGCTTCGTTCGGTATATGTTGCTTGCACAACTATTTTGTAAAACAAAAGTTATAGCGAACTAGCAACTCGAAGCGGGGCAGAATTTTTATGAAAATGTGTGGATACGACGCAATTCATATTGCTTTATATATCTTTTTTCCTTCAAATCAATTATATACTCGTTTTTAGAGTTCGCCATAAACTTCAAATTGAAACATAATTTTGGATCATTTACTAAACTTTCATTAAAAAGAGATGTTTATTTTTCAAGAAAATAATGATTTTTACGAAATAATACGACGCAGTTGAAAATAAAATATGATACGTACGACGCAGTTGTATTTTGATTGCAGGCTGCATATTGGTTAAACTATTTAAATTATGTGCTAGGTATGCTAAAAACGTCCAACAACATTTCTTGTTTACGACTTAAGTCAAAAGCAGAGGTCACTCATTGGTTTCATAAAAATGGAAATGTAATACAATTCTATTAAGGCTGCATTTTTCGGTCGCATTTTATTACCTATCATAAGCATCTACAAATTCCGAAAAGCTGTATCAAATGCAATATACATTGAAACACGTGATCGCACACCCATATGACAACGTGTTCTAGTGTTGCCTTAGCATGCTTATAAACTTGTTCCCATGAGTTCGAAATGGGAGTGATTACTATTTTTGATACAAAATTCAATATTCCAGTGTAACCTCTCCTGGACCCTGTATTAATCAGGAATGACCTTTTTTTTTAAAAAAGAGAGAAAGAATTACAAATTTTGAAAAGGTCTCTCGCTATCGGGAGAGAGCTATGCGCAAATTGCATGCCTACCTTTGTTACTTGTAATTAGCAATAATTTCCGTCAATTCCGTTATTACTTATGTCTTTTACGTGCCGATTTTATTGTATTCATTTTCTTAATAATCGGTGAGGACAGATGAGATTTATTATTTGAAACTGAACATTAAATTTTTAGAATTATAAATGGTTAAGCTACAATATATTTTTTGCAAGAAGGTTATGCGTTCCGTTTAGTCATTTTATGTTCAGCGACGAGAACTTTACCGCTGATTTTGTCGTATTGCATTTCTTTATCGCCGTTGGGAAAGGTCTACGGAATGTATTTTTTATATTTGCACTTAAGTATCATTCTTCTCCATCAAAAAACTTTAAATTTTCAAAATCGAGTTACATAATATTATGATACAACTACAAATTATTTTGTAAAGAAGGTGTCCGTTTTGCAAAGGTATTTTTACGCTGTGCACCGATACATTTGATACAGATATAGGCAGACATGATCTTTCAACAGTATTGTAGAAGTTTTCACAATATCACGGATGTTATATAAATCCGTGACAATATTGAACAGAAAATTTAGGTCAGATTATCGCACCGAATTTTCAACAGACTAGAGACATGACATCTTAACATACTTTCATACTAAAGTGTGATTTTTATTTGATAATGAATTGCCTGAAAACTTAAAGATATACTATGCTCAAATTTGATATCAAAAAATAATGATATTTGCTACATAGTCTCTTTGTAAATATGAAATGAACATGTTTTGACTTCACACAAAGTTGATTTACATGTTTAACACTCTACACACTATAGGTCGTCAAAATATGAATATATAGTGTCGTTAAAAAACTGGCAGTTTTTTTTTAAGAAAAGACCAACTTTACTTGTCCTATAATAGAGAACGTGACTTCCAATGCATAGTTTTATTCATTTTCTATTCAAATTAGACATATTCAGTACGAATTGCATAGGTTTTAATAAATTTCTTTGATGAAAATATTTAACTCAAAGATGAGCATAGTATATCTTTAAACAAAAGTTTTCTGAAAATGACTTCACAGAGGATTACCCCCTGTTTACATTGAAAATTTCTCTGTTAGTCATACCGAAATAAGAAATTTAAATGTTATTCTCTTTATAAATAATTCAAATATTTATAATCTTAAAACTTCACGCCAGAAGTTAATAAAAATATGCTTATTTGTACAGCTGACGTTAACAAATTTTGTTGAAAAAACAAATCAGACAGGTGTGTCCGACCGAGGCCGAGCTGTTTATGTTTACTGAATTCAAATCACTTGAACTCAACTGCTATGAATTCGAAAACCACCAGGGACTTTTTATTCTTTCATGTGGAAAACCTATCAAGCTAGTTTCAAAATATCGATGGTTCTCTGCAGGTGCAGCATTTTGCCTGAAATAATGCCCAAAAGCGCACCTGAGGTCCTCGTCCCTAGTAAAGCTCACGTGTAGAGTGAAAGTTTGAAAGAAACCACAAAAAAGCAGTCATTACTCAGAACATGCAGAACCACAGTTAACTAAGAGCGTAGCTAGCCAAAATGAATTCAAGTTAATAGATTTCTACATTTTTTTGCGAAAAAAAAATTAGGTATAATATTGAACATACAGGAAAATATAAGAAATTATTTCAGATATTATGATCAATTAGGTAAAATGTTCATGTTTAACTGAAAAGTAGCTTCCGCAATGTAAACTTTCAAATTATATGTTATATTGGACATGACACAATGTATTCTTAATAATCAAAAGCAACAGAACATTGCTATACACCGCAAATGATCTGGGGGGTTTTTATCTAGCGCAAGTTATTATTCCATAAAAAAGAAATACATTGCCTAAATTATCCCTGTTGAAAAGACTGCCAAAAATACAACTGCGTCGTATCATATTTCATTTTCAACTGCGTCGTATCATTTCGTAAAAATCATTATTTTCTTAGAAAATAAACATCTCTTTTTAATAAAATTTCAGTATATGATGCAAAATCATATTTCAAAGTTTATGGTGAACTCGAAAACAAATATATAATTGATTTGAAGGAAAAAAACGATAGATAAAGCAATATGAACTGCGTCGTATCCACACATTTTCATAAAAAATTCTGCCCGCTTCGAGTTGCAAGTTCGTTATAACTTTTGTTTTACAAAATAGTTGTGCAAGCAACATATACCGAACGAAGCGGAAAATAGTGTAGCGTGTTAATATATATATCTGGTTTTCAGTCATTTCCAACAAAAAGAGAAATAAACAAAAACATACGTTTTTCGTTCCAAGATGGCGGCGTTTGTTTACATTTTGTAGGATACGACGCAGTTTTGATTCCCAGCCCTGAATTCGTTTGACTGCCACTTAAATTTTGTGCATTGTCTAAATTAAGAAGAAACAAGAGTGAAAAAAACAGAAAATAAGTTTCACTGCAGTGAAAAATAGTTTTTTACAGTGAAACAATGGAACATGAAAATACGCATTTTATTTCATCAATATTTCTCAATATTTCATTATATAAGTATATGTTTAATATTGTTATATTTATTTGTCATTTGACAGTGTATCTTCATGCAAAAATATGGTACGTAATAATAAAATGTACTGAACTACTTCCAAAAATAAAAGTTCTGTTACAGCAATATTTAGTGAACTTAAATCTGGCACTGGTACTGGTAATGATACAGTATAAAGTGGAAAGTACTGGTACTGAAGAACTATATGCTTGTTACAGCAGTACTGAACTTAAGTCAAGTACTGGTTCTGATACAGTAGAAAGTGGCAAGTGCGCGATTTGTCTAATTGTCACAGGGGGAGAAAAAGTTCAGCCTGACCGGGACTCGAACCCGGAACCCTCGGAATACCGTACCGCGACTTTACCGACTGAAATATCCGACCGCTTACACATTATCTCCCTTTATTAGTCGTGGCATAATAATCTTAGTTCATAGCCTACTTTTTCATTTCTCATAATCATACATTTAGTAATGTACATATCCTAGACAAAGCATTAAGGAAAATAAATCCTGCCATAATTCTAAGTGGTCCGGAAAATGCTTAACGTTTAGCTTAACTAAACAATAAGATAAAAAGTAGTTCAAATGTACCAACTATGTAACTGAGTCAATGACTAAGATATTCCGCATCTTGAAATTCATTACTAAATTTATGTAATTGACTATTCATCATTTGGACTCGCACGTGTCCATTGTTACTGACGCGAAATCAAAAGGAAGACAACAAACTACATATATAGCCTTTAATAAGAAATACTCAACTGGCCTAGTTATAGACCTTTGCATGAAACAAATAAAGCTCATGTGGAAATATTTCCACCAATCAAAAACAATTAGACTGGTAATCACCGTATTATAAAAAAGCAAGTTTTTTTTATTGAAATTTTACAATCAATTTTCTTTTTCCAATTAAGCATACTGGATGTCGACAAAAAGGTGAGCCTTGCATTCTTATTATTATTTCAGTTAGTTTAACTTCCTATATCTAATAAAAAAAATCTGCAGAATTATCTTTTTCCTGTAAAAATGTCAATAAACGGTGTTGAAAAAATATAAGAGCAATGGAAAAGCAAGTAAAAGCAAATTGATGCTAGATAAAGAACTATCTTTACATTACTTTGTTTAAACGGAATGCAGTTTTTTTTTCATGGTATTTGATATCATAAAAATAGTTCATAAGAATATCTTTATGAAAGCGCTACCGAGAAAACTGAGTTTGTTATTAAAAATAAAAATATCTTTAAGCAGTATGCCATATAGTTGCATGGAAATTTTCTCGAAACTTTTTGAATGTTTTTAAAAAGGAAAATATTGTCAAGTAAACTTTATATTACATATTGCAAACTGCGATCTGCGAAAATTAGCTCTTACTGCATTAGTCACGCAATAGAAATATGTTGATAAATACTGTAAAATCAATCATTAACTGCTTAGAAGATGTTAATTATTTTTTGAATTGTGAATATTTTTACTTTGCTCAAAATCTTAATGCATTTTTCTCAAGGTCGATTTTTTAAAATGTTATTGGCTCATCTGGAGGTAATACACGCCTTTCATTTGGACTTGCGCCTATATTTCCTACATGGGATTCATATGCACTTTCCCATATACAATCTAAATGGGACCTGTATCTATAACAAATTATGAGAGTGCCTACATTGGACACGTTAACCTGTATGGATCAACCAACTATGGTCCCATATGGGTTCTTTATGTGCAAACCTATATGGATTTTTTCCAGTTGTACCCGATAAGGGAAAACATGTATATTGGTCCAAAAATTACCATCCCATATAGGATTGCATAGATATAGCCCATATATTGGTCCCTTACGTTTGCCAGGTGGTCAATGCATACTTTACCTTACTTTACCCGTCGGACGCCAAATGTCACAGGGTGAGAAAAAAGTGAAGCCTGACCGGGACTCGAACTAGGACCCTCGGAATACCGTACCGCGGTTCTACCAAACAAGCTATCCGACCGCTTACACATCTTCTCCCCTAAATAGTGAACAATTCTGAGCAATGACATAAGTAAACTAGATTTACATAATTGCAATGTCGAGACACTATAACCATTGTCGTTACTTCTTTGCTGTTTTAAATAAATGTAAACTTGTATATTTAAACAGTATTTTATTTACAGCATGGCTGTACATGGTAGAAATCTTCCAGACAAACCATTTTCAAATCTGTCAAAGAACCATGATGACGATTCAAACATCTTTTGTAATCCATGCGAGCAAATCGGCATCAAGGCACCGGGTTTTGGGATCTGTATGAGTTGCAAGGAACATTTGTGCGAACCTTGTTTCGACAGCCACAAGAAACGCTCACGGTTTCATATGCTTTTGGATAAGTTTAGTATACCTAAAACATTTCATGCCCAGCTTAAACAGACCAAGGATGATGAATTCACAACTCCCTGCTTTACTCACAAGAAAGAAAAGATAAAGTTTTACTGCCATGATCATGATGAACTTCTGTGTAGTGTTTGTACTACCCTTGATCATCCACGGAATTCTTGCAAGGTCAATTACATACCTGACGTATCAGGCCAGAGTCTGAATAGCAAGAACTTAGTAGAAATCCTTGAAGCAATGGACGAAGTGATTGAGAAATGTAAAGATATATCCAGTGATGTCAAGAAAAAGACAAACATATCCAACGAAGCTTTGACAGACGTCTTGACTGAAATAAAAGTGTTCAGGTTAAAAATTAATCAAAGATTAGATGAAATCGAAAGGGAAGCTGAGAAAAAGATGCAAGTAATAAAACTGAAGAACGATTCTAATCTAAAAAGAATGGAAATCATATGTAACAATGTGAAAATGAAGTTGACAGAATCAGTTGACTTATTAAAACAACTCAACGACTCTAAACAAGCTGATAAGCTCTTCGTCGAACTAAAAACAGCAGGGAAACTAGTTAAAGATAGCAAGAAGACGTTGTTACAATTTCGTTCCCATAAAGACATCCGGGAGTACCATTTTCAGCCCAATCAAGAGTTACTAGATAGTATCCAAAAAGAAAATGCCATCGGAAAGATAACATCTGTTTTTCATCAAGAAACAATAGATATCAAGACATCCCAAGATAAATATAAATGCTGGGTAACGGGAATGTCTTTTCTTACGCATTCCAAATTCATCCTTGCAGACTCTGGTAATGTTTCGATTAAGTTAGTTGACTTAGTCTCAAATTCCACGATTCATCATCTAAAATTAGAAACCGCGCCTTGGGACGTCACCTGTGTAACATCAGAACAAGCAATTTTCACGCTGCCAAACGAAAAGTCAATTCAATTTGTATCTACTTCTTCAAATAAACTTTCACTGAAACAAAAACTAAAGGTTGATGGGGAGTGTTATGGCATAAGTCATTGCCAAGATAAACTTATCGTTACATTCTGCTACCCTGGTAGAGTCAAAATTCTCAATATGAAAGGTAAAATACTGTCTGAAATGAAAGCAAGGTTTGGGCATATTGGGCATATTTTCAATCTTCCATTTTATGTGACATCCAACAGCCAGAATATATTTGTATCTGACGCCGGGAAGCAATCAGTTTTAAGGTTTAACTGGAATGGTGAGAAAACCGGCTCTTATAATGACCTGGGAAGCTGCAGAGGTTTAAGTCTCTCACCAGATGGCGCTTTATTTGTTTGCAACCATGGCAGTGATGATATTCATCACGTATCACCGGATTTCAAAAGCGGTTTAGCCATCGTGAAGTCTTTGGAAATGCCCATTGTTGTATGCTGGAGTGAAACAAGCAGGACATTTTACGTCAGTAACGATAGCACGAAACACAATTTGAACTCGATCCAAAGCTTCAAAATGGTCGAAACAAGCTAATTATAGATTATCATATTTATTTATTATGAACGATAGAAAGTGGATCTTTAAACGTCTGTTTACATGCTACAAGGGTCCGTGCTCGAGTAGCTATAATCGTTGGCTTCAAACCACTTGCCCCGCAACCGCTGTATGTTCGAATCCCGCCAGGGAATTCGAATTACTAGTACTAGTATTTCATGTTAGGAAGCTATCCAGCTAGATTACGAAACATCGGTGGTTTTATATTCGGGTGCCAACTCCTGCCTGAAATAAAACACAGAGGGGCACCTGAGGTCTTCCTCCGCCGGTAAAGCTGCAAAGTCGCCAGATGACCTATACTGTGTTGGTACTAGGTAAAACCCAATGAAAATAATAATAATACATGACTCAAAATGATAGGAAATTAGGTTGCTATTTTATTGAAAGAGAGTATTGAAGTTCTGGTATAACATACACTATTGTACATCTTGCATTTTTAAACTTAATGAATTGTACTTTTACAATAGAATCTCAATCATACAAATTTAATTGTGTCTTTGCTATAAACCAATTTTTCTTCTATTTGTCTGATAGAGGACATGGATTTTTAAACAAAAACGAATTACATTTTGCTATTAAATTTGTATGACAAAAATCAGTATTACGACTGTTTGTTTGTTTATTTGTTTCTTTCTTTCTTTCTGTCGTTCTTCCTTCTTTTCTTTCTTTCTTTCTTTCTTTCTTTCTTTCTAACTTTCTTATCGCGAAGAAAATGAAAAAAAAAATCATTTCAGTTCATTTCTCCACGGTGCAATAGTTGTTCGTTATCATATACTGCTTTACCACTTTCGATTTTAACACATTTTCAGGGCATGATTGGTAACATGTCCGGGGTACTCTCATGCAGTGCCTGAAAGGGTAGATGGACCCTCATTAAACTTAGACAACAACAACTACCCACTTACATTATTGAACAATCTTTAATTTACAGTTAGCCAAAAGGTGAAAATGAAAAAAAAAATTAACATGACGTGGGAATGTAGAATTGTACATGAGCCGTGTCACGACAAAACCAACATAATGGGTTTGCGACCAGCAGTCTGATCAGGATCCATGCTGTTCGCTATCAGTTTCTCTACTAGTAATAGGGTTTGTAAGCGAACATCATGGATTCTGATCAGACTGCGCGGATGCGCAGGCTGGTCTGGATCCATGCTGGTCGCAAACCCATTATGTTGGTTTTGTCATGGCGCGGCTCAAATGATTATCGAACGCACATAACGCATGACATACATATCAATTCTACTTAAAATAGTAAAATAATATTTTCTTCCAGAATATATTTTGTTTGCGTACAATATGTGTTACATAATTTACAGAAACATCCCGTATTACATCTCTTCCAAGAAATCGACCATGTGATTATGCAATCAATATGTAATTTCACTGTTGATAAATTTTATAAAAAAATTATCATAAGATATACATGTAACTTCATACCCTTTAAAAATACAGGAAGAAAAGATAAAAAAAATTAATATTTGATGCATTTGTCAAGACAATAGCGTTAGTAATGGTAAAAGCCCTTTGTTACGCACATAATGCACATACATATCAGCCACTTGACATAATTTTAAAAACAATCGAGTAGATACAGAGCATTGCTTTTCATTTCATTTCTTTGTTAGGAAGAAAACCGGATTTGTGACAAATAAATGGAAGTTTATAATCAAGTTTCAGTTTCATATGGGACATTAAAAGATCGAATATCAATTGGACACCATTATTATGAATGATAAAAACGCAGTTATTGCCCGTCCCGTTCAGTTTTCATGTTTTTAGCTCCACCTTTCCAAGAAATAAAGTTGAGCTATTGCCATTGTGTTAGCGTCGGCGTTGGTTAACCTTTTAAATAAAGTCAAATTTCTCAGAAACAATAAAAGCTATCCACTTTAAATTTAAACTAGACATGTGTTATTGTAATGAAATGACGTCATTTTAAAAGAGCAGATAATCCTTAAAAAGTTGCAAAGTTATATCCCCTTTTCAACTTAGATTTTAGCCTTTGTTTTTGCGTTTACTTTCATTTCATTTCATTTTCTCAGTAACTATCGAAGTAATTCACTTCAAAATTTATATACATGCATGTCCACTGTCAAAACATGACACCATTTCAGAAGGGCAGATAATTCTAAAAACATTTTAGCAAAACAATGTCCCTTTTTTATTTATTTCTTCTTCTAAGGTCAATTTCTCAAAAATTGTTTAAAGTTAATCACATGAATCTTGGAACAAATTTTCAGTTTTCAAATTGGCATGCATTTTGAAAGAACAGGAAACTGTTTAATTTATTTTTTTCTCTGAGTTATGCCCCTTTTGACTTGTTTTTACTTTTTTGTAAAGGTAAATTTCTCAAAAGGTTATCAAAGATATTCACTTTAAATATGGAGCATTTGTTAACAATCAAATTTAAAATTCAACATTTATAAGAGGGGATAATCCTGAAAGCCTTTTTGGCTTTGTTATTTCCCTTGTTAAACAGAATAAAGTAAAGAAACATCCCATGAATACGGATGTACTGGAGGGACATATATTATCTATTTCATAATAATTGTCAGTTATCATTATTTAATTGCGTATAATCATGTACCAGCGTTTCACATTGCAAGTATTAATTAATATGACGTTACGGCGCGATTTATTGACGTTGCAATTTTGACGTCAAAATACGTTACAAAAGAGCCCTCAAATTTGACAAATTGAAAAAAAAAAGATACTGAAATTAACAAAAACCTGCTTGTGACATATATTTGTTTCAAATGCTTAAGTTGCGGTCTCACTTACTCCCGGCAGAGCTCAGGACCACCCCGGTAAGTTACTGGAATGATCCGGGACGATCCGGGGTGAAATTATTGTTGTGGTCACACTTACCCCGGCAGCACTACGGTAATTCCCAACTTACCACCCAAGATGCGCTCCGGAACATCCAGGCAGAGCCCAGGTGAAGCTACGGTTCATGCCGATGCTTCCACGGTCGTTCCCGTATGACACCGGTAGAGCCCCGGTTTACCCAGGCAGAGCCCAGAACGATCCCTGCAGAGCCCCGATAGAACGCCGGGGGATTAAAAACGCACGAAAATGAATACGTTGATACATACTTTTTACTTAATATAATATCTATTACTATTGTTCCTGAATAGTAATTCATGATGATTTTCTGAATAATCCTTATGCAAGACTGGACAGAAGGGACATGGTTTGAAATAGTTCTGGCTTCCAAAACTTTATAAGCCGCCCTTTAACATTTTTGTTTTTCATCTGATGCGGCATTCACGTCATGTCATAGTATATAAACGGGTACGCTGAAGACCTTAAGCTAGGTTTGAAAGGTTTTAATACAAACATCTGCAATCATCGCAAATTGTCGTGATTTTTTTTTTTAATGAACAGTGCTCTACCGGTATCAAACGTAGCTCCATCGTCATCCTCCAGGGCTCTGTCGGTATCCTCCGGGGCTCTGCTATCATTCACTGTGGTTCTACAGGCATTCACCGAGGCTCTACCTTAGTTCTACCGACTATATCATACCCCGGATCAACCCCGGTTTGTGCCGACAGAGCTACGGTGCTTCACATGTGTAATCCCGGCAGAACTAGGGATGAAGCCGACAAAGCTACTTCCCAGATCACCGCGGTGATATTAAATATTTTATTCCATCCGGGGTCGAATGCTGGATGTTCCCAATTGTGTACATCCGGTCTTACTGACGATATTTGAGAGACCGGTGTGTATACAATGGGAAGATCCCGGATCATCCCGGACATTGCCGGCAGAGTTTTGGATGTACTCTGGTTGTACCCGGTCGTTCCCGGATCACCCCGGACGTCTTCCAGGACTCTGCAGGGATGTAAATGAGACTGAAGCTTTAAGTTTTATCAATATCAAAATTTGGGCCGATTTTCACTATATTAATTTTGTACATACTAGTTTGTCCCGTAGTATTTTTTTCAAAACATACACGATATGAACATTAAATTTTGTGCCTGTAAACTGGGGGACATATATTGGTATAATTTGAAAAATCACTCGCGACAATAGCAATAATAAATATGCATTTTCAGACATTCGAGGCGTTTAGAGCAGCACACCTCTACAGGTACGGATCCAATAGTTTGTGTATGGGGCGGTTTAGGTTTTACATAACCTTCATCCCTAATGAGGGGTCTTGAGGGACCTCCACTAGGAACAAAAACAAAACCGACTTCTGGTGCATTTTATGTTCACGTTTCAACATTTTCACTTTTACTCATTACCGAATACCAATCTGACTGATTATGTTTAATATACGTTTTTCATCCTACATGTATTATGAATTTATTTTTGAAAAGCTGATTAGTAAAAATTTTGCATTTATGTTTTGAGGGTCTCTTTCCTGTTCTCATTTAATTACTCCGTCTCATGTAGATGCTTAAAATATGCACCTATATATTTATTTCCCAATTTATCTTGTCCCAGATTGTTTTAAGTCGTAATGTTATTTATGTTTTGAATTTTTGAATATTTATAATCATAAATATGAATGATTTAAAAAGCAAAGTACGTATGTAAAGAAAAGAACCATTAAGATGAAAAAAGTCTGTGGCTTTGTACAAGTTTCGAACTTACGCACTATCAAATAGCTCAAAGCTAGCGACATTTCATGAAGAAAACATATGTTCTTCTTTATTTTTATCCACGAAACAACAAAAGGATGAGTGTCAAGTTAGCACAGTGGTTCTGCCGACGAATCAACCGAAGCATTTCCGCCGACAGAGATCATGCTGCTTTAGGCTCAGATGAAAGATCAGAATTGTATAGATACATTAATCCACCATGCTATGGCTCACCCCGTCATATTATTGTAAATTTTCAATATATATAGCTAGTAACTTAAGTGAGGTATTTATAGATATTATGAATTGAAGCGTTTCAAATCTATTTTTAAACATGACAAGTTTGGACTCGATTAATCATTTTTCAACCTACATGTATTACCCACAATATTTTTGTTTCTTTATTTCAGTTGTTATCATAAGGACCTTTTTCGACAAACCAGTCCCCGAGGAACCACCAAGCCAGCCCTTAACGATAATTAATTGGCCCCGTTGTATCACAATTAGTGGTCATTAACCTATGTAAGTTAGTGAGCATCATAAATCTGTAATTTTACGAACACCTAACAACAAATATGGCGCGCTCCATTGAAAAAGATAATTTACAAGATATCCGTAAATTTATCAAACAAGTTACTGATTTTGAAGTAAGGAATAACATGCATTAATGAAATAACATAGTCTTATATTTATTTTGTATTTTTGGTTGACCAGGTGTTGCTTTTAAACGTAAAATTACGCTTCGGAATAATTTTTTTTATTCGTCCCACTCATTATTCGCACGGGGGACGGAATAACAAACGATTCACCCTCTTGAAAAATTGAAAAACTTATTTTGACTTCCCCGTATGACATTTCTAATTAATTGCATAACCCGATACGAAGGTAGACAAAACTTATGAACCAGTAAGTCCGTACATGTACATTTTATAGATCTGTCTAGAGTCAGTGTACCCGAAGCCGTACACTTTCTTAAGTAAAAATAAGAAAATTATCTTATAGTTAAAAATTCTTCTTATAATAGATAATATGAAATTAGGCAAAGCCTATAAACGGGGAAGTCGTTAAAAAAAGTCCTTTCATTCTTTCCGTTTTAAAGGTGTCATTCGGTATTACATGCACCGCTTCCCTTTTCACTCGGAACACTCGACGATTATTATTGATCCGAAAAGTTGAGATTTGTTCCGTTATCGGAATACCCCGCCTATTATCATTGATTTACATTGTAAATGGCGGCGCCCGACTAGAACTGACACTGAAAATTTCATTGATAGGTATAGAATTCTATATATTTTTAATTGTTTTTTTATTTGATTTTCTTTTAAATATACACGTGTAATCTATAGCCGGGCAAGCCAAAGCCCGGACCCGCTTCGCGGGCCCGGTCTTTGACTTCCCCGTATTATTTTGAAAATTACATCCTTTGCCCATAAAAACTGATTACCGAAACATTTCTATCTTAAGTAGGTCATACTTCTAGGCGCAGTTGATTTTAAGCAACAGGAATGGGCCAAATATGATAAATAGTGGACTCGGTTCCGCACACAAGGCCATTTTTATACTGAATGGTTATTTTACATCTTAAACATGTTTTATAAACTATTTAACATCTGTAAGTCCAGATAAGTTATATTTCTTTGCAAATTTTCAGGACTTCAAATAAATTTAATGCACATTCTTACTACAGTATACAAACATTTATTTCCAAGCATAGTAGCACACAGGAAACATGTAACAGCAATTGAAATATACTTTTTACCACTTGTAGGTAGTAAAGACAGACATAAAACATTATATTATTGAAGTTTTTTTCATCTGTTTAGTTATGATTTGTTGGATTAAGAGTTTGGTATCATTTTAAACAAAACAATCAAGGTGAAATGACTTGACATTTGGTAGTTGGGAGAAGTTAATTCATGTGCATATATTTCATAACTAACAGCAAATTTGCCATAACAAAAACATACATTTCTTTTCAAATATATATTTTATAATGATCTTAACATTAAAATAGAAATTAGCATGGTTTAATTGCTGAATAAGTTGTTTTTATGTGTGACATACACAGCCATGTACATGTATTTACATTTTCGTCTGCACTGTCTAGGGAGAGGCTGGGGTACAAGATCCCAGATTATGTCATATCCTGTTGAAAACATGCCAGTTCAGTGAAACACAAATGAAAACTAAATAAATTCATTTGATTATTTTAAGAAAAAATGAAAAATGGGAAAGTGTGCGGGACCGGGTCCTGTGCGGAACCGGGTACACTGACTCTACTTTTCTTTTCTCATTTAAAAAAGCTACCAATGTTACATTTATTTCCATGAAAATTTCAGTGTTCAACTGTCTCCTCTATGATCATTCCTTGGACCAAAAGATCAGGTTGTTCCATTCTGATCTTTTTAATTATTTGGCCGATTATCTTGACCCTCAAATACCGTTTCGCGGCTCTACCAGCCAGCTATCAAGCTACTTAGTGACTAAGAATCCGGGTCAGCTCGGCCCTAAAACATACTCGGCCCCCGAGTCAGCTCGGCCCTATTCCAACTCGGCAAGGGTCAACTCGGCCCACTTTTAAAAATGGGTAAAGGTTATCAAAGGACTCCTATTGTCACGAGCTATTATTATCAATCAATGTGTATGTTAAAGATACCGATTAATTAGGTGATAATTATGATTGACTCATTCATTCAAATTTGATTAGAAGCTTATGCTATTAAGTAAACACGTTTTTGTTTCATATTTTTTTGAAAATTACTTTACAAATGAAATGCATCTAAGGAAACATAATTTTATTATATCTTTATTCACAGGCACAAGTATCGGACCTGGGAAAAAAAAATATGAAGTATTTTTATCAATCTGTTCATATTTTTCTTCCCAGGTTCGATAATCATGCCTGTGTCTATATTAATTTTATCGAATTTGCAAGACAAATAAATAACTTTTTTTTCTAAATATACTTTATTTCAGCAGAGGTACAATTTACGTATAATTATATAATAAAAATAAGATATTTCTTATTATTCATTTACCTTAACAACATGCAAAGCAAAGTAAATACGTTACTGGTTGGGGACCACCAAATCTGGACAACCACCAAACCCGGACGGCCCCGAAAATGCTTAATTTAGTATTTTCTTTGTTCATTGGTTGTCAGTCACTTTTTTATCAACAATAAATGCATGTTTTTTCTAAAATTAAGTAAATAAATTTATTTCAACCTCCGTAAATGGTAATATTTTAATGTCTATTTCAAGAATGTTGAAGTTGAAATTCGGGGGTCGAGAAAGCAATGCCTGACCTCATATACCAGCTATAATCATTTGCAGAGTAAACAATAGAATATCCAAAACTTCAGCATTTGTTGCTGAAATATTGTTTATCATGTTAAAAATCAAAAATCAAAACACCCAAGCTTTTACCGGAATTAAACCTCGTCATGTAAATATGTGTCCGGACACATGGTACTGTAGTGTAGACTATTTAGGTAATTTTGATACCCTCCTTGTGGAGCCTCAGATATTAGTGTCAATACAATAAAAAATAAACAATTTAGTTTGTTAGTTAGGAGAAGAACCTAGCTGCACTGTGTCTAATTTTTTGGTCTCTAGGTTAAAAATTATGAAATTTGTATGAAATAATGTTCCAAAAGTGTCCGGTTGATGGTCTCCGACCAGTATAGGCCTACAGGTATATTTTTGTAAAGTGGGCCGAGTTGACCCGTGCCGAGTTGGTATAGGGCCGAGTTGACTCTTTTCCGTGACTAACTGACTTACACATCATCTCCCTTAGATAGTGAACCGTTGATCTTAACCATTACATAGTCCCTGTTACAATGAAATTTGTCCTCAAATTTCTCTGGGTCCCAGAGCAATGCTAATTGAACTCAGAGTTATATGCAAACATGGTCCCCCCCACCCCCACACACACACTGGCCACCAAATGTCATGGATATACGTGTATGCAAGTTCTCACTTTACTTTGGAGAAGCAACCTGTTATTATATGGTTGGCACACAGTAATAGAAATAAGGGTTCAGAGAAGAAACAATAGCTCTTGCTATAATATTATCATTTCTTGTGCTTTTTAGCTCGACTATTCGATAAGAATAAGTAGAGCTATTGCAGTCACCCGAGCGTCGGCGTCGGCGTAACCACTTATGTAAAAGTTTTTGTAATAGTTAAAATATTTTCAAAGTCCATTGACATATGGCTTTGAAACTTTGCACACTTGTTCACCATCATGACCCCAACCTGTAGACAGGAGAAGGTAACTCTATCAAGCATTTTGACAGAATTATGCCCCTTTTTAGCTCGACCATTCGATAAGAATAAGTAGAGCTATTGTAGTCACCGTGGCGTCCGCGTCGGCGTCGGCGTAACCACTTATGTTAAAGTTTTTGTAATAGTTTAAATATTTTCAAAGTCCATTGACATATGGCTTTGAAACTTTGCACACTTGTTCACCATCATGACCCCAACCTGTAGACAGGAGTAAGGTAACTGTATCAAGCATTTTGACAGAATTATGCCCCTTTTTCGACTTAGAATTTTACGTTAAAGTTTTTTGTAATAGTTCAAATATTTTCAAAGTCCATTGACATATGGCTTTGAAACTTTGCACACTTGTTCACCATCATGACCCCGGACCTGTAGACAGGTGGAGGTAACTGTATCAAGCATTTTGACAGAATTATGCCCCTTTTAGCTCGACTATTCGATAAGAATAAGTAGAGCTATTGTAGTCACCCGAGCGTCGGCGTCGGTGTAACCACTTATGTTAAAGTTTTTGTAATAGTTCAAATATTTTCAAAGTCCATTGACATATGGCTTTGAAACTTTGCTCACTTGTTCACCATCATGGCCCCAACCTGTAGACAGGAGGAGGTAACTCTATCAATCATTTTGACAGAATTATGCCCCTTTTTATGCCACCGCAGCATCTGCGATGCGGTGGCATATAGCGATTCACCTGTGTGTGTGTGTGTTTGTTTGTGTGTGTGTGTGTGTGTGTGTGTTATATAGATTATATAGTGAACTTAAAAAATCTTCTTGTGAAAAACCAGTAGTCCAATTTCAACCAAACTTGGCAGGATTGATCCTTGGGTGAAGGGCTTCCAAAGTTGTTCAAAGAATTTCATTCCATGCAGAAATCTGGTTGCCATGGCAACCAAAAGGAATTATAAGAACAAATTTAAAAAATCTTCTTGTAAAGACCCAAAAGGCCTAGAGCTTAGATATTTTGCATAAGGCATTGTCTGGTAGACCTCTACCAAGATTGTTCAAATTATAGCCCTGGGCGTCAAAATCGGCCCCGCCCCGGGGTCATTGATTTTCACTATATGTACATATAGTAAAACTTAAAATACCTTATTGTAAAGACCCAAATAGCCTAGAGCTTAGATATTTTGCATAAGGCATTGTCTGGTAGACCTCTACCAACATTGTTCAAATTATAGCCCTGGGGTCAAAATAGGCCCCGCCCCGGGTCATTGTTATATAGATTATATAGTGAACGTAAAAAAAATCTTCTTGTGAAAAAACCAATAGTCCAATTTCAACCAAACTTGGCAGGATTGATCCTTGGTGAAGGGCTTCCAAAGTTGTTCAAAGAATTTTTCATTCCATGCAGAAATCTGGTTGCCATGGCAAACCAAAAGGAATTATAAGAATAAATTTAAAAAATCTTCTTTTAAAGACCCAAAAGGCCTAGAGCTTAGATATTTTGCATAAGGCATTGTCTGGTAGACCTCTCTACCAAGATTGTTCAAATTATAGCCCTGGGGTCAAAATCGGCGCCGCCCGGGGGTCATGATTTTCACTATATGTACATATTAGTAAAAAAACTTAAAATACCTTATTGTAAAGGAACCCAAATAGCCTAGAGCTTAGATATTTTGCATAAGGCATTGCCTGGTAGACCTCTACCAAGATTGTTCAAATTATAGCCCTAGGGTCAAAATCGGCCCCGCCCCGGGGGTCATTGATTTTCACTATATGTACATATAGTTAAAAACTTTAAATACCTACTTGTAAAGACCCAAAAGGCCTAGAGCATAAGGCATTGTGTTGTAGGGACCTCTACCCAGATTGTTCAAATTTATAGCCCTGGGGTCAAAATCGGCCCTACCCCGGGGGTCATTGTTTTCGTTATATGTATATAGTAAAAACTTTAAAAAAAATTTCTTCTAGCAATTGACAAATTGCTAGAGGTTAGATATTTTGCATGAAACATTGTGTAGTGAACCTCTAGCAAGATTGTTCAAATTATAGCCCTGGGTCAAAATTGCCCCCCCCCGGGGGTCATTGATTTTCAATATATACATATAGTAAAAAATAAAAAAATCTTATTGTCTGTAGGTACAAGGTACAAGGCTTCAAAAACTTAACATACCTTTCTTGTAAATTGCCCAAAAGGCCTAGAGCTTAGGTATTAATGCGGTTGTGCAAAGCATTTTTTCTCTCAAATGCAATCTTGTTCAACTTAGAATTTACGTTAAAGTTTTTTTGTAATACCTCAATATTTTTCAAAAGTCCCATTGACATATGGCTTTGAAACTTTGCACACTTGTTCACCATCATGACCCCAACCTGTAGACAGGAGGAGGTAACTCTATCAAGCATTTTGACAGAATTATGCGCCTTTTTCGACTTAGAATTTACGTTAAAGTTTTTGTAATACCTCAAATATTTTCAAAATTCATTGACATATGGCTTTGAAAATTTGCACACTTGTTCACCATCATTGACCCCCAACCTGAAGACCGCAGGAGAAAAACTCTATCAATAGGCATTTTGACAGAATTATCCCCTTTTTTCGACTTAAAATTTACCGCGTTAAATTTTTGTAATAGTTCAATATTTTTAAAGGTCCCATTGACATATGGTTTTGAAAAAAACTTTTGCACACTTTGTTCACCACATGGGACCCCAAAACCTGTAAAAAACAGGAGGAGGGTAAAACCTGTAAATCAAGCATTTTTTTACTATTAAAGCACTTAAGATAGTCGAGCTTGCTTGTCCTTACCGACAGCCTTTTTTATAATTCCCGCAAAGTACATACATGAAAAATCAAAGGAATTCATGTTTATAATGCTTTATAACATTAAATATACCTGTAATTATATAGTTGGCACACAATTATAGAATATAAGGGTACAGAGAAGAAAACAACAGCTCTCCCTATAAGATTCTGATATCTTGTGCGCATGTGTTAAGGTAAGCGTGACCGAATTCAAAAATGAAGTGATGAAGCTCGTCAACATGTTACAGGTCCAAGGAAGATATTACCAGATACTACTGCAGTAGTATTGGTTGAATAATGACATGAATAATTGAAATTGTGATGAAAGTAGAATGATACACAGAATATGGGTATGGGTGTGAAATACAGTTTTTTCTAGGAAAGACTAAAATCTCCCTGTGACATACATATACACATGTCCAGTGTTCGCGTTTACTTAGTAAACATATCAATTTACTCTCTAAAATTTCCAGGGAGGAAAGAAAAAAAGGGCCGTTAAGTCCCTGGGACGAAAACACTTTTTCCATGATAATTGGTTAATTCTCTCTTAAGTTTTTTGCTCTGATTGAAAACGATTTTTTTTATTCGCTTTAAATAAATTGGCCTCGTTTTGGGCCAACCTATCAATGGTATCAGCGAACATCAACAGTCACAAATTTGATTGTTTTACGAAGTTATGCAAACATTGACATTTTTGTAATTGAGGACTCATCCCATTTGAATTGGGACGTAATAGATCTATTAGCACTGAGTCCCAGGTAAATTTAGGGAAAATCACTAACACTGCATGGTTATTAGCTAGGTCAGCTAAAGCAAAGTGTGCCTGGGGGCTTTGATTTTCCTTTTTAAAAAACTTAAACCCCAGTCGTCCCTGTCACAATTTTTGCCGTGCTTTCCTTTTTGATTAAATTTTCTTGCTTTGTTTTTACTATTTTGCCAAAAAGGCTGCCCCTGTCTTTAAAAAACCCTGGACCAGTTTTCTTTACGAAAAATAGCCCAAAACTTGGTTTAAAAAATTTAATTTTTGAAACGGAAAAAAAGTTCTTGCAAAATTATAAATTTAAACCTTTTCGAAAATCTGCCTTTTTGGAACCAACCCCGTTTTTGGTTTTTCATATGAAGAAACCGTCATAACCCGATTTAGGGGTCAAAAACCCTATCTCTGGGGAAGGGACACCTTAAACCCCCTAGGATCTCCCCTTATTTAAATAGGCCAAAAACTTTTTTCTAGGTTTATCATGGTCCACTGTTTTATTTATTTAAAATTTTTTAAATTTTCCCCAAAAAATTAAAAATTTTTGTTCCAAAAAGAATGAAAGAAAAGTTTCCCTTAAAAATTTTTTAGCATTTATAAGGGTTAAAATTTTAAAATTTTTTTTTGATCAGGGGGGATAGAGAAAATTTCTATTTAAAAATTTGTGGTCCCCCAACTTGAAATAAACACAGATTTTCCTTTGTGTTTACAGGCCCCAAATAATCCGGGGAAGGACGGGTATTTTGGGGATGTTTTTAAGTTCATTTCATTCATTTGTGCCCAAATTTTTTGATGTGAGAATTGATAATTTTTTACATGAGATAGTTTTAAAGGCCCATGTTGCCTCAGAAAGGCTATAATTCTTATTTCTCAACAAAAAAAAAATATTTTTGGTATCTTGTTACAGTTTCCAAAAAAAATAATTAATTGCCATGTTAATGAACTACCATAAATTTGCTTCTTTTTGCTCTGGTGGCAATTGGTATAGTTGGTATACAGTAAATAAGTATTTTGTATAGAAGTAAAAATACTACAATGTAAATAAACTAATGAGCCGCGTCACGACAAAACCAACGCAATGCGTTTGCGACTATCATGGATCCAGACCAGCCTGCGCATCCACGCAGTCTGATCAGGATCCATGCTGTTCGCTTACAAACCCTATTTCAAGTAGAGAAACTGATAGCGAACAGCATTGATCCTGATCAGACTGCGCGGATGCGCAGGCTGGTCTGGATCCATGCTGGTCGCAAACGCATTGCGTTGGTTTTGTAGTGACGCGGCTCAAATGTTTTTTTTCCCTGTAGAATATGTGATAAATTGAAGATACATTCCGAGTTGAAGAAGGCGTTAAAGCTGCAAGCTCTGTCACAGGAATTTCTTGAAACTGTTGGGTATGAGAGAAAGGATTTTGGAAAAGTAAGTATATTGCCATTAAAGTGAATGGTCTATAATGGAATATATGTAATACTATAAATATTCAGTGATTTTATTTTTAAATTTCAAAATAACCTTAAAATAAATGGCTTTCTGAAGGGGAAAATAGAGCACAAACAATCAGAAAATGGGGAAAACCTAATATCAAATTTGAATGGATTTTATCCACACATTTAATAAATTTTTCAATTTCAGTTCAATTTAACATGCATCGTTTATACTATAGGCTTTCGGTCTCAGTCATTTAAGTTTATCAACTAGCTGATATGTCAGCTGCTGTTAAGTCATGGTTCTGGTGTCAGAAGAATGCACACAGCATTTCAGGGGAAAATATAGCATTTTTAAGGGAAAATATACCTATCTGGGGCTAGTGGAAACAGCCTTTATTTGACTGTGAAATATAGGGTGGGGGGAGTCTCTGATATAAGTTATTATTAAATAAGCATTTTTAGCTCACCTGTCACAAAGTCTGTCGTCCGTCCGTCGTCCGTCCGTAAACTTTTGCTTTAAATGACATCTCCTCATAAACCACTGAGCCAATTTCATCCAAACTTCACAGGAATGTTCCTTTGGTGGTCACCTTTAAAAATTGTTCAAAGAATTTAATTCCATACAGAACTCTGGTTGCCATGGCAACCGAAAGAAAAATCTTTAAATATCTTCTTTTAAACAACCCTAAGAGCTAGAGCTTAGATATTTGGCATGAAACATCTTCTAATGAGTGTCTACCAAGTTTGTTCAAATAAAAGCCCTGGGGTCAAAATTGGCCCCGCCCCAGGGGGTCATAGATTTTCCCTATATGCATATAGTAAAAACTTAAAAAATCTTCTTTTAAAGAACCCAAAGAGCTAGAGCTAAGATATTTGGCATGAAACATCTTCTAGTGAGTGTCTACCAAGTTTGTTCAAATAAAAGCCCTGGGGTCAAAATTGGCCCCGCCCCGGGGGTCATTGATTTTCCCTATATGCATATAGTAAAAACTTAAAAAATCTTCTTTTAAAGAACTGTAAGAGCTAGAGCTTAGATATTTGGCATGAAACATCTTCTAGTGAATGTCTACCAAGTTTGTTCAAATAAAAGCCCTGGGGTCAAAATTGGCCCCGCCCCGGGGGTCATTGATTTTCCCTATATGCATATAGTAAAAACTTAAAAAATCTTCTTTTAAAGAACTGTAAGAGCTAGAGCTTAGATATTTGGCATGAAACATCTTCTAGTGAATGTCTACCAAGTTTGTACAAATAAAAACCCTGCGGTCAAAATTGGCCCCGCCCCAGGGGGTCATTGATTTTCCCTATATGCATATAGTAAAAACTTAAAAAAATCTTCTTTTAAAGAACCTTAAGAGCTAGAGCTTAGATATTTGGCATGAAACATCTTCTAGTGAATGTCTATCAAGTTTGTTCAAATAAAAACCCTGCTGTCAAAATTGGCCCCGCCCCAGGGGGTCATTGATTTTCCCTATATGCATATAGTAAAAACTTAAAAAATCTTCTTTTGAAGAACCCAAAGAGCTAGAGCTAAGATATTTAGCATGAAACATGTTCTAATGGGTGTCTACCAAGTATGTTCAAATAAAAGCCCTGGGTCAAAACTGGGCCCGCCCGGGGGGTCATTGATTTTTCCTTATATGTGTAACGCAAAAAACTTAAAAATCTTCTTGAAAAAACCCAAATAGCTAGAGTTTAGATATTAAGCATAAAACATCTTTAAGTAAATATCTACAAAGTTTGTTCAAATAAAAGCCCGGGGGTCAAAACTGGCCCTGCCCCAGGGGTGTCATTGTTTTTAACTATATGTGTATGTAAAAACTTAAAAAAAATCTTCTTTTAAAAAAACCCAATGAGCTAGAACTTAAGATGTTTAGCATGAAACATCTTCTTATGGGTAATCTACCAAGTTTGTTTCAAATAAAAACAAATAAAAGCCCTTGGGTAAAAATTGGCCCGGGGGTGGGGGGGGGGGCTATATACAGGTGAGCGAACCTCAGGGCCATCATGGCCCTCTTGTTTAGTATCACATGCAAAAAAAAAAAAAAGTTCTATATAATATGGATATTGTTGGTAAGTGTTAGATAAATTTTCGAGTAAAAAGTGTTGCAACGTTATTCATTTTTGAGTCATTTTACACAATAACATTAACTATCTGGAAAAATGAGGTGAGGGACTGACTGATCTGAAAACTTGCAAACAAGTTGTTGGTTTAGACCTACTTCAGATGGTAGACCAGTCTGAGTAAAATATTTAAGTCCAAACCTCAGTGCTGTCCCTTTAAGGGTTTTAAAAATAGAACTGGAAAAAAAAACTGTATTTTGAAAGATGAAATCCAATATGGACGTTTTACTTCCATGTCCGGAAACTATTTTTTGTATGAAATTACATTGTACCCTTACAGAGTGAGATTTCATACACCTTCCTTAATCAGTTGAAAACATGACCATTCCCACATAATATTTATTGGATATTTAAAAGGCCTTTTTTTTTTTTTTAAATACATGTACAAAATTATTACTTATCTTAATTATCCATGTGTGTGTGTTCATTCAGCATTCTTCCTTTTAAGATTTCTAAAGGATATTCAGAGGTTAAAAAACTAATTCCTATTTCTGCATAATGTGCTAGACTATACTTTCATTAACTGTCTTGGTGATGAGAAATACTGTATTGTCTCTATTTTACGCCCCCAGGGGCTTGCATTTTTGCAAAAGGGGGGCGCTAATTAGAACTATAAAAATGTGCTTTAAAAATACAATAAAGATATAATTCAATTATAAAAATCATTATTCATTATTATGATTTAGTACATAATACAGGATTATATTTTTTTTAATTTTAAGTTACTGGAGTGTCATTAGTTGTTATTTTCAAGTAAATCTTTTAGATTGCTTTTTAATTATGGAATTTTTAATCTATAAGCCAAGATAAGAGGTTTTTTCAACAAAAAGTCACTTTTTGTTGGAAAAACCTCTTACCTTGGCTTAAAGATTTGTTTTTTGTCAACAATAAAGTTGAATAAATAAAAATTTACTTTATATTCTGTATTTTTATGACTTTTGAACACTCTAAAATACCTTAAATCTGAGAGCTTCTGGGGGCTACGCCCCCTGGTCCCCCACCAGGGAGTAAGGGGGCTCAAGGGGGCTCATTAGCTGCCCCCTTAACCCCAGGCCAAATTTCAGAGCGAACTTCTATAACACAATCACATCCCAGAAATTGGTGGGGGTGTTAATTGGAAACAGTACTGTAAAACGATATTAAAATATATAAGTTCATGTATTCGTGTATCAAAAACTGCTATATTGACGATATGGTCTTAAGATTTTTAGGAATTAATGAGACTTTCAGTACAGAAAGGTACCGATTCTGCATGTACATTCGAGACTACTTGAGCGATCTCCTGATTTTAACGACTCTCTGTCTTATCCGACCTTGTTTCAGTCCCCCTAGTCAGTTTATTTATCAAATTCAAGTTTATTTTGTAATAAAATAATTTGATATTAATCTAATACAAAAAAAAAAAAAATTTGTATGTTAAGTCACAATGGTATAATAATATAGATTGTTTTAAAATTTCAATTTTCTTTGTGACTGTATTAAGAGACTCCCTGTCATAATGTGACCCTTTTCTAAAGGTCCCTTGGAAAGTCACACATGACAGTCTTGACTGTACTATAATTTGACTAATTCTTGCAAAGCATTATCTACTGTTTACAAGTCACATGGATTTAAATAACATCATTCCCCCACACCATGTATGAATGAATTGCATTCATAGAATGATGTCTTTGCTGTTATGAAAGAAAAGAGTATGAAATAAAAAATATTATTTTCCTTAATTTGTTTCCCAATTCTGAATAATAAGTAAGAAAAATAATCAAACACCGGCCTTCATCAAAGACATTAATATCTAGCTCTCGAGTAATTTAAGCAGAAACTCGACAGAGACTCCAGTTACCTCAAGGTAAATATTCCGGTTTGTACCGGCAGCTGGTGTTAGATCCTTGTATTACTTTTGCTGACAGAACTCTTTTGTTTTAAGCTCAACATAGATACATGTATAGTGCTCAGGTGAACTTTTGTGATCACAATTTGTCTGACGTTTATTGTCCGTCTGTGCATCCATCGTCAACTTTTTAGACAAATGACATCTTCTCTGAAACAATTTGGATTGAATTTAATGAACTTTTTGAGGATGATCCTAGCATGAAGCTCTACTAAAAATTTTAAAATATTATTAAACCTTTACTGAAGAAAGCGAACAACAGATTTTTTTTCCCACTATTATATAAAAAATATGATACCCTGAAAAATCAAATAAAATTATTTTGTATTCCAGTAACAGGGATATCCCTATCTTGTTAACCAAATGTATAGTAACATGGTAACATGTACTAATGAGTGAGGCCAGTTAACCTATTGCGTGAGCTGCAAAAGGATTATGTTGGCACTTTAAACAACAATAAACAAATGAAATTGAAATTTGATTAAAATTAACAATGAATCATTTATTTTTTATTACAGACGGATACTCACTACTCTATACTGTTGTTTTTGTTGTTGATATCTAACGATCCTGTACATAGTGAATATGTAGAGACTATAAACCATACATCAAAAGGTAAAGTGTGATAACACAAGAAATCTTTATTTATTAGTTTATTTGTAATATGTCAAAATTTGGACTGAATACATTACCATTTTGCTCTTAAAGTGTATAAACTATAAAGCTATATATATATTGCAAAAATTATTGTTTGAATTTTAAAAAAGTATATATTTCAAAATGCTTGTATGAAATAAATATGGTAATTTATTGCCTTAAAAGCGAACGGTGCATGCACAAAATCATTGCTAAATGGATAAAACACCACTTAAAATAGCAAAAATAATATTTTGTTCAGGAAAATTTATTCTGTTTAGGTACATTTTTCTTGTGTATTAAATAACAGAGACATTTTATGTTAAAACTTTTTCGGGAATCAACCATATAATAATGGTAATTATATAATTTTAATGTTGATAAATTTTATTGAAATATTTCATAAGGTAAAAATTAATACCCTTTAACATTGTATAAAGTCTTTGTTCGAGTCATGTTGCCTGCTACAGAGTAAAACAAGTAAAGTACTTGCGCATACATGTTTTAAACAGATTTCCCGGTTTGAGATAATTATGGCCCTTGAATAAAAAAAGTCGTTTTGGCCGGTTAATGATTTTTGTGTTGCCTGCTACAAAATAGCTACCACAATCAGTTATCCTTCATCCGTCCGTCTGACCTTACAGTTGGATATTTACAAATCATCGTGCATTTCACATTTACTTAGTATGCTAGTAATATCAATTTGACTGAGGTTTATTTTGTTTATAGAAGTCAAAGAGGAGATTGACTGGGGTGCTTATTTGTTAGAAGGAATTGAAATATATGACCCAAGTGATGGGGAATTGTCAGTAAGTAACATTTAACATCTTTCAATCATGCATTTTTTCAGTGTATTGTTTATGGGGACTTTTGATTTATACAAAATTTATTTTAGTTCAATTGTGTTGGAGGCTTAAAGCTTATAGGCATACTTTTGAATCCATTCCTGGAACCAACCAGTACTGAGCAACAAATGTAAAGTTTATTGCTCAAGAAAACAATGGCTTGCCCCTAACGGGGTTTCAAGCCAAACTGAAAGCGATCCTTAGATTATTACTTAAAGCATTAACCACTCGGTCATGCTGCCACTTAGAAGTTTACTGCTGTAAATTGGATACTCTAGTCTTTGATACCTTAAAAAGTCCATGCAGTTCATTTCTGAAGGTAGTTTACAAAAAAAAAAATATTTTACATGACTGGTGACTAAAGTTGAACTTAGACTTCATTAGAAGTTATAATGCTTAAGTATATATAAGAAAAATATTAAGTATTCAACAACACAACTCAATACTGGTTGGAAATCAACATGACTGATGTTGCCAAGTTACGGCTACTCAGAAATGAATGTCAGCCCAAGTTAGACTGTACATAAGAATTAAAAAAAAAAAACAACAGTCGCATATACTTGTAGTCCCTAAGCAGCGTTTATTGGCAGTTTAACTCCATTTTCTTTCTTCTTTGTGTTTTGCGACAAAATCACATCACATTTTAGAAAAGTGTATAATAAATGCCCTTTAAAATCATCCAGTCAAACATTAGTTTGGTCATAACTTTTTAGCTCACCTGTCACAAAGTGACAGGGTGAGCTTTTGTGATCGCTTTTCGTCCGGCGTCCGTCGTCCGTCGTCCGTCCGTCGTCCGTAAACTTTTACTTTAAATGACATCTCCTCATAAACCACAAGGCCAATTTCATCCAAACTTCACAGGAATGTTCCTTTGGTGGTCACCTTTAAAAATTGTTCAAAGAATTTAATTCCATGCAGAACTCTGGTTGCCATGGCAACCGAAAGAAAAAACTTTAAATATCTTCTTTTAAAAAACCATAAGAGCTAGAGCTTAGATATTTGGCATGAAACATCTTCTAGTGAGTGTCTACCAAGTTTGTTCAAATAAAAGCCCTGGGGTCAAAATTGGCCCCGCCCCGGGGGGTCATTGATTTTCCCTATATGCATATAGTGAAAACTTAAAAAATCTTCTTTTAAAGAACTCAAAGAGCTATGGCTAAGATATTGAGCATCAAACATGTTCTAATAGGTGTCTATCAAGTTTGTTCAAAGAAAAGCCATGGGGTCAAAATTGGCCCTGCCCCAGGGGGTCATTGATTTTCCCTATATGCATATAGTAAAAACTTAAAAAATCTTCTTTTAAAGAACCAAAAGAGTTAGAGCTAAGATATTTAGCATGAAACATGTTCTGATAAGTGTCTACCAAGTTTGTTCAAATAAAAGCCCTGGGGTCAAAATTGACCCCGCCCGGGGGGGTCATTGATTTTTCCCTATATATGCATATAGTAAAAACTTAAAAATCTTCTTTTAAAGAACTCAAAGAGCTATAAAGATATTTAGCATCAAACATGTTCTAATAGGTGTCTACCAAGTTTGTTCAAATAAAAGCCCTGGGGTCAAAATTGGCCCCGCCCCGGGGGTCATTGATTTTCCTTATATGTGTATAGCAAAAACTTAAAAAATCTTTTTTTGAAAAAAACCCAAATAGCTAGAGTTAAGATATTAAGCATGAAACATCTTTTAGTGAGTGTCTACAAAGTTTGTTCAAATAAAAAGACCTGGGGTCAAAATTGGCCCTGCCCCGGGGTCATTGATTTTCCTTATATGTGTATAGCAAAAACTTAAAATCTTCTTTGAAAAAACCCAAATAGCTAGAGTTTAGATATTAAGCATGAAACATATTCTAGTAAGTGTCTACAAAGTTTGTTCAAATAAAAACCCTGGGGTCATAACTGGCCCGGCCCCAGGCGTGTCATTGTTTTTAACTATATGTGTATAGTAAAAACTTTAAAAAAATCTTTTAAATAGCCCAATGAGCTAGAGCTTAGATGTTTAGCATGAAACATTTTCTTATGGGTGTCTACCAAGTTTGTGCAAATAAAAGCCCTGGGGGTTGGGGCGGCCTATATACAGGTGAGCGACCTCAGGGCCATCATGGCCCTCTTGTTTGAAATGGATTTCATTCCATTTTATTTACTTTATCCAGGATTGGACTGAAGATGAAGATAGTGAAGAAGAGCAGGTAGGAAGAGTTACTGCCCCTAGCAATGATCAGTCATTTGATAACAGACAGACTGTGACGCCGTATATTGTCTCAGGTATGTAAAAGTTACTGCCCCTTACAAGAATTGTACATTTGTTTAAAGCAGACTGTGACACCATATATTGCCTCAGAGGTATGTAAGAGTTATTGCCCCTTACAGTAATCAAGGCTTAATATACATACTATCGGTAGCAAAGTTTCTGCACAAGTTTATTCAAACGGATAATTGTCATTGTTGACTTTGAAATGATGATTTATGTATTTAATTATTTTTAGATTCAAGCACTGTTCATGAGGTGGAGCCAAGAGAAACGGAGGATTTTGATTGGCTGTCGAGAAATTTGATAGCACAGTATTGGAAAGGAGAGAAACTGGATGTGGAGACAGGAAAATACAGGTCCTGTCAGCTCAACAACAACTGGTATTCTAAATCATTACTTTCTAGCAAGCATAATAACTTTCCTAGGTCATTTATACCAAATCAGACAGCATGTGCTATCTATGATAATTCATTTTTATGTTCCCAGAAGGGTTTAGCATATAGTCGCCGCTTTGTTTGCCCGTCCGTCTGTTCACACTACCAAATATAGATAGGGGGCTATCTAACTGTAAATTGAACAATAGAGAACAATAGAATTTATTCCGTAACAATAGAATAAGGGGCCATGGCCCTCTATTTAACAAAAGAAATAACAATAGAAATGGCTCTTTATCCCTATTCGGTCCGTCAGACGTCCGTCTGTCTGTCTGCTTTTTGTCCGGGGCATAACTTTGAAACCACAAGAGGTATCAAAATGAAACTTTAGCAGTAGATACATGTAGATCTTATTGGGTATATGTGCAGTGCACAAGAACCGTAACTCTGCTTTGACTAATTTTTGTGTTATTGCCCTTTGTTCAATTTTACACTTTGAACTTTGTCTGGGACATTACTGTGAAACTACAAGAGGTATTAACAAGAAACTCACTTGGTAGATAGATCTCATTGAGTAGAAGTAAAGTGCAAAGAACAGCAACTCTGCCTTACCTTACTTTGGAATTATCGCACTTAAAGATTTCTGCGGGACATAACTACAAAATGTATATTTTTGTGTTTCCAAAACCTATTCAGGGAGCATCACCCGGTTCAGCTGGCAAAGTTATGCCCCTTTTTTACTTTTTTGTGTGTCATAGGCTGGAATGGAATATTCTACTATTGATCTTGTCACAGACAGGTCCTATAGGTTTCTAGGTTGCGATATACACTTTTAGACAATCTTTCAGGCCAATTTTATGAAAGACTTACTATCTTTTGCGTGTAAGTGTATTTACCTATGTTATTTTACCACTCAGGGAGGCATACAAAGAAAGAATCAACCCACTGCATGGAGACGGGAATAAATTGGTAGTCACTGAAAATGTACTTCTGAGGGAAGTGATATGGTAAATTTTCTTCTGTAATCTAATTCGATGACACTAGTTATATACTTGAATGGATGCCGTTTTTATGTAACCTATTAAGGGAAGTTGGGGGGTGGGGTCATGTAGAATTTCTATCTGTCCTGTCCTGCTGTACGACAGTGGACTAACAAAACAGTGGAATGTAGGGGCATCTGTGTCCATTTCTAGTTTCAATAACCTTCTGTATGTTTTTCCATTTAAAATGACCTGGTTGACCTATGTAAGAAATCATTTACTATTTTTCTCAAGTTTTGCTGGAGGATGGCCACTTTAAAGGTCAAATATGCAATATTGAAATCGTAATATGAAAGTGTATAAAGCTATGTATTTGCCAAAACAATTAGATATAACTGCAGAATATTTCATTTCCGAAACGTTTAGTTCTGGTTACGTAAATTTTCATGTATATTAAATTACTTAGACATTGTTAGTGACACAATAATTAGGTCACAAAAACAGCATACATGTAACATACATTTTATAAATTTTAAATTTTTATAAAATATTTCATCAGTAACAGGGTTTTCATTTTTATCTGAGGCAAAAGATGTCCTAACAATAACAATTGAATTGGCTAAAGGTCAAGGGGGAAATTTCAATCTACAGGCTGAAAATACAGTCATTTTTAATAGCATTTCAACCAATGATATTGATTGCCAATCTGTTATTAATGAAATAGATAAATGCAGAATCCTTAAAGAAAGCCCAACACGGAAAAATTGAAAATGTTGCAGGCTCGGTTTGATTGAGCCTGTTCATGGACGGTACTGGAAAGTGCAAGTTACCGTCCACGCCCCCTAGCACCGGCTTAAGCAGAATTCAACATTTAAACATCAAATAGTAAAATTTTGAATTTAGAAACATCCGCAGATGTGTTCTACAGCGGTTATCATGGAACCTTCAAAACCATGCAAGATATAATCTTTATACACTTAATAGAAAAAACAAGAGGAAACTTAATAAAGACACGAATCTGTATACATTATACAGGATGTTGATGGGAATATCCAACCTGTACCTCATTGAATTTAATGGACGGTTCTTTGTACCAAAGCACGAGGTTTGTGTACCACATTTGTCGGAGGAATCCCTACATACATGCCTTACACAGTTCACCAGATACGGTGCCTACATACAAATTCTACAGGTAATTGTGGTGTACATTTTTCTTTGGGATTTTTGGGGGGTGGGGGGATTGGGAGTTTTTCCCCCAATATTTAGCTCAACTATTTGAAGAATAGGGAGTGCTTATGTACTCAGCCAAGTGTTAATTTTTTTCGTGCAAATTAGTATCTACAAAACTACTTAAGGGAAAGGGTTGAAACTTCACACACTGATTTGAGAGTATAATAGGAGGTCACTTTCCAATACCCATAACTCTAACATGGATTTTGAAAGAATTATGGCCCTTTTTGACCTTATAAAATTCTACATTATCCAGGCTCTTTTTAGCTCACCTGTCACAAAGTGACAGGGTGAGCTTTTGTGATCGCTTTTCGTCCGGCGTCCGTCCGTCCGTCCGTCGTCCGTCCGTCGTCCGTCCGTCCGTAAACTTTTACTTTAAATGACATCTCCTCATAAACCACTAAGCCAATTTCATCCAAACTTCACAGGAATGTTCCTTTGGTGATCACCTTTAAAAATTGTTCAAAGAATTTAATTCCATGCAGAACTCTGGTTGCCATGGCAACCGAAAGAAAAAACTTTAAATATCTTCTTTTAAAAAACCATAAGAGCTAGAGCTTAGATATTTGGCATGAAACATCTTCTAGTGAGTGTCTACCAAGTTTGTTCAAATAAAAGCCCTGGGGTCAAAATTGGCCCCGCCCTGGGGGGTCATTGATTTTCCCTATATGCATATAGTAAAAACTTAAAAAATCTTCTTTTAAAGAACTCAAAGAGCTAGAGCTTAGATATTTGGCATGAAACATCTTCTAGTGAGTGTCTACCAAGTTTGTTCAAATTAAAGCCCTGGGGTCAAAATTGGCCCCGCCCCGGGGGGTCATTGATTTTCCCTATATGCATATAGTAAAAACTTAAAAAATCTTCTTTTAAAGAACCCAAAGAGCTAGAGCTAAGATATTTAGCATGAAACATGTTCTAATGGGTGTCTACCAAGTTTGTTCAAATAAAAGCCCTGGGGTCAAAATTGGCCCCGCCCCGGGGGGTCATTGATTTTCCCTATATGCATATAGTAAAAACTTAAAAAATCTTCTTTTAAAGAACTCAAAGAGCTAGAGCTTAGATATTTGGCATGAAACATCTTCTAGTGAGTGTCTACCAAGTTTGTTCAAATAAAAGCCCTGGGGTCAAAATTGGCCCCGCCCCGGGGGGTCATTGATTTTCCCTATATGCATATTGTAAAAACTTAAAAAATCTTCTTTTAAAGAACTCAAAGAGCTAGAGCTAAGATATTTAGCATCAAACATGTTCTAATAGGTGTCTACCAAGTTTCTTCAAATAAAAGCCCTGGGGTCAAAATTGGCCCCGCCCCGGGGGTCATTGATTTTCTTTATATGTGTTTAGCAAAAACTTTAAATCTTCTTTGAAAAAACCCAAATAGCTAGAGTTTAGATATTAAGCATGAAACATCTTCTAGTAAGTGTCTACAAAGTTTGTTCAAATAAAAGCCCTGGGGTCAAAACTGGCCCGGCCCCAGGGGTGTCATTGTTTTTAACTATATGTGTATAGTAAAAACTTAAAAAAAATCTTCTTTTAAAAAGCCCAATGAGCTAGAGCTTAGATGTTTAGCATGAAACATCTTCTTATGGGTGTCTACCAAGTTTGTGCAAATAAAAGCCCTTGGGTTAGATTGGCCCTGCAATGTTGGGGGGGGGGGGTGTTGGGGGGGCCTATATACAGGTGAGCGACCTCAGGGCCATCATGGCCCTCTTTTTTACTATTAGCAGCTCTTGTTTTCATTATTCAATACAATTATTTATATCCAATATAGAAGTGCTGAGTTATTAGATATGTTTTGCTCTCCAGAGACCATGGAGTGTGTTCAAAATAAACTACTCTGATAAGTCAATTTCCTTTGCCAATCCGCACTTTTTAAGACATATTCAAAACAAATGTTATTAATATACATGTATGTGACATCTATTGTAGCATATTTGTTTGAACTAAATTGATTTCTTAAAAATGTTGCCTGCAGGGTCTATTTTTTCTATTCCAATATGTTTATTTGTGAATGATTTAGGGACATCATGCGTATTTCCCGTGCATTATAATATATGCATGCAAGCAATTGTTAATCATTTATTATTATATACCTCTCTGCATTTGAATACAGATTAGAAAATATCATTATGTCTTGCCAGAAAACTGTACCACTGTGTTCACAAAGGATATTGATTTATCCTTTGAGTCTGTCTTTATTTGATATTACTATAACAGGTCATAGGAGCTCAGTCTCTTCAATGAGTTTATTATTTTGATTTTTTACCTGGTCTTTTTCGAAGAATTATGATCGCTGCAGAGAAGGTGGAGTTGTCGTGCAAGAACTTTTAAAGTAGCTTGTAATCCAAACATTAGGAAAGTTATCAATATGAAACTTGGTATGGTTGCTTATCATGACAAGGTGCAGTTGTTAAACTAGGGGAATAATTCTGAAAGCTTTATTTTGGGAGTTATGCCCCTTTTTGTCCCTTAGAATTTTTATCAAAAAGTCACCTTATAATATGTTGGTATGACATAAAACCCAACCAGCCAGAAAAAAACCGGTACTGCTTTGTTCCAGGAAGATGACTTGAAAGTAATTTATATAAAAATGAACATGATTCATAATTATGTATAGATAAATATGGGTAATGTTTAAAGATCCTGTAACACAATTTTTTTCCATTAAACATTATTTATGAAGATATTACTGAATTTAACATTACATGTAAATAAAGGGAGGTAATTAGAAATTTATTTTCTAAAAAGATTTATTTTCTATAAAGTCTAAGTCAAATTTTTCAGTAAGAAATGAATGCATATATTTTAATGATTACATATAATATGTACACAAATATTTGTAGTACATATCTTACATATTCTTCGATGTTTGAAAATTGTTTTATAAGCATAATTATATACATATATATAAAATTTCACTTAAGTGTGGTATACAAGGGGCCTCCGTGGCCGAGTGGTTAAAGTGGCTGACTTGAGATCACCGGTCCCTCACCGCTGTAGGTTCGATTCTCACTCTTTCATGTGAGGAAGCCATCCAGCTGGCTTATGGAAGGTCGGTGGTTCTACCCAGGCGCCCGCTCGTGCCTGAAATAATGCCTGGAGGGGCACTTGGGGTCTTCCTCCACCAATAAAGAAATCTGGGCGTGATGCTCCAGGATGTCCCGACTTGAGTGTACGGTTGTCCATATGGGCTTTCCGGCAGCGACCTTAAATAAACGCATCAAAAAAAAAGAAGAAAAAAAGTGGTATATAACCTCAATTATAACATACAGGATCTACAAATATATCAACAGCAATCATTTGATGATAAAATGTTGCATTTCTCTATTCTAGATGACAAACCATTGCCTTTGATTGATTGATTGATTGATTGATTGATTGATCAATGGATTTCTTTATCTTTGCTTAGTTTGAAGTTTTTAGATATACATGTATAATGCAGTCATTTTTGTCCACTTAATATGGAAGAGACCTTAGCCTTCTGATTTTGAGAAAAATTAATGCTAACATTGCTAATGTCAGGGTTTTTGTTTTTTTGTGGAAATTGCTTTTAAAGGAAATTTCCATTGGAAAATTGTCTTTTCTAGGCCCCTGTTATATGACGTGAAATTACTGTAATGATTTTGTATTTATTCAGAACTTTGTTGAAGACTGTAGTCATGGTAACAGGTCAGATATATGTCAGACCTACCAATCGTTCGCCAGTACAGTTGCTGATTTTCTACGTGATCTGAAGACACAACTATCTAAGATTGAGCAGAAACTTATTAAACAAGGTTTGTACATTTACTTATATAAGTACCAAAAACAGCAAAAATATTTAGAAAGCTTTACATGATATGATATTTCTTGTAGATTCTACATTCTAAGTTTTGGGGCATCCCTGGCTGAGTGGTAAGGTAGTTGACTTCATACCACTTGCCCTCACTGCTGTAGGTTCAAATCTCGGCAGGGAGTTTAGATTCTTTCTAGCTATCCAGTTAGCTGAAGGAAAGTCAGTTGTTCTACTTAGGTGCCTGTTCATGCCTGAAATAAAGCACAGAAGGGCACCATAGGTCTTCTTTGCCAGTAAAGCTGGAAAGTTGCCATGTGATATTTTGACACAATTCTGTGGTGGTGGGATGGTAAATTCCAAGCAAAAAAATCCTACATTCTAACACACTTCACTCTATTCCCTTATCAAACAGTCAAATGCATTATTACACAATATATACACAGCATAAAAAGAATGCTTACACATCATATGATGTCAGATATGACGTTAATAAACCAAACAACATCGGAAAAAAAAATTATGCTCAATGTAGTTCAATAAATTTTCATCATTTCAATAAATATACATGTAGATTATTTTTGAATAATAGTGAAATGATGCACAGTTTATTCTTTCAAATGCTTTGTATTTTATCACAATCACCTTTGTGAGACCTATGGACCTTTGTGATTATTTTCTTGCTCATATTAACTCAAAACCGTGCATTCTTCTACAACAATGCACTCAAAATTGATATCTATTTCTTCAGCTTCTTTTCTGATAGATTAGGACAATTGCTTTCAGTCTTAAGGGTGTTAAGGTGCATCTGTTTGTGTTTAACAATATTCTTGATGTTTTTCTTTTTAGAGGAAGTTTTGACTTTACTCACAGTTGCCAGGGATATTGAGCCGTTGATGCACAAAGTTGGTATAATATGTCTGGTGTACATGCGTGGAATACACCAAGGAAAACAGTATAAACTGGCAAGCCAGAAAGCTACATTACTATTGACAACGTTATATAATACGCTACTTAGTTGTGATATACTGTTTGTAACACCTCTGTTGGACGGAGAGTACATCGACCTAAATTTTGGACAGAAATATAATGCCACTGATCTGGTAAGGATGATAATTTACTGTTTGATTTATGTATGAATCTAAAGGATTCAACACACAACTTTTACTGGACTACATACCATATTCTTTCCATTTTACAATCCTTCATCCCTCGAAATAAGCGTCCCCGACCTCCACAACATTTTCAAGACGAAAAAAACATATAGATTATAATCCAAAATGATAGAGAATAAAAAAAGGAAAAAATATTTTTATTTAAAAAATAATTAATGACACTCAAGTAATGTCGGATTATTAAAAAATATAATCCTGTATTGAATTATCAATTATTATAACATAATAATGAATAATGATTTTTACAATTGATCGGTACATGTATCTTCTATAAACATATTTTAAAGCACATTATTATACATGTAGTTCTAATTAGCGCCCCTTCCCCTTTTGAAAAAGTACAATACGGTATTGATAAAGCATAAAGGACAAATAAATGTCACATAATGTCATGTGGAAATATACCACAGACATACATACTTATTGAACAAAAAAAAATAAAATTGTGTCTGGTAAGGATTGGTGATTACATGTATATAAATTGCATTGGAAATCTAAAACACAGTTTTTAATGCTAAATATCAAGTCCATTCATATATTCTGTCATATATTGAGTTGAGGGCTTAGAGCGAAACTGGTCCATCTTGATATAGAAATAAAAACAGATAGACCAGCATAGGATCAGACACTTATATAAAATCAGACAAGACATAGTTTACACACAATTTATTTAAGCTGAATGGTGTAGGGAATCTATAAGCTTATAGACACACTCTCAAATCGAGTTAACTAGTACTGAGCTATGTTGCTCAAGAAAACGATGACTCGACCCTCATGGGATTTAAACCCATACAGCTAGTATTCTTTAAATTTACTAGCCATAATTATGTGTTAACCACTTGACCATGCCATCATAACCAGACCTAAGACTGTTGTCTTCTAAATTTAAGTAGTACAACAATCAGGTTTTAACAGTAATACTCCCCCTTGTGGCTGAGAGGTTGTCTTTAAGGGTTTAGGCATCATAATTGCAGCCACCGTTTATCTCTGCATAATCATAAGAGGCAACTCTTAGCTCCAGCAGATGAGGTTGTTTGACCTCCAGTGTTGCTTTAAGTTTGTAACACATGAGGTTATCTGAATTCATCTTTTCTATTCTACTTTCGTCTAAGAACATGTATAAGATAATGAATGAAAAATGTAAGAATCAACAAAAAAAAGCAATATTGTTCTACTTTGTTATCATGACTTCTGTGTCTCGAGATACTGCCCCACTGTAGTGAATTAAATCCATAAGTATTAACAAAAATTTAATAATGTATATGTAAATTATAAAAAAGAAAGGTATATATTTACAGTTGAAGTTGTTACTGCCCATGTGGATACAGACCTGTCGTCCATACATTAACATCATAGACACTTGGATATCACACGGTTATCTCACTGACCCATATCATGAGTTCATCATTCAGAGGTTAAATTTTTTCAGTTCAGTTTAGCTACTAAAAATGCTTTTCAATCTCTATTCAGTTAAGTAACTGCAAATTCTTCGGAATTCAACTTTGTTATCATGACCATGTTAAATGAATTATCTTCTCCAATTTATATTGGCTACTGCGTTAGTAACGTAATGGATTATGCAAAGGAAAACCACGATATATTGACACTTTGTCAACATTCTTTCTTGAATTTAGATGTCAGTAATAATGAATTTACACATTAAAACTAACTAGAGCAGTATTTACCGCTTACTTGAAATTATGTTCCATTCATTTCATTTGACCATCTGGATGTCAGTGGCTTTAAAAATTATTTTCGATTCAGTTTTGTTATTAAAAATTCTTTTCAATTCAGTTTAGTCACCTAAAATTCTTATCAATTATGTTTAGTTACAGTTTAGTTACTACAATTTTTTCATAATTCAGTTTATTTACTAAAAATGGTTCTCAATTCAGTTTAGTCACTAAAAATTCTTTTCAATTCAGTTAAGTTACTAAACATTCTTCTCTATTCAGTTCAGTTACTAAAATTAATCTGAATTCAGTTTAGTTACAAATAATGCTTCTCAATACAGTTTAGTTACTAAAAATTCATTTCAATTCAGTTTAGTTATTTAAATGTTTTCACAATTCAGTTTGGTTACTAAAAATTCTTCAATTAAAATTCAAAACTATTTTTTTTTTAATTTTGTTGAATTACTTTTTACATGGTTCTTATAAAAATTGTCGATCATTTATATGTTAGATGAATGGATATATCTGTTTTATTGGTAGCAAAAAGGTTTAATTAAAGCTCTTATTTATCAATATTAAATAACACCCTTTTCCTAAATTCCTGAGACATATCATTGAAGAAAATTTTGACCGATATATTATAAAATTAAAATTCTATTCTTTGTTTTTAGGAACAAAGAAATCGGAACTCTTGATGAAACATTTTGGGAGAAATCCTTTGCCTTCCACACTATGGTTAAAGACCCTGATAAATCTAGAAGTACTCCGGACAAAAAGGTGCAGGAATACGATACAATGGACTGGGCACCCAAATTTTTACAGCCAGTGCTGCAGCAAACAGTGCTAACAGGAAAATCAATGGAAATGTTAGAAGGACTTGGGAAATTAGCAGAATATGATGGGAAAGGATTTTCTGATCATTTGAATGGTACATTCCATTAACACTATTGACACAATCTTAATTTGAGCCGTGTCATGACAAAACCAACATAATGCATTTGCGACCAGCATGGATCCAGATCAGCCTGCGCATCCACGCAGTCTGATCAGGATCCATGCTGTTCGCTATCAGTTTCTCTACTTGTCATAAATTTTGGTAAGCGAACAGCATGGATCCTGATCACAATCGCACTATGTTGGTTTTGTCGTGTCGCGGCTCCTTTGTTGTTATAAAACAGAGACAGGTCATAATTATGATGAATGTGATATCTATGTACTTTTATACACGAATATTAGCTCTGAATGTAGGTTAAAATTTAAGAGATAGTGAAAAGTGTGCTTTATTCCAATGTGTGTGTGCTATTGAAAATGTATTTTGTAATTTTTAGCTTGACTATTTGAAGAATATCGAGAGCTATTTTGCTCACTCCGATTTCGGAGTCTCACTTTAGTTAAGTTTTCGCAAGCAGGCTGGTATCTTCAAAACTACTGAATGGAATGGGTTTAAACTTCTCAAACTAATTTGAGAGCATAATAAAAGGTCACTGGCCATGGTCCATAACTCTAATATGGATTTTAAGAGAATGATGACCCTTTTTGAACTTAGAAAATTGTTCATTATCTAGGCTCTTGTTTTACTATCAAGCACTGAGAATAGTCAAGCACACTGTTTGCAGTCCTACCAACAGCTCTTTTCAAATGACTGGTTTCAGGATAATAATTTGTTGCAATGACTAATCAAATTCATGACCCTTGGTTTTACAGTCCAACAGTTTGCCACAGGGATGAATACTGTATGTGTATTTGAATTGGCGGAAGCAAATTTTCGTGGGAAGGTCCATTTTAGGGGTCTATACAAATATTTGGGCTATTTTGCATTTGCAGAGGTGACTGCTGAAAATCATGAACTCGGAAAATCATAAATTTGCGTAGTGAATTGACTGCTGTTTAAACTGTGCCTGTAACATTCAGTTCTGTATATAAATTAATTTGCTTGTGTATTATTGTTTGACTGATATGATTATCAGATTTCTTGAATGTGTACATACATATTTCTATTGCATCAAGCTAATTGTTTAACAGTTTGCGTCATAAACATCTGGCACCTGATCTGATCAGATTATATTTTGTTTTTCTAGGAACTAGGAAAACAGAGCACAATTACTCATTATTTTCATAAAATCGTACGTAATGAAAGCATATAAACACACTGATATATACATTGTTCTACAGAAGCGCAAAATTAGGGCAATTAAGAAGTAATCTGTTTAGAAATATTCATGCTTAACATGAATTCGCGGATCGAATGTCACCGCAAAGATCGCAAAAATTTTAAGCCCACTAACATTTCTACACATACAGTACTTATTGATAGGCAAATATTTTGGGTCAAATCTTGCCATATGCTATTCCTTTATTTTACGTTTCAGAATTTAAAGAAACTCACTTATATGACAAGTTTATCTCCTCCTTGCTTACTCTTCTTGGGACTAAAACTGATTCTAACACTGAAGAGGAAACAAGGGAGAAAACTCCAAGTGAACCAGTATTCTCCCCTGAAATTGAAGTTCAAATGAAGGAAAAGGGAATACATGATAGTTTCTTGAAAATGCATTTTGAAAACCTAATGAAACAAGACTCAGATCCACATCGTATCATAGAAGAAAACTTTGCTATGTAAGTTTGTTTATTTGTTTGTAAGTATGTTTGTCTGCAACATATGAACATTATTGTGAACTTTAGTGTCTACAGTGCCGGGTATATTTAATTTCCTCTTGAACCATAGCTGAGTGGTAGCAACAACAGACTCTACCCATACCACAAGTGCACACCTAAGATCAGGTGGCACATCCATGCCCTCTAATATAGTCTGCACTGTCTGTGCATTATTCGGTTAGTACTTATTTTGAAATTTTCCCTAAAAATTGTTAACGGTTTTGTCCAGTTCAAAAGACTGACAAGTCCTTTTAAGATATTTAGCACCATAGGGGTTATAAAAACGTAATTTGTACTTTTTCTGTCCAAAAATGGTATTGTATGCTTTCGAAACTTAAAGGGATTCCACTGAGAGTTTTTTTACAGGACTAGAAATAATTTTTCAAGATAAATGGTCCATTTGATGTAGGTCTGGACCAATAACTTGTATGCAAAATTTCAGATTAATCACTCACTCTGTTTTTCTTTTTTAGAATAATTCTTATTATGCTAATTGAGAAAGATAACCAAAAATTAAAAAAGCATTGCAACACTTTTCACTCAAATTGGGCTAAAAATAGCTCAAAAATATGTTACTGTCTGAAGATAACAGAAATAAACATATAAAAAGTGAACGATATTTATTTTCTGCATTTCCTAGGAACTTATATTTTACATTTTAAATATCAAATTCTTCTTTCAGGAAAATGGATTCTTTGAACATGGATAATCTTCAACCTGTGGAGTTGATCTTACAGGAATGTTTATATCCTCATGTTCGTAAACAATATGAAAAAGTCTGCCTGAAGTTAGTTGACACCCTGAAAACTGAGTATCACCTGATAGATTACTTCAAGGCTATGAGGGTAAGTGAGGGTTATTTCAGGGCTATGAGGGTAAATGAGGGTTATTTCAATGCTATGAGGGTAAATGAGGGTCATTTTACGCTATGAGGGTATGTGAGGATTTCAAGGTTATGAGTGTAAGTGAGGGTTATTTCAGGGCTATGAGGGTAAATGAGGGTTATTTCAATGCTATGAGGGTAAATGAGGGTCATTTTACGCTATGAGGGTATGTGAGGATTTCAAGGTTATGAGTGTAAGTGAGGGTTATTTCAGGGCTATGAGGGTAAATGAGGGTTATTTCAATGCTATGAGGGTAAATGAGGGTCATTTTACGCTATAAGGGTATGTGAGGATTTCAAGGTTATGAGTGTAAGTGAGGAACTCATGAGGGTAAGCGAGGGCTATTTCAAGGCTATGAGTGTGAGGATATTTTTTCCAAGGCTATGAGGGTAAGTGAGGGCTATTTCAAGGCTATGAGTGAAAGCAAGGGTTATTTCAAGGCTATGAGGGAAAGTGAGAGTTACTGTAAGTCTATGCCCTGTGAAGGTTTATTTACTACTCAATGATAAGGTGTCCTTGGCTGAGTGGTTACAGCTTGTTGACTTCAAACCACTTGCCCCTCACTGCTGTAGGTTTGAATCCCGCCAGAGACTTTTGATTCTTTCATGTGAGGAAGCTATTTACTCTGCTGATTATACATATGATACATTGTATTATTTTTATCAATAATTGAAATACTTTTGGAAAATTTGTATATTCTAATTAATTCACTTTTACTTATTTTTCAGAGATTTTTCTTGATGGGAGCTGGTGATACAATGTTCATCTTTTATACAGAGATCTTTGATAAGGTAAGTCCGACAGAACAAAATAGAATAATAATATTAAGATTGCAGCTTGATATTTTTTTAACTACTAAAGATATTCATTTGGGGCATCACTTTTGTATTTCGAATAATTATTGTCGGCCACCGTATAGACCCATGAAGAAGTCACCTCAGTGCAGTAACAAGTTCACTCCTATTAAACTATATATAGAGTTAACTTGTTACTTGACAAAGGTGATTAAGTATGTATTTTGACACAACTTTTAACTACTTCTGAACTAAGTAAACTCAATCTGATAAGAGATTGTAATATATGACATCCAGTATGATATCCCAATGTGTTTTTTTTCAAGCTTACGGCCTGGTACAAACAGAGTTATAATGAAATAACTTCACAGAGTGCACTACCCTTCACAATGGATAAGTCGGCCTGTTACATTTATTTTAAAGGTTATTTGCACCCCTCGGATTAGCTGGGGAAACCAAAATATTCTTAATTCCAGAGTAAGTCTATTGTAGGTTACTTTCTCCAAGACCCATGAAAATTGAAATTATTGTACACCTTTGTTACCGCAATTATACCTGGAGAAGAACTTGCACACAATTTTATATCACTAAAATAAATAGATCCGAACAAGGAAGCTGAACAAGTCAATTCAAGAAATTCAGAGGGTCACAGGTTAAAGCTGTGTAAAAGTTCCATCTCTTTAGTCAAAATATATTGACCTGCCAAATTCCGCGATACTTTTGTTCTGTGTCAGAATCTCGTAGAGGGGAGTTTAATTGCCCATATACAAAATAGCACAATATCTCATCGTGTAGAACTATTAGTTGGGCTACCATCCATGTACAAACATTTTCTATTTTTAGATCAGATTACACGAGCACTGGAAAGACACAACAACAGTGACATGGGCATTACATGAGGCATTAGATAGACATTTCCCTGATGAGGTGGCAAGGATAGCTGTGATAGTTGATACCAGTGAAGATGACAAGGAATCTCAACCCATTAATGTGACCAATTGTCTCAAACTTCAGTATCATGTATGTACATGTATATCTAAAGAAAAATATCTGTCTCAGATTTATGAATAATTATAAAAAATCCAAAATTGTCAGACCAATTGGAATGATCGTAAAGATAAAGTTTATTTGATTTATTTATTTTTTTATTTAATAATTTGATATACCCGGAAGGTTTTTTTTTGTGCAAAGTGGATTTCAGTACCAAATATTTTTAGCTCACCTGTCACTTTGTGACAGGGTGAGCTTTTGTGATCGCTTTTCGTCCGTCGTCCGTCCGTTGTCCGTCGTCTGTAAACTTTTACTTTAAATGACATCTCCTCATAAACCACTAAGCCAATTTCATCCAAACTTCACAGGAATGTTCTTTTGGTGGTCACCTTTGAAAATTGTTCAAAGAATTTAATTCCATGCAGAACTCTGGTTGCCATGGCAACCAAAAGAAAAAACTTTAAATATCTTCTTCTAAAAAACCCAAAGAGCTAAAGCTAAGATATTTGGCATGAAACATCTTCTAGTGAGTGTCTACCAAGTTTGTTCAAATAAAAGCCCTGGGGTCAAAATTGGCCCCGCCCCAGGGGGTCATTGATTTTCCCTATATGTATATAGTAAAAACTTAAAAATCTTCTTTTAAAGAACCCAAAGAGCTAGAGCTTAGGTGTTTAGCATGAAACATGTTCTAATTGGTGTCTACCAAGTTTGTTCAAATAAAAGCCCTGGGGTGAAAATTGGCCCCACCCCAGGGGGTCATTGATTTTCCCTATATGTATATAGTAAAAACTTAAAAAATCTTCTTTTAAAGAACCCAAGGAGCTAGAGCTAAGATGTTAAGCATGAAACATGTTCTAATGGATGTCTACCAAGTTTGTTCAAATAAGAGCCCTGGGATCAAAATTGGCCCTGCCCCAGGGGGTCATTGATTTTCCCTATATGTATATAGTAAAAACTTAAAAAACTTCTTCGAAAAAACCTGAATAGTTAGAGTTTAGATATTAAGCATGAAACATTTTCTAGTAAGTGTCTACAAAGATTGTTCAAATAAAAGCCCTGGGGTCAAAACTGGCCCTGCCCCAGGGGTGTTATTGTTTTTAAATATATGTGTAAAGAAAAAACTTAAAAAATCTTCTTTTAAAAAACCCAACGAGCTAGACCTTAGATGTTTAGCATGAAACATCTTCTAATGGGTGTCTACCAAGTTTGTTCAAATAAAAGGCCTGGTCAAATAAAAGCCCTGGGGTTTAAACTGGCCCCGCTCAGTGGGGGCCTATATACAGGTGAGCGACTTCAGGGCCATCATGGCCCTCTTGTTTACATGTAGAGGTGATCACATAGACATGATAATGTAGAGATGATAAGATACACCTGATCATGTAGAGATGATCACATAGACATGATCATGTAGAGATGATCTTATAGTAATGATCATGTAGAGATGATAAGATAGACCTGATCATGTAGAGATGATCTTATAGTAATGATCATGTAGAGATGATAAGATAGACCTGATCATGTAGAGATGATCTTATAGTAATGATCATGTAGAGATGATCACATAGACATGATCATGTAGAGATGATCACATAGACATGATCATGTAGAGATGATCACATAGACATGATTATGTAGAGATGATCACATAGACATGATCATGTAGAGATGATAAGATAGACCTGATCATGTAGAGATGATCACATAGACATGATCATGTAGAGATGATCACATAGTAATGGTCATGTAAACTATTTTTAACTTAAAAGCTTTGATAGGAATTTTGTCTTTATTTTAATGTTATATGTAATATACCTGATTGAGATACTATAGTTTTTAGCTCACCTGTCACTTTGTGACAGGGTGAGCTTTTGTGATCGCTTTTCGTCCGGCGTCCGTCCGTAAACTTTTACTTTAAATGACATCTCCTCATAAACCACTAAGCCAATTTCATCCAAACTTCACAGGAATGTTCCTTTAGTGATCACCTTTGAAAATTGTTCAAAGAATTTAATTCCATGCAGAACTCTGGTTGCCATGGCAAACAAAAGAAAAAACTTTAAATATCTTCTTCTAAGAAACCCAAAGAGCTAGAGCTTAGATATTTGGCATGAAACAACTTCTAGTGAGTGTCTACCAAGTTTGTTCAAATAAAAGCCCTGGGGTCAAAATTGGCCCCGCCCCAGGGGTTCATTGATTTTCCCTATAGGTATATAGTAAAAACTTAAAAAATCTTCTTCTAAAAAACCCGAATAGCTAGAGTGTAGATATTAAGCATGAAACATCTTCTAGTAAGTGCCTACAAAGATTGTTCAAATAAAAGCCCTGGGGTCAAAACTGGCCCTGCCCCTGCCCCAGGGGTGTTATTGTTTTTAGATATATGTGTAAAGAAAAAACTTAAAAAACTTCTTTTAAAAAAATCCAACGAGCTAGACCTTTGATGTCTAGCATGAAACATCTTCTAATGGGTGTCTACCAAGTTTGTTCAAATAAAAGCCATGGGGTTTAAACTGGCCCCGCTCCAGGGGGCCTATATACAGGTGAGCAACTTCAGGGCCATCATGGCCCTCTTGTTTGTTAAAGCCTTGATATTTTAGGATTGATATTGTAGATACCCAGCCCAGTAGATGTTGTGATCAATGAGAGATGCCAGGAGATATATAATCATATATTCAGCTTTCTGCTTCAAGTCAAACGTGCCAAATATTGTCTTGATGAACTTAGATTTTATGGTAAGTTGTCTTAAATATTCACTGATTGAACTTAGATTTTATGGTAAGTTGTCTTTTGAACTTAGGTCTATGGTAAGTTGTCTGAAATATTGTCTTGATAAACTTTGATTTTTAGGTAAGTTGTTTGAAATATTGTCTTGATAAACTTTGATTTTTAGGTAAGTTGTCTTAAATATTGTCATGATAAACTTAGATTTTATGGTAAGTTGTCTTAAATATTGTCTTGATGAACTTAGTTTTTATGGTAAGTTGTCTTAAATATTGTCCTGATGAACTTAGATTTTATGGTAAGTTGTCTTAAATATTGTCATGATAAACTTAGATTTTATGGTAAGTTGACTGAAATATTGTCTTGATGAACTTAGTTTTTATGGTGAGTTGTCTGAAATATTGTCTTTAAAAACTTACATGTTATGGTATATTGTCTGTCATCACAAAACCTGCCGTCTTTAAACAACATCTCTTAAAACTACGTTCCTTGGAATGATCCTCAGGTGACCCTCAACAAATGTTTCTAGCATGAAACAGAACATTTTGTTCCCTAAAAATAACTGGCCATTAGAAGCAAAATTTGCCCTTAATTGATAAAAGTCACCCCCCCCCCTCCTTCCTCCACCCCTATTTTTGTATCATTTAGTTACAGTAGACATATCTTTGTTTTCTTTGTTATTGAAATCTTTTTTGTTTGTACAATACCCAGATCTTCGATATTTGGCATGTAGCATAAACTTGTGGTTCTTTGTAAACATTTAGTTATGCAGTTGTAGATAAAAATGACACATCCAGTGTAATATTAATAATATCTGTCATATGTTACGGTTCAGATTGGAATATTCGTCCCAAATGGGCGGGTTCCCAAGGGACAGATATTCCGATCCAATCCATAAGCATATGTCAGATTTTTTTTCTTGCATATTCTACCATATTCCATCATATTTTAGATTATTTAAAACAATTTTCCATGGAAATTTATGTCAATACAACGTAGCTATTTTCTTACAACAGCATATGAAATTATAACTTCATTCATAACGGCGAAATAACACCATCCTAAGAGTGCCATTGTATAACATGCGACTCATCTGGCACCCCCCCCCCCCTGCCAGATGAAATTTGTGACATGGATAAAACTAAGGGAAACACCAGTCTGATAAGCAAGAAAATTACTTCTGTGTTGAAAAATTGTGTCGTTTTCTAACTTTCAGTCTCAGGTGAGCATCGTGGTTCTCTTGCTATTTAACTTATGTTGCCTAGCAGATAAATATGTATTGCACATTGAAGCTGCACTCATTTATCTTCTATTTATTGACGTAAAAGTAAACACCACATTTAGCATATCACAATTATAGTAGCAGAGTTCTTTATTCTGCTAGGTAACGTGTACTAGTAAACAACATTAATTATTTTGTTTTCCTTATCCTTTATTAAAGAGAAACAAAAATAGCTTCTTTGAATAACAATGTACTACGTGAGTAGGGTCATGTTTTATTTGTTTTGCTATTTCTTTGAAATGTTTAACCTATTTTCCATGTGTTTTAGATCTAGCGAAGGAAAGCGTCCTGTCGGCAACAGATAGACTGTTTCAGTCTCAGAGTACGGACAACATCCCACGGTCAGCTAAAATCCACAGAATGCATCTTCTTAGAATGAAGCTGATCAACTTTGTGAATAGTCTGCACAACTATATTATGACAAGGGTATGCCATGTTGTTTTTTTTTAACTAACTTGTAAACCTTCTTGGTTTTATTCGATCAAATTCTGAAAATTAACTTACTTTTGTGAAAGTGTTAATCCAGGCCATTTCTTAAACACGATAATTGACAATGTATTGTTTGTCTGTAATCCTAACACATTGAATATTTTCATGCTCTAAAAGAAGGAAAAGCCTGTCACTTTGAATAAAAAATTTTTAGTATGAGATAGAACTTAAAAAAATCACCAAAAAACAGTTTAATAACTTTGAGGCCAATACATTGTAGCATGATGGAGTAGTTTTGAGACAGAACTCAGACAAAAATATTATAATCTAGAGTGAGCTATAGCAATACAAAAATATTTAATATATTAAAATGTTTGAAAACTAAGAAAAACACACTTTTCTTAATGGAGACTAGAACATTCCACGTCTTTATATATATAGCTATGTTTTAATAGATTTCAATAAATTGAACAATTCCCTGCAGATTCTGGTACTTCGGCCGATTCCGGTTTGTCGACTTCATTAAAGGAATTAAATTTCAATGATGCAACATAGGTTTCATAAGTGATGAAACTGTATGGTTCTATAAATAGACATGATGTAATATATATAGATATACATGTATTTCATTTGTAGATTTTACACAGTATTGGATTAGAGTTCACTCATGATTTACGGGAAGCGAAGGATCTTGATGAGATCATTGAGATACATGCGGGATATATTCGTAAAATACACGAGCGATGTCTACTGCATAAAAAAAATACATTCCTAAAAGAAGCCGTGCTGAAGGTTTTGAATTTATCCCTGAGGTTTCAGAAAGAATGGGATTGTGGGATTGATAATATAAGGTTAGACTTTATTTTTGGATAATACTGATTACTCTTTCGAAACGTTCTTGAAAACAGGTTTGTTCTTATGAGCCGTTTGAAGTGAATTTAGGCCTTTAAAAATATTAATATGTAATGCTACTTTGGTTTGACCAAGTCTTTGAATTTGTTTAAAGGCCCGTTATACCCCAGAGAATATCTTGTTTCTATTTCACAAAATCTTTTTGTTTTTGATGTTCTTTTATAGTTTGCAAAAAAATAACTCATTGGCCAATTATATGAACTATTTTCTTTCTTCTGTGGCGTTTAAAAGTGGAAAATGTCATGATATTTGTGTTTATAAAGAATTCAGTCCATACGTCAATGGTTGACGAAAAGTGTTTTGCCGTTTGCGAAGATTTTCCTACTGATTCATCAGACATTTTGGCGAAATATTCAATTTGATGACATTAAAAAGATCAAGAACAATAGTTATCATCACAAAAAAAAAATTGATGTTTTTTTTGTTGACAAAGTGTTATAAGACATTTTAAGTTGTGCTATTTTTAGTAACAGATCGATAAGGAAAATGTCGGACGTAGGTAGAATGGGACTCATTGAAGCGTGAAAGATATTATCAATTTATTTTGATTCAGTGGACAATTTAATAGACAAGCTCCCCTAATTTTGCTACATTTGGCCTGTGATGTTTCATTTTTTTTTTTAAATAGGAGTGAATATCCTGTATATGTATGAATATGTAAAGAAGTATTGCACAGGGAGTGTGAGATAAGCCCATGTTAGATAAGATTTTCCAGCATGGCTATTTTTTTAGCAATATTAATTGATAGTAAGAAAGAGACTGATCAAACTGCTTGAGTATGTAGACCGGTCTTGCTCTATACTTGGCGGCCATGGCTAATCATTATTGGTTCCAGTCGGCAAAGTGTAAAGTTTTGTTATTCTATGGGCATGTGGTGGGTTTTTTGTAATTAACCACCCAGATCACGGCAAGAAGCCATTTTGAATTCCCCAGAGTACAGTTCACCACTGCATCATTCCTGGGCAGGCTGTCACGCAGTTAACCTGTACTTGTGCCTACACTTGTGCAAGGACATGATATTACTTCTGTACATGCCAGAGCAGAGGTACGGTGAAAATGACCGTAGAAATCATTTCATGATCAATCAAGTGACCTGCGCCATCTGGGAATCAAACTCGGGTCGCCTGATTCACAGTCCAACGCTCTTACAATTGAGATAACTGTACGGTACCCATGACTTTCACACATTGACGTCTGTTATAGCACCAAGCCCTTTGAGTTTTCACTTGCTACCTTTACAACAATATGCCAATTTTGGATTCTTCACACTATTCATAAAACATAATATGCTTATACAATTATCACTTTATTCAAACATACATGTACATTGATTATTGATTTTTTCCAGTATGATTCAGATAGAGGACACGGAAATGGAATTTTCCCGATGTATACAATTTCTACGATCCTTCCTTAGTTCTGTTATACAGCGTGGATCTTTTCCTCACTGTAAGTTTATTTTTCTCGTAATATTTCTAGGGCTTACTAATTTTTTCAAGTGAATACTGTATAAGTGGTTAAATTAGCTATTTGAAAATGTTGGCAAATTTAGCAAATTGATGAAAATCACTAAAATTTCCTCAAGTGTAAATATCAGTCAACCTGTCATTAAATTCTACCACTGCTTGACTTGCTAATCATTAATGTTCCCTCACGCAAAATGTCTGAACTTTTTGATATACAGAAATATCTGCTTGTGCAGTAAGACCTTTGCTTGATCCTGTATGGCTGGTTAGTTTATGAACTGATAGTGCTTCCGCCTAACTCCATCTGGCGTACAGTGATGCATACACTTGTTCTCTGTGATTATCTAACATGATGGGCATAGATCCCAGGTCTAATAGCTCTGAGACACCTTTTTACAGAGTAATGTCCCTTTTCTTATTAAATAGTTAGGTGCATTGTCTAAAGGACAGCTGTTGTTACTCTTGACAGGGACTTTGGATTCTTTTGTATGAAGAAGTATCCAGCTAGCTTAAGGAACGTTGAATGGTTCTACTCAGGTGACTGTTTGTGCCTGAACTAATGCATGAAGAGGCACCAGTAAAGCTAAAAAGTTGCCATGTGACCTAAAGTTTGAGAACCATACATAAGTCCTTTTTTTATATGATAGAGCTAAGTTTTGTATAATCAGGAAATGATTAGAACCATGTTAAATGCTTGTTAAAATTTACTCTGTAAGGGACTTTTAAAGGAATCAGCTTGCTTGATAGATTGTTGATTATAGGTTTATAAATAATATTTTACAGGTATATATTATATATCATTAATTGATATATTATATCATTATTATCATATTTATATATATTTACAGTGGAGGCATTAGCTTTTGGTTTGGAGAATTTGATACCAAGATAGCGCAATGCGAATTCAAGACAAGTGGGTCAAGTGTGTACAATGAAAAGACGCCATGCTGTCACATGAGATATGGGTACAGCTTGGCTATAAAGCTACTCTTGTTACAGTATATTTATTGATACTTATGTGGTGGATAAAACATTACAAAAATTAGAGACATATATGGAGTATAAATTATATTTAAAAAACCCTAAATTATTACATGAATATTTGTAAAAAGCCATGTTTGTTTGAATGAAATCCCATATTAAAATGTCACCGCAAACTAACAGAATGTTGGGTGGTTCCACCCAGGTGCCTGATAGTGTGCAAGGTCTGGGAGCCTGAAGTATAGAAGAAAAGTCACTAATTGACTTCTAGTATTGGTTCCACTTGACAAAAAACCGTACCATGATATATACAGTAAAGCCTGTAAACAGAGGCCATCCAAAGGAGAGAGACTGAACATGGCATTTATAGACAAGTGGTCTTTATTTGGAGGTTATCATGTTCTAGGGTTGGTCAAAACTGTCCTTTATTTACAGGGTGGTCTGTATTCAGAGGTGGTATTTAACACGGGTTTGACTGTAATCCATAAAGCTGAATTTTGCAGTGTTATTCTGATAGTACATTTGTTTTTATCTTTCTAACAAATTTTCACATTTGATATTTACTTCAGGTGATAATTATGCTTCTAAATGTTCTAAACCAGTGATTACTGGTCACATTGTTTAACACATATCTGCCCTTTTCACAGAATAGAAGAAAAAACAAATCTATTTCTGAGGCTCAATGTCCCTTTAAACATATTTATATCTAAAGGCTCATTGTGCCTTTAAATATTCTGATTTAAGGCTACATGTATATGCAAACATTATTCATATCTAGCTGTTCAATAGTCCTCACTACAAATATTGAATATTGCTTTTGCATTGTTAAAGCTGCATGCCTCCAGATTAGCCAAAATATTTCAAGACAAACAAACGTGGGAAAACATATTCAGATTGTAAGAAAAGTTAAAAGATTCAATATTCAAGTTATAATTAATATCTTATTGCGATTTATGACTGATTTTGCAGTATTTGTCATCATATTTTTACTGTACTACTAACACAGTAAGGGCTTTTTTTGCATATTTTGACCTAATTTTGGTAATATACATGAACTGTAGGTGCCATTAGCAATGTGCAAATTACTTTCTTTGTTCACTTCACAATATTTTACTTTTAAATACATTTGGAAATAAGGATGAATCTGGAGGTGTGCTGTTTTAAGTAACTATATTTATGTTTCAAGCTTATCTTTGTGTATGTTAAGTTTAAATAAATAAAATCAAATAAAAAATGACGAAATTCTTGTGTTGATTGAAGTAATTTAAAACTGTTGATTCATGAAGGGCATATTTTAATTAGTGGCAACAACTCAATTTTACCATGATTTGCACGTGAAGTACATGTATAATATACCGTTTTAAAGATTATTAATTTTTCTAACCAACAGTCTGATTTCGCACGATTTGCACGTGCAATAAAATTTTAGCAGGTAATTTATATACATGTGGTTTCGTATACTGGTTATAAACATGGCTGAGTTGCATTGTGATTTGAGAGGAACAATGAGCCTATTGCAAAATTTCGTTAGTTATTGGGTAAATGCGCGTCAGAAATAAAAACGGATCTAGATTTAGTTTATGGAGAAAATGCCATTCCTATGTGGGTGTCAATGTAAGGAAGGAAGAAAGATCTAATGCTAAGGATGATCCCCGCCCTGGACGGCCAATTTCCGCTACCTCTGAAAAAGAGATCGGCACTGCCAAAGCCATAGTTGATGAAGATGCAAGATATACCGTTGAAGAGGTAAGCTTAGTGTGTCATATGTGGTTTCCATCTTGAAAGAAAAGTTAAAGTTTATAAAACGCTTAATTGGTTAGTGTTCATTAGTTGCGCCGTTCTTGACCAATTTAGTTTTGTAAATGCTCTAATAAACACTAACATATACCTGGGGACAAGCAACTAGAGACTAGATAATCAGTCTTATCGCCACATCAGCGTTGTTTGTGCCGTGTGGAGGCTGTAAAAAGTCGCTCCGTACATTCAATCAGAGATGTTATATTTCCGATCCTTAAAGATCGTTCAGCACGACATTATTGTTGTGCCTAAAGTATTTTTAGTTTTTAACTTTTCGGCAGTTTCTAGTTGGGTGGTTCCAATATTCCTTCTTGAATAATGTTGAATCAACCTTAAGATATTTGCTGCTTTTTATCTTTGTCTTTTGATGTCTTATCTGTAATATGCAGGCTTCATAACCTCTGATCCTCTTTCGAAATTCCATTTTATTTAGTTCCGGCCTTTTGCTTTCTCGTTTAGGGCACAAGCTCTTTTTTACTTGCGGACCATACGCCGCTTTTCATGGAATGGCACTACTATGTCACATTGAAGGTTCTATGATAACCGCCATATAAACACATATTATGATGTTTCTAAATTCAAAATTTCACCATTTCCGTGTTCAATTCTGCTTAAGCCGGTGCTAGGGGAGGTGGACGGTAGTTTGCACTTGACAGTACCGTCCATAAACAGGCTCAATCAAACCGAGCCTGCAACATTTTCAATTCTGTCGTTTTGGCCTTTCCTTTGGGATTCTTATTTTCTCTATTTTATGTTGGCGTCCAATTGAGAGTCATCCAATAGTTGAGCGTACTGCTGTTTAGATACTATATATATTTATATCGTTATAAATATACACAAAAACATCTAAGTGCTAAATTACTGTCAAAATGCTACGCCAGTTGGTTTATGTTTCACTTTTTACACTATGTACTTCGGACAAAAAATGATCAATTAGACCTGGGACAGAAAGATAACCAGATTATACTAAAATGGCGTCATGTGCGCGTGTTTGGACCTAAATATAACGCGGCGCTAATCGCCAGTAGATTTTTCCATTTACGTATATTATGTCCCAGCGAACACGTAAAAGCGTTTCTTTATGACAGTACCAAAAAGTGCACATTTTATTGTTCACAATTGCCATTTTATACAAAAGTGAATTTGTGACTATATAATACACACTCTTGCAAGTTGATATTATGGTAAAATGTACATGTCTCAACGTTACATTATACCAGTCTATTCATGTTTATATAAAAATTATATAACAATTATATAAATTGGAACGTGACAAAGGTATTGTTTGTTCGGCATTCTTGACGTATTTGTTAACAAATAAAATGTTATATGTCATTTAAAGTACAGCACTTGATGGCCTGAATGATCTTTTATTATGTATAATGTACTGACTAAAAGCCATACGCACTAAGAAAATAAAGAGGTGCACACACTTTGGGAATTATCCAAAATACGCTCGTGCGGAGACCAGACACCGGAAAAAAATCACGGTGGTGGTGTTTGTGTTTTCACTCCGGAGCACGGCAGTAGGCCACATTGAATTTAGCAGAGCACAGTTCAGCCACCGCATCTTCAACAAAGCACGAAACCTTATAAACATGTACTGCTTTATCGCCGATGGATCAAATTTAGTTTTTATTTGTATGGCAAATAATGGAGGAACATTCCACAGCGATTTCTGAGGAATTATGTAATGTCCATGAGACAGAGGTGTATGAAAGTTATACAAGCTCAGGGAGGACATATTGGATATTAACTGATTAATATTATGTTCTACTCATTCTGTGATAAGAGTTGTGATTCACATCGTTGTGTTGTGAATTATGCGATTTATTCTCTGTTACTCATGTTTTATTTCTGTTAAGTTTTATACTTTTCCATTCATCGACTACAATTAAATGTTTACAATACATGTGTGAAGTGTTCATTTCTCTATACTCTTAATTTCACCAATCATCATTCTTTAATAACCCAAAATACACTAAAAAGCACAAGTGTTGCGTTAGAAAAGTCTTTCAGTGTATATTAGACAGTCAAGGGCACAAACTTTTCTCCATATAAAGAATAAAATGGTGGTTTCCTAACCTGGCCCGCGCGGGTCAAGTTAGAGCGCTAGGATTTCACAATAGATGTCAAAGTGAACTCTGGAAACGTTAAAGAACTTGTCAAATGAATGACTTAGACTTGTTTCAATCATGCAATATCCACAATATCTGTTATTGTAACTTCAAGGGTTTGTTCAAGTCACCTGGCTTGTTTTAAAACTATTTGGTGATTCTATTGGGGTCTAAATATTGTTCAACATATATAGATATATTTACGCTTCAAACCCAAAATATATAGAATTTGAACAGAAATTCATGTTGAAACTTCAAGAAATGTCATTTTAGCGTGATTTGAGTACATAAGATCATTTTAATATTTTTGTCATTATTTTGCCTGAATATCACTTTAAGAGCACCCGTTGATTGGTCAAAGAATTTCAAATTTTATAATTTTTGGTTTCTACACCTCACTGAAGTTCTTTTAAGTGAAAAAAATAATTTTTAATATGTACTGACTGAAAGGCGAGCAGTGCGTGCAGCCCAAGATCTGATGAGAGGGGTGTCCTGGCTGACCCCTCACTCCGCACTGATTGCACGGGTGAAATTAAATTTAATTGCCACAAGCTGGCTATGGGTTAATTTGATCAGTTGTGTCCTGGTATAGTTACACTATGTTATACATGTAATTTTATGCCTAGTAAATTTAAATTTGTCACAGGACCAGAAGACTGTGCAGTCTGACCGGGACTTGAACCCGGAACCCTCAGAATATCGTTCCGCGGTTCTACCGACTGAGCTTACCGGCCGCTTACACATATTCTCCCCCAAAGAGTGAACAGTGACATATTCATAACATATTTTTTAAAGTAACAAACAATCTTCATTTGAAATATTTTTATTTAAGACAACAAAAATCTGCTATTTACATTGTTTGAATAATTGTAATGTAAAATTAATATAAACATTTTGAACAAATTTTATTTTAGGTTTCTCTTTATGTTTTATCTTATATTACGTACAATGTATATGTTTAACTTTACTTTGCCTGAATTAAAATATTACTTACTTGTGAATGTATTCATGTTTAATTCAAAATATATTTATACATCACATGTAAACATGATTGTATTTTGGATATAAAGTCATTGCCGCGTTAAGTGCACCAATAGCATAATTTCTAGCATCAGTCTAACAGGACCTGTGAAGATGTTTGTAAGCTCTTTCCATCGTTTTAGACGTACATCTATCTCAGGATAAAGTCGAATATGTATTGTTACTGCGGTGTTTATAATGCAACAATTGCATTATTTTTAGCATTAGTCTGTTAGGGTGAAGCAACAGGACCTGTGAAGATGTTTGTAAGTTTTCGCCATCGTTTAAGACGTATATCTAACTCGGGATAAAGTCGAAAATGTATTGTCATTGCCGTGTTAAGTGCGCCAATAGCATCATTACTAGCATCAGTCTGTTAGGGTGAAGCAACAGGACCTGTGAAGATGTTTGTAAGTTCTCTCCATCGTTTAAGACGTATATCTAACTCAGGATCATCATCTAATGAAGCATGTCGGACTCTAGAAACCGCCTCGAATTCTTCACTCTGGTCAATATTCCTACTTGACTTTAAACGTATCCATCTTGGATAACGGAATTTGTTTTCTCGCTCTTGTATTGTTACATGATCAGTAAAATCATGATCAGTGTTTTTACCATCACATATTGTTTCCGGACTCTTAAAATTGTGATGGGAAGTTACCTCAATATTCGTCTCAAGCTCGCAATCTTTCTCAGGTTGATAACTTTGTGCTCTCTCTCGAGGTTTAGTTGATACAACACCAGCACCATTATCCAAGTTTAATGAACGCCATTGCCTTAATTTTTCTATCATCGGTATATGACGAATTGTAGAACGCCTGCCTTTATTTTGGAAGTTTGTTTTATCAGTTAAGTCTATCCATTTTTTTATTCGGTCTACGTCTTCCGATTGAGGCACGAACGCTAAACTCTTTGACTGACAGGATGTTTCAGTGTCAACATCAGATTCATGATCATAATCGGGTTTATCTATATCCTCAAAAACGGCGTCACTCCCACTATTGTCCGAATCATAATCATCTTCAACATCAACTGATTTCTTCGTTTCTTTTTTGATATACTGGTGTACCATCCTTCGGCAAGAATTTCTCAGATGCAAAATACCGTTCATTTTACTGGGATTCTAAGGCTACTATCTTACTGCGATAAATGCGATTATACGAGTAGACACGCTGTACCTTTCCAGCGTCTTATATACGCGGTAGGATGTGTAAGGTGCTAAACAGATATTGGATTTCTTATGAAAAATATGAAGGAAACATGTATTAAAACGAGTCAAAAGGTTATATTGTCAACACGTGACCATTTTGGCATTAACAACTTTATGTACCAAGATATAACTTTATTAGCCTTTTCGATCCCTTCACGTGTCAATCAGGTATATATATTATATGTACCTGTGTCAATTCAATGTGGGTCACGGGTTTTCCTTATTCTATAGAAAAAAAATCTCACCTCTGAAACAGCAAAGACTGTCCTGAATTTTCCTATTTATGTGCATGTATATTTAACATGTAATAAAAACTTAAAAAAATCTTCTTTTCTGCCTTCCTGTGCATTATTTCAAGCATTAACGGGTACCTGAGTAGAACGCAATCCGGTCAACTCGTCCCCTGGTCAACTCGTCCTCTGGTCAACTCGACACCTTTTTGGTCAACTCGTCCCCTACTTTTGGTCAACTCGTCCCTAATATGGTCAACTCGTCCCCTACTTTCGATCTCTGTCTTTAAAATGTCTTTAAATAATTCTTTTATGTAAAATATGTAAAATTAATACTGAATTTGATTGATATCGAAATATTAATAAAATAATTACGTCTTTTTTACGTTAAATTTTAATGATCTTTATCTAAGCGCACGTGCATAACTTTGATGTCAAACTACAAAGACAGGTAAGTTTGCAAACATTCAATTAATGTTTAATTAATCGGAGTTTTAATGATAATTAAAACTAAAATTAGGTCCAACTCTTTGATTTTTCCCGCCTCCCTGAATGGATTAAAGACTGACGACAGATTAACAGAAATTAGAAGCGCTAAAAACTTTATGTCGGTGCGTATTGATCTCATTATAGAAGGATCGTGTCAATTAAAAACATGATAATTGTTTGTTGGGAACTTGTCAATATAAAAGTTTCCCTGATAAATATAAGATTTATTCTTAAAAACACATTTGCGTTGTACGTTATACGAACATTGGATTATTTTTTTTGTGCATATCAATCATTTCTTAGAATTCCATATTGTTGGATTATAGACTGCATGTGAACGGTGTATGTGACAATTTTAATTATTTGTGTTGTTGATTGTGATTTTTTTAATTGATTAGTGTTGTTAATTGTGACAATGTACCCCTGCATTGATTGTAGGAAACATGTGCGGAAAAAGGCCTGTCTGCCGAGTATGTCAGTCACCGAGGGGCACACCGCTTCATCAGAAAACTTCTGTGTCTGCCATTCCTTCCTGCAGAACACATTGGTCCTGTGTTCGAGTCTATGGCAGACTTAGCTCCAGACCGTTTTGATGGACTGTTAGCCTACATTAGACGGACCTGGATCGACAATGATATGTGGCCAGTCCATTCTTGGTCGGTGTTTGGATTGAGCATCCGCACCAACAACGATGTTGAAGGTAAAATCACATTTTAAAATATTATGACAATATTAGATTTTTGAAATAGACTGTATACATGGTAGCAGTCATACTTCTCATACATAAAAAAATATGTCTTAGCCAAAATTGTAGCGAATTTTCGAAATGCATGAAAAGTAGAACCACCGACGTTCCGTAAGCTAGCTGGATGAAAGCCAAAGTCCCTGTCAGGATTTGAACCCACAAACCGTGAGAGAAAAGTGGTTTGAAGTCAACGGCCTTGAAATTAAGATTACATGTGTACGTGGTAACTGACTCTGACCCAGTGACTAACTTTTTGTACCTAGAGCAGTATTTGAATTAAATAACAGTTGATAAAGTTTGTAACTTTATGATCAACTTTTAAAAAAAAATAGCCTATACATTGAAAGAATATCGCTCTATGACTTGAAGTCAGGTAGGCGGAGTCTTCTAAAGAGCCACCATAGTTCTTATTGTTCCCCCCCTATATGTTATGTTGAGAGGTGCAGTAAAAACAAATTTCTTCGACCAATAGGCACTTTTATTAGTCAATAAAGACAACTTGATTACATTTTTAAGTCATGTTATCATACTAAAATACATAATATATATAAAAAACAACAACAAAATAATCAGTGTGGATTTCTAGAATAAAAGAACAGATAAAGTTTCACTTTTTTACTGCAAGCAGCATTCATAACATGGTTTTAGTGACATTGTACATGGAGGAAATGGAATGACAGAATGACTAAATTGTACATCAATAATTGTTAGATTAAGTAGATATCTGGGCTAAGACATGGACTTTAATTGACAATTAGAGTAATTAAAGTCGATGGTTAAGATGATGTGTAAAATATGGTTTCAGAAATCTATGGCTAACAAACAATTGCTAATTAAGATCTATTCATCTTTTGAATTCAAATAATATATCCAAATTCATTCAATTATCAATACAATATATTATGTCTAAGGATCTATCAATCTTACATATTTATACAGAAATGTTTTGTTCAACAATCTAACTAAAGCAACAGTATCAGCGTCATGGCAATGTTGAGACAGTATTATTTTTACATAAATACATGTGAACCGGTTCATATAAAACAAGAGCGCCCTATGCCTTGTTGACGCTCATCTGGTAATAATAAATTTTTACAAAAAAGGGGCAGAACTCCAAATATATAGCTGTCAGAATTATGCCCATTGTCTTACATGCCCGCCTTGGCATGATTAGTAAATATTCCAAGTTTCATGCTAATAAGTAATAAAATGTTATAAAAATTATAATCCCTAAATGAGGAATGAAACACTTCTTTTATATATGAAATAAATCACATGTTTGTCCAACATGTGAGTCAATTTACATGACATAATATAGTACAATAAACAATGTCAGTAATATCACAGATTTATAATATAAATCCGTGATGATATAAATCATTAGCAGTTAGTAACCCAGGTAGTATGGTAAGAACCAAGACATAACAAGAGCTGTCGGTAGGACAGCCTGCTTGACTATTCAAAGTGCTTGATAGTAAAAATATCACCGGGATAATGTTGAATTTTCTAAGTTCAAAAAGGGCCATAATTTTGTCAAAATCCAGGTTAGAATTATGGGACTTGGACAGTGATCCCATATTATGCCCTCAAATAAGTGTGTGGAGTTTCAACCTATTCCCTTCAGTAGTTTTTGAGATACCAACTTGCACACAAAAACTTAACCAAAGTGTGATGCCCACACCTGGGTGAGAACAAAAGCTCTCCCTATTCTTTGAATAGTCAGGCTAAAATTGTCCTCGAAATAGTTACTGCAACTGGTAACCAAAACTAAAGAGTTTTAACAGAAAGGAATTTGAGATAAATATACAGTTGAATTAACACTTGTTACAATAAAAACAGTCTAACAAAAAAACAAACCTTAAAGCTGCATGCCTATAGATAAGCCGAAATATTTCAAAAAAATTTAACTTGAGAAAAATGTACTTAGATAAAAAGTAAAGTTAAAATTTAGATTTAATATGCATTTAGTGACTGAGATCAACATATTTGTACTGCATAACGCAATGAGGCCTATTTTCACATATCCTGATCTATCTTGGTAATTCTTTGCAGATTTTAAATGTTGTTTCGCAATGTGTAAAGTACTTTCATTGTTTACATGAAAGTATTTTACTTTTTTTTATAAATTTTTTAACTTTCCATGAAAATTAGCATGAATCTGAAGGCATGTAGCATAAATAGCTTTAAGACAACACAACTCAGTAAAATTATTAAAAATTTGATTGAAGAAATAGCTTTCACCTGAATATAAGCTAAGACTTGTAAAATATAAAAATGAATCCTTAAATATTTAAATTTATAAGATGTATGGCTTTATATAACTACACTAAAATCAACTTAAATTTCAACAAATTATGGAAAAAAAGAAAGACACTGCTTCATCGGGCAATTTCAAAATTGTTTTCAAAACAAACTGGTCAATCATACTAAAATATGACTTGTTCCCTATGATTATGAGTTCAAATACTTCAGAAAAACAGAACACAATCTATAAGATATCATAATATTGTAAATGACACAAGTTTACAGGGTACATATGAAAAATAACCATTCCTGAGACTTGAAAGTATAAACAATAAATGAGAAGAGAAGAAAAATACATTGATTGTTAAGCAAAAATGATATGTCAAAATTTAGAATATCTTGAAGAAAAATATCATTAATATATCAAGTACATGTATATAACACTACCATGCACTAGCATAAAAAGTGATATGACAGGATATTCATTTTTGTTTGTTTGATCAGTATGAGAATTTCTACAGTTTCCAGGAAACTTTATCAGTCGATAAAGAATCCATCATTGGCCTGCTTCCCATTCAAACTCAAAGGGCCTGGTCTTTGATCAGATAGATTAAGGGCCTGCTTCCAATGATTCATTATTTGGCCTGCTCCCTCAGGTCAAATTTATCATTCAGCCTACTTCCCAGTCAGACTCATTTTTCAGCCTGCTATTATCTGTTCATTATAACTACATGTATTATGCAAAGCCAAGGAGCTGTTTGCTTTTCATAAGCAAGCTCTGTGGATAGCTTCCTCACTTAAAAGAATACAATGGCAGGGCCTTTTTTCCTTCTATAACAGGGGCTGGTATAGGACTGCTTCCCCAAAGAAAATTTCTTTAAAATCAGTTGCAGTTTTCCCCAAAAATTAAATTTACATCAAGTTTTTACTTCCCCTTTTGCAAATATACCGTGTAATTTTCCCCCAAAATTAAGTGTTGGGCTGCTTCCTCAACTTGTGAAAAAAAAAGCCCTGAATGGTCTTGGTGAGATTCAAACCAACAGCGAATCATATTCCCTGATCTTAAAGGGACTCCACTGAGGTTTCTTAACAAGTTAACATGACCAGGCAGGTAATAGTTTTAGAAGACTAATGTTCCATTTGATGTAGGTCTGGACCATTAACTTATGTTTAAAATTTCAGATCATTCACTCACTCTGTTTTTCCAGAATGTTTATTCTAATTGTGAAAAATTACCAGAAATTGAAAAAAAGTTGCTAATAGAACTTTATTTCTGAGTATATGTCTTAATTATCTTTTACAAATTGTTCTGTCTTAAGTGCCCTAGCTGATCTATGTAAAAAAACAAATTTTATATCTTTAGGCTTAAAGACCTTAGTGGAGTTCCTTTAACCACTTGGCTACAAATGCATCTCTATTAAATATCAATTATGGTTTGAAACTTTATCACATTAAAATACAAATATCAAAACAAGAGAATAAAGACATGTCTCTGACACAAATATTTCAACAGGAACAATTATACAAATTTATATATGAACAAATAAAAAAAAGATATAGACATAACAACAAAGAAATGGTTAAATATGAAACTAACATATCTTGTTAAATAATGACATCATAAAAATGTGGCATCAATGCAATGTGACACCATCTTTTGGCAACTTAATATTAGGCCATCAATGAAATTGTCGTAGGGCGAATTGTAAAATGAAATGAGTTATGTGTTTGACATATGGTGACACCATCTTTTAACAAAATAACATTAAGCCGTCAATGCAATGTGCCATTAACATTTGGTACACTCACAATGTCCCTTTCTAAGTCAACAGTCTTGTCGCGGCCAGTCTGCTCCTTTATTCTTAGTGCTGGATAGTCAAATAACAGCAACAAAGAAAAAGGTGCTCCTTTTGTGCATTATTTCAGGCACAAACGGGCACCTGAGTAGAATCTACTATGTTCCGTACTAGCTGGATAGATTTCTAACAGGAAAGAATTATAACAAAGATGTTAAGTTGAATTACTTGTTAGAGAACTGTGAGAATAAATTTACACTTTTTTGATATATCTTCAGGTATATGTATATAGATTATGTGGTGAAAATTAAACCTTTCTGTTATTTTTTTACTGACAGAGGTAAAATATATCATAATTATTACTTTGTACAATGTATACACAAACACTAGGCCAAGTGGGATAGCCCTAATATTCTTACGTATTGTTTCTAGCTAAAATAAAAAAGTAGAATTTGTCCGCCATTATTGACTTTGACAGTAGACGTTTTTATGGATAAATAAAATCTTTTGTAGAAATGTAGAATCTTGGTCAGGTTAAAGGCACATCATGCCTCTGAAAAGAAATAAATTTTTACTTCTTTGAAAGCCACTCATGGTTTTTTTAAAGTTTAAATAATGGGTTCAGAGCATGCTCAAAGCTTATCACTTGATTAAGTAGCGCTAAATGTTAATTGTTTGTCATAAAAGTAGTAAAATGTAAACAAAGTAGTATTTTGACTTCCATACAAAACTCTTATTCACAATAATTATATTAATTGCCAAACCAGCAAAAGATAGTTCATCTATATGACAAATAAGTATTTTTTCTGGAAACAGTAACAAGTTACCAAAAATAAAAAGTGTTTAACAAATAAAAATGACGGCATGTCTACGGCAGCATAATACATGTATACTCTTTTGCTTGGTGTAGTAAAAAGCTCCTAACTAAACTGACCATCGTAAATTTCTTGTTCACTTGTGAATATAACATATCGGTCATTAAAACTTGTTTCTACGGCACTAAAACTCTTATTTCTTTCTCTGCTGGGCCATGTTCAGTTTATAGTAGAATCCTTGTTGCTTCATAAGTTCACTATGAGTTCCCGTCTCTGTGACGACGCCATGACGTATGACGCAGATTTTGTCCGCGTTCTGGATGGTAGAAAGTCTATGGGCAATAACAATACTTGTTCTACCCTCTCTAGCCTTGTCTAATGCCTCTTGTACAATCTGTGAATATAAAAATAATAACATCATAATTATGGATTTTGAACCTTAAAGGCCCATCATGTCTCAGAAATACTATCATTTTTATTTTTCAAAAACTAATGTTTGGTATTTTGCTATAAATTTAAAATATAAAAGATACTCATTTGGCATAGTTCACCATAAAGAGGAACTATCTTTTGCTCTTGTTAGTAATTGGTATATTTATATTGAATAAGTATTTTGTATGTAATTCAAAATACTACTCTGTTTACTTTTTGCTACCTAAAATTACAGCACATTTCTTTTAAATTTATTTCCGAGTATATTTTCTATTAGCTGATCTATGTATGAAATTCAAAGTTTATGGACCTCTGTGGAGTTCCTTTAATAACAAAGGCCACTATCCTGACATAATAATTAGACAGACGCACGGGTATTTTAAGAAAGGATTAGCGCAATTATCATATCTGGTCACATCTTCAACAGTAAATCAATATTGCACTGCTATTTTGAAGTAAACATATTTATATTTTGCCTGAAATTCTTCACTCACTTATAGTATCAAAACAGATAGCTGTAAATCTATGTTAGGTATTTTGCTGTTAAAGTGACATTATGCCCAACTAAATTACTTTCTTTGTTTACTTCGCAATATGTTACTTTTAAATGCATTTTTAAAAATGTTCAAGAAAATTTGCATGAATCTGGAGGCATGCTGATATAAAGTGAATTGGTCTATGATGGAAGGTCTGTAATACAAAGAATAATTATGTTGATAGTATTTATAAGACATAAAAGAAAAACACGAAAAAATTTAAACATTTATTTTTTCAAGCAAGAATTTATAAAAATATCCTAATGATATATTTCTATTGTTGTTATCAGTGTTTGAAATACTTAGTGAAAATGTGCCAAATGTAGACCTATAATTCCAAAAGCAGGCTAAATCCATACTTATCCTTACCTTTTCACTCTCAGTATCCAGAGCAGATGTTGCCTCATCTAAGAGAAGTATTTTTGGATTTCTGACCAAGGCCCGAGCAATGGCCACCCTCTGTTTTTGTCCTCCGCTGAGTTGTGCTCCCTTCTCGCCAACACTTGTGTCATATCCCTAAAAGAATACAACAAAGGAATTATAAAATTCTTCGCTTTCAAAAGCAAATGATTTCAGTAGTGCATAATTTCAGACAAATGCCCGCCCCCCCAAAGCAGGGCCAAGCAGATGAACCATGACCTTGACTCGCTACAAAGGCATGGTTACTTTAAAAGAGAGTGTTAATAGAATAAGAAAATAAACTTATTTTAAAGTCCATCCAAAAAAGACAAAGTTATGGACCAGACAAATTTTGGACAGCAGGGCGGACTGACAGGCAACCAAATTGAGTTAAAGCAGGGTTCGTACAGACATCAAATGCCAAAATTCAAGGACTTTTTAAGCACTATTTAAGCATGTTTTCCCATTTTTCAAGCACATTTGCTGCACATACATCAACACAATCTTCAAACTAAGAAGGATAGTTTATTTGCTATTTTTTGTTAAAAACACATTTTTTCTGGCAACAATTATAAGGTTATTATAAAAGAAGAACAACAAAGGGCGCATCAAATACAAATTAGTTTTAAACAAATGCAATTTTTCCGCTAACTGTTACGTTGAGCAAACATTTCATTGATTTTGATGCTTAATTGCATCATTCTTTTGATTTTGTTAACTGTTAATTTTTATAAACACTTTGTCATTCAATCATTTTCAAGCACATTTTTAGCAAATTTAAGCACTTTTCAAGAGAGTAATCAAATTCAAGGACTTTTAAGCACTATTTTACATTTTTAAGCACTTTTTAAGAAAAGGACTCAAATTTAAGCACTTTTTAAGACTGTACGAACCGTGTAAAGGGCCATTTCTATTATTATTTTCTTTTATTTAATAGAGAGCCATTGGCCCCTTCCTTTATTGTTGCAGAATGAACCTTTATTGTTCTCTTTTGTTCTGTTTACAATTAGATGGCCCCCTGTTTGGTAGTGCTGACAGACAGATGCTACAAAAACTATATGTTTCGCAATTTTGGGGGCATAATAAAAAGTAGGAAAATAAATACCTCAGGTAACGAAGATATAAAATCGTGAATATTTGCATTTCTTGCCGCTTGTATAACTTCCTGCATCTCTACTTTTCTTGTATTGTCACCATACGCAATATTTTCGCCAATACTTCGGTCAAACAGAACGGGTTCCTGCGAGACAATTCCAATCTGTGATCTTAGCCATTGAAGGTTCAGATCTTTGATATTGTATTTATCCATGTGCTGGAAATATAAATATCTTCATATCAGTTTACAGTTCAGTGTCTTAACAGTCATTTTTTGGGACTAATTAAGGATCCATTCATCTTTGTAATGTCATATATATATTTCTCAAACCTTTGGAAATAGTTTCCGCATGTCATATCCAGAAAGAAAAATTGAAATTTAAACTGAAATTTCAGTAATTTCTGTATCCTTGATTTTGAAATTACAAAATTGCTACTGTTCTGAATTATGACAACATAAAGAAAGGAATATTACATAATATTCAGTGTAATTTCTGAATTATGGAAGCTCTAAAATCCAGAAACTTCGATTCACTTTTCACTTTCTGGGTCCCAAAAAATTTACATCTGGAATTTTGAACTATTTTCTGTTTAAATTTTTGTTCACTTCCCTTGTTTTTGTCTGAATATATTTGTATGTATGATAAATGCCACTGAAGAAGGCCTTAAATCAAAAGCTACGGTGAATTCTAATTAGCGTTTTTGATTATACATTATAAGTTGTAATGATTTTTGACAGGTTATATGGACCTACATTAAAGGTTGTTTATATATTTAACCCAAGATTTCTTCAAAAATTGACAGCAGTTGTGTATATAAAACTATATAAATGTCACAATTATCCAATTCTATGTAACATTACAAACATAGAGTATTATAAATTCTGATATACTGGTTATTAATTAACTCACCACAATCCCTTCTTCCGGATCATAAAATCGTTCAGTTAGCTGTACAGTTGTACTTTTACCACAGCCAGAACTTCCCACCAATGCCACAGTTTGACCAGGTGCCACATCTAAGTCGAAGTTGTTTAAAACTACTGTATCCGGTCTTGTAGGGTAAATAAACTTAATATTAGTAAATTTCACTTGCCCAGTGTACTGTCCCTGTAGAAGAATCAATTTTGTATATGTTAATATATACATTGTTTTTCTCAAAATATTCAATTAAAAAGCATGCTTTTCTCTTCAAAAGTTTATCTCTCTCTTAACGAAAAAGGTGAAAAATTAAAAATGCGAAAAACTCAACTACAGAGTTCCCCATTTCATAAAGTAAATTTTCATTAGCACAATAAAAACAGTCAATAAGATACTTTATTGTACAGTGTATGTATTCCTAGATATTAAAATTCTCAGCCTAATTTAGGTCAAATTCATTTTGGGGTGAAAACATTTAAATGGCTTGAATTTGGATCACCCCAATAACTGAGAATCAAATAAGTTGCTCTCTTCTTTCTATCAAAGCTCAAACAACTGCAGCTCTTGAAATGAACACTGTGAAGAGTCTCTTAGACTTCATTTTATAGGAATATAATATAATATATAATATAATATAAATTGCAGATACTTCTTTTTTGCAGAAAAAGAAACACTCAAAAGAAAAAAAGTATGATATTAGTTATTAAAGCAAAGCCCTATTAAAGCAATAATTAAAACAAAAAAAATGGTTTACTAACTTCTTTAGGTTTTTCTCCTCCTTCATCTTCGGTGTCCATTTCCGGTTTTCGATCCAGTAATTTAAAAATAGCCTCAGCAGAGCTTTGAGCTTTGGCAGCATCGGGGGCAAACGAGCTTGCTTGACCAATAGCCATACCTCCAAATACAACAGCTGAAAATGCCCTAAAAAAATATTTATATTTTTAGTAAAATTTGTTTTTGCTTGATTATTGTAATAGTTTATCATATGAATCACTTCCAATCTGCTAATTGTAAGGTAAGCATGGTTATAATTGATGAAGCTCTTCAATAAAACAAACCAGAGACAGGTGTTTTAGCCATGATATTAATCTCTACTCAGCCCTAAAAGTGACAATCAAAGTCATATATTTTTACATCACCTCAACAGAATGTTACTGTATCTGTATCTAATCTGGATATACTTAACCAGAAACATGATCAACTTTATACTATACTTAACCAGAAACATGATAAACTTTATACTATACTTAACCAGAAACATGATAAACTTTATATTATACTCAACTAGAAACATGATAAACTTTATACTATACTTAACCAGAAACATGATAAACTTTATACTATACTAAACTAGAAACATGATAAACTTTATACTATACTTAACTAGAGACATGATAAACTTTATACTATACTCAACTAGAAACATGATAAACTTTATACTATACTTAACTAGAGACATGATAAACTTTATACTATACTAAACTAGATACATGATAAACTTTATACTATACTTAACTAGAGACATGATAAACTTTATACTATACTCAACTAGAAACATGATAAACTTTATACTATACTTAACTAGAGACATGATAAACTTTATACTATACTCAACTAGAAACATGATAAACTTTATACTATACTTAACTAGAGACATGATAAACTTTATACTACACTTAACCAGAAACATGATAAACTTTATACTATACTGAACCAGAAACATGATAAACTTTATACTATACTCAACTAGAAACATGATAAACTTTATACTATACTTAACCAGAAACATGATAAACTTAACAAGAAATTAAGTTATACCTAATCAGAAACAGGGTATACTTAACCAGAAATAAAATTTTACTTAACGAGAAATAGGAGCAGCTTAACCAGAAATGAAATTATACTTAACCAGATACTTAAGCTAAAATGGAATGATACTTAACCACAAATGAATTTATAATTAACCAGAATCAGGGGTATACTTAACAAGAAACAGAAGTATACTTAACCAAAAACTGGTTATAATTAACCAGAAACATAAGTCTACTTAACAAGAAACAGAAGTATACTTAACCAGAAATAGGGGTATATTTAACCATAAAATGGAATTATCCTTAACCAGAAACTGGTTATAATTAACCAGAAACAGGAGTATACGTAACCAGAAATAGAATTACACTTTAACAGAAATAGGAATAGGCCTATACTTCAAATTGGATTGGCTAGGTGAGCATATTTTGAAATAAAAATTCTCAAAAATAAATACTTAATTGATTAGAAAAGTGTTTTAACATTTCTAAATCACCATCCTGTTTTAAAAATAGAATGTCTGAGCTAATAGTTCAATGGAAAATTCCATCAGCAAGCAATGTACCTCTCTCTCTATAAGAAACATGTGCACTCCTATCAAAGTTACAAAAGTTAATGAACTCTAAATAACATAAGCACCTTTCCTTTATAAGAAAATGACCTACAAGTATATGGGAAACGTAATAACCTTTTCAAAAAGAAAAATAACAGTTCATTTCCTGGACAGACATGTATGTTTTCGATATGTGTAAATATATTTGTGGATGTGCTAATATAAGCATTTCACCTGTTCATTTTCAGAGACATGTACCAATCTAGACTAGGGGGAAAACGTTTTAAAGTGTATCGATTTTTATCACATACACTAGCTTGCTACTTTTGCAACTATGTAAATGTGGTAATGCATGGTTGTGCATATATTTTAACATGACATCTTTAGCACTATACAATCATAGCATAAAGAAGTATTTAATGTTAGTGTTTCACTATAAGGGCATTAATATACAAATGATACTTTTTTCTATTTAAATAGTTCTTATATTTGATATGTGATAAACAGAATATTACATTCTTGTAGCTTCATTACTAAATTTAATGAACTCCGAGACTAAAATAAGACTGGATTCTTTCATGTGAGTAAGTTATCCAGCTAGGGTACAGAACGTCAATGGTCCTTCTCACTGGTGCCCATATATATGCAGGGATTCTTTTTGGCTTATTTTATAGCCGTTATTTGGTCATATTCCCAACTGAAAATAGTATATTATTTTCCCAATCCACAGGAAAATATTCCCAAATGAAAGTTACAAAAAAATATTGAAATAAAATTTTAAAATCTTTGAAAAATAAGGGCTTCTTCACTGTAATAGTGCTTAAATGTTTGAAGATGCCATCCTAGACAGTAATTTTTTGCATCTATTTAATCACTGTAAAATTTCAGTCATGCATTTTTTTCTCAATTTTTAACAAAACACCGCTGAAATTCCCAATTCCATGGCTATTGGTCATGTTCCCAAAATCCTAAAAAAAATCCCTGATATGTTGAAATAATGCATGGAAGGGCACCTGAGGTCTTTCTCCACCAGTAAAGCTAGAAAGCCGCCTTAATCGTGTTGTTATGACCAAAAGCCCCACTCAAGAAGAAAATACTTCAATTGTTTATCGGTACCTCTACAAATATTTTCCCAATTTCACTTACTTGAAAACGTCTACATAGTCCAGTTCTGCCTGTTTAATCAGGTAGGCCCCTAACCAGAAAGCGGCAGCATATGCTATAAAGATTATGCCCTGCGAGAACGAGAAAGAGAGGCCTATGACATGTGCCTTCCTCAGGGCATCATTGTACGGTGTCTCAAGTTCGTCAGAAAACATCTTGTTAAACATTTCTTCTCTGGTAAGGGAGGCAACTGTCCGAATATTTTCTATAGACTCAATAGCTATCTGAAAGAAGATAAAAATAAAAAAAATAATACAACACCAGGAAAGAATACATTTAGTCAGCAAGAGGTGACAGAGAAAGAAAGCATGCTCAACTATAGGGGTGTCATGGTGATGCATTTAAACGGGTTTGGTCGATTTTTTACCAAAAAACCGGTAAGAGAATAAAAGAACTGGAAACTGAGGTAAATAAAAAGGTCCAACAGCTAAAGAAATTTTAGATTGGATTTTAACATTACATTTATTTCTTTATGATAAGATACGTTATCTTCTTGAATAACAAATGTTTTTTTGAATTACAATGTATTTTTTGAATTACAAATGTTTTTTTTTTAATTACAATGTATTTTTTGATTACAAATGTTTTTTTTTAATTACAATGTTTTTTTTGAATTACAAATGTTTTTTTTTTTATTCAATGTATTTTTTTGAATTACATATGTTTTTTTTTTAATTATAATGTATTTTTTGAATTACAAATGTTTTTATCTCATTAAATGCTCAACACAATTTAGGCCATAATATTGGCACCGAAACAAGAAAGATGATTTTGGTTAACCTCTGGTGGTACAAACTTAAAGCAACACCAGGGGGTCAAAACCACCTAACCTGCTGGAGTTAAGAAATGCACAGACTCCACTTATTCAAACCCATTTAGTTGTCTCTTATGATCACCCAGGGATAAACTGTGACTGCATTTCTGATAAAGATGCAAGAGTTATGAACTTTGTCATACATGATGTTAAGTCAAGACAAAGAACACTTATTTTAATTCAACATAGATACCTTCAATAACTTGTTGTTGTTGTTTGTTTTAATGTTGCACCAACACTGAAAAAGGTTATATGTATATGTTTACTTTCCAGCTTAACTGTTGGAGGTAGAACTCAGGTAGCCTTACTCTCCGGGCTTTATTTCAAGCACAAATGGGCACCTTAGTAGAATCACCAACATTGACTAAATCACCTGGATAGCTTCCTCAAATGATAGAGTTCAAAGTCCCTTGCTGAATTCAAACCCACAGCAGTGCCGGACAAGAGGTCTTAACTCAACGACCTTAACCACTTGCCCACGAATGCCCTGACATTTTCTCTAATCTACAGGCCAGGGATGCCCCGGCATTTTCTTTAATTTAGAGCAAACCAGGTAGGTGTGAAGCTATACTTACTTTTCCTGCTGATTCAAGAGCTTCTTTATTTTTGCCGGCTGCTCCATTTAACATCTTCATTTGGAGAGCTCCACCAATCATAAGAAATGGTAAGAAGGCTATAATTAGTAACGTAAGTTTCCAGCTGTAGATAAACCCAATAACCAGCCCTGCAACAATACTCGTGATCGCCATAAAAGTTGAACCAAGACGTATACCAGCCGCCTGGAAATAAGTGTTAAAACATTGAGTATAGTGAAAAGGAACACAAGTTATATTTTACAGTTTAATGTACAAAAACAACATTTTGAGCCTAAAAATAAGTAATAATTTTCAAAGATATCGGAATACCAGAAGGATATCAGCAAAACAGGAATTATTTTAAAACATAAAGGAAAATGTTTTTGTTTATTATTACTGGCTTTAAAGTCAAACCACCACAGTATAAGTCATATGGTGATTTTGCAGCTTTACTGGTGGGAAGATGACCTCAGGTGCCCTTCTGTACATTTTTAAGGCTCAAACCTAAGTTTAGAGAAGAACCACCAATGTTCCATAACCAAGCTGGATAACTTTCTTACTTAAAGAACCTGGAAACCGCGAACCTACAGCAGTGAGAGGCAAGTAGTTCGAAGTCAACGACCTTAACCACTAAGCCATGGATGCCCCCAAAAGGAAAATCCAGAAAATTGAAAGAAAAAAAAAACAAACAAAACAAAATGGTTGACTGTCTATATAATCAACTTTTGTTGAGTACAGGCAACCTTATTTTGATTTGTCAGTGTACTTTACATCAATAACACGTGTTTCAAGATTGTTTTTCTAATTCCTCCAAATCACCAGGAGATCTTTCCTAATTAACGCAATAATAAAATGTGTAAATAAGTCAAATATTGTTCCCAGGGGTCTATAAAACATCAAAAGTGCCTTCGAACAAAACTATAATCAACAATACAATATGGTAATTATTGTTGGTATCTGTAGTAAGATATGGCACAGTCACGTTTGGCACAGTCACGTTGCTTGCTCTTTCTAGAACCGTCCACGAACAGGCTCAATCACACCAAGTCTGCAACATTGACCGTTTTGGGCCTTCTTTTTCCCCCACAATTTTATCCTTATAATTATCATGTTCTCTAAATCGATGGTATTTCAACATTAAAGGGATATTCAGGCAAAATAATGAAAAAAATATTAAAATGATCTTATGTACTCAAATCACGCTAAAGTGACTTTTCTTGAAGTTTCAGCATGAATTTCTGTTTAAATTCTATATATTTTGGGTTTGAAGTGTAAATATATCTATATATGTTGAACAAAACTTAGACGCCAATAGAATCACCAAATAGTTTTAAAACAATTCCGGTGACTTTAACAAACCCTTGAAGTTAAAATAACAGATATTGTGGATATTGTATGATTCATTGCAACAAGCCTAAGTCATTTATTTGACATGTTCTTTAACGTTTCCAGAGTTCACTTTGACAACTATTGTGAAATGCTAGCGCTCTAACCTGACCCACGCGGGTCAAGTTAGGAAACCACCATTTTATTCTTTATATGGAGAAAAGTTTTGTTCATTTGACTGTCGTATATATTCATTTTGAGGGCATTTACGAAATAATGAATGAAAAATTCAAAACCAAGAAATGAAAATTTTGCCTGTGTCTCCCTTTAAGTTTAACAAAAACTGTCTAAATTGGACAGCATACTATGGACCTTTCCAGTGTTTACAGTTTTATGTAAATTGGCTAACTTGTTATCCAATCACTACACTGAGATAATACATAGTCACTGGTTGACCTGGTTTGCACAAAAGAACACGTGCTTATGTTTGTGATTCTGTTTGTGAGCAGTTGACCTAGCAATGAATGGAAAAGGTGTGGCTAAATGATCCGCTACGAAAGACCTGAAAGGTCCATTCCCAGTGCTTGATAGTAAAACTAAAACCTGGATAACATAGAATTTTCAAAGTTCAAAAAGGACCAACATTTTGTCAAAATCTATGTTAAAAGTTATGGGCCTTAGATATTGACCTATTATGCTCTAAAATAAGTGTGTGTATAAGTATAAAGATTCAAGATAAAAGTAATAATTACCATGTGATGCGAGATTAAGGGCCGATTTTGCAGTATTTTCACCATGTTTCTATTGCCATACTAATAGTCAGTACAGGCTTTTTTGCATATTTTGACCACTTTTTAGTAATTTACATTGGTTGCAAGTGCCGTTTGCAATATATAAATTATATTCTTTGTTCACTTAACAATATTTTCCTCTTTAATACATTTTCAAAATTTTTCTGAAAATCAACAGGAATCCTGGGGCCTGATGCTTTAATTTTAGCCGTGTAAAATAAAACTAACTCCAGAACTTACCCCTTGTACTTGAGAAGCATCCGTTGACAGTCTAGTTGTCAAGGCACCAACATTGTTTTCATGGTCGTCAAAAAACGCTATTTCCTGAAATGTTTTAACAATTATATTGGAAAAATTTTTCCCCTTCACATCACAAGATTTGCTATTATATTGTATTTATGCAAAAGGGGATGAAGGAAAAAAACTTACATTTAAGGTGTTAAAAAATTTCTTAAATGAAGCTACCATTTAGCTATAGTATGAAATATCATACTATTTCTATTTAATGCCCATCCAGATCCCCCTCTAATTGGCACCCCTCCCCCTTCCCCACCACCACCACCACATTTTGTAGAAGAAAAAAATCTAACCTTATAAACTACAATGTAAGAACAATCCAAAAATTGTCTTGATGTGGTAGACATTTATGCCTAGTTATTTTAAAATCCTTCAATGCATGACAAAGTTACAATCCGGACACGAATGTGTGTACCTATAAACTCTAATCGTCATAATGGTAGTGTGACCTTGACCTTTGAGTAAGGGACGTGATTCTTAGACGCGACATATGGTCTTGATGTGGTACACAGACATTTATGCCAAATTGTTATAAAATCCTTAGATGCATGACAAAGTTACAGCCCTGCACATTTGTGTACCTATTAACTCTAATTGTGATAATGTGGAACTTCAAAATGTTAGTGTGACCTTGACCTTTGAGGTAGGGACGTGGTTTTTGGTCGCACCACGTCGTCTTGATGTGGTAGACATTTGTGCCAAGCTATTGCAAAATCCCCCAATGTATGACAAAGTTACAGTATGGACACAAATGATGGGGATGCAGACGGACGGACGGACGGACGTGCCACTTAAATGGACTAAGGGGCCATTTCTTTTGTTATTTTCTTTTGTTGAATAGAGGGCCATGGCCCCTTATTCTATTGTTACAGAATGAACTCTTTTGTTCTCTTTTGTTCTGTTAACAGTTACATGGCCCCCTACTTCTCTTAAATAGCCCGGACAGACGGACAGTCAGATGGACGGTGCAATTTTAATATGCCACCCTTTGAGGGCATAGAAATAACAATTAATAATACTACAGTAAGGAACAATCATTTTAAGAACTAATACTGTAAAGTTTATTAGATAATGATAATGAGTAATGATTTTTATAATTGAATTGTATTTTCAACAAACATATTTTAAAGCACATTTTCATAGTTCTAATCAACTTCCACCTTTTGATAAAATGCAAGCCCCTGAGGGCATTTGTAATAAATGGAAACAATAAATAGAGGATATTTGTTTGTTTTGCATGTAAGATTGAAATATAATTTCACAAAGTGAACACCAGATGCAATATTTTCACGAGTGGCGTAGCCACGAGTGAAAATATAATAGCTGGTGTTCACAAATGAAATATATTTCTATCTTATATGTAAAACAAATAAATTTTCTTTTTATTTCATGCTTTTTAAGTGATTTTAAGTATTTTTTACTGATTTTGCCGCGTAACGTCGCGCATTCTCCTTTGTGACGTCATCACATCATGACGTCACATCATCAATTTTGAAATATAGTTCTGTTAAATTTCTCTAATTTTGTTACATTTTTAACATGATGTATGGTAACATTGACTTTCTTTTCCTAAAGAAGCACAATTTACGCATGACGGCATTTATTTCTGACTGTTATTCTATTTAGTTATGATTTTCTTTTCATCCGCATTCGGATATAGTCCGGCTACAGTGAAAATTATATTTTATAAATTTCACTAGTGGTTTATCAGAATATAATCATCTGATATATTACAATAAAACACTGGAAAGCATGAAATAAAGTAAAAGCCCTAATGATAAAAAAATCAACTGAAATCATTTAAATACATAGATAATTAATTACATGTGTAGATAATTTACTTATCAGGGATTATTTACAATATTTAGATTTCATAAAAAAAAAAACACACTCAAATTATAATTATATATTATATAGTAATTTGTACATACCTGTCTCAACATGGCTTTGAAAGACATTGCTCTGATTCTAAGTGTGAGATATTCCCCAGAACGGCCAAACATATACCCCTGAAATATTGTTGTCAATATAATATCAGTAACAAACATGTACCATGAAAATATATAACCAATAAAATATCAAGACATTTCTCACATTAAATAAATTTTTTAAAGCAATTGTTGTTCGGATCATTTATAAATTTTTGACAATATGCAGCATAGCATTTTGTTTTGTTAGCATAAGTTAGAAGAAAGTTTAGCTGAATCCCATAAGAAATGCAGGAAGTGTGTATGGGAGAAAATATTAAAGGTACTCCACTGAGGTTTTTTTGATATAATGGTATTGGGAATATTTTTTCAAGATTTGTGTACTTTTTGACGTTGGTCAGAACCAATAACTTGCGTGCATATTTTCAGATCATTTCCCCACCCAATTTTACCAGAATTATCATTTTTGTTATACAAATTGATCCAAATCTGACTAAAAATTGCATTCACTATTGAGCTTCAATATTTTTCTTTTTTGCTTATGCTTGGTTGGGTTTAACATACATTGCACTAACACAGTTTTTATGTAAAGGTCATATGGCAACTCTCCAAGGAAGACCTCAGGTGCCCCTATGTACATTATTGCAGGCACAAATGGGCAACAAGGTAGAACCACCGACAGTCTATTAGCTAGCTGGACAACTTCCACATATTTAGAATGCAAAGATGCTAGCGTGGCTCTAACCAACAGGGGTTACAGGCAAGTGGTTTGAAAACTACACGGCCACGGACGCCTCAATTTTCAATATAAGTCAGAGTATATTACTATAAATCTTCAGCATATTTTTCCATTTTATTTAAGTGCTTAACTTAATTTATGTTAGAATTTTAAAATTTTATGTTTATAGGCTTTTTTAACCTTAGTGGTGCTCTTTAGACACCAAACTGTCCACCTGCAGGATTCTGCAACCTGATTTTGTGGAAAGCGCAAGATTAAAAATCAAGCAAATTACACCTTATTAACAAACATGAAATCAACATCAACAAGTTATTAAGAATACCTGTAGGAAATAAGTGATCAAGCTCAACACGCCAAGGCCTAGAAACATCAGGCTGTACATATTTATGTCCTTTTCTTGCTCATCTGGGGGCTTTGAAAATACCTGTAAATATTAAAACAAAAACTATGAAATAACCTGTAAATATATAAACAACAAGAGGACCATGATGGCCCTGAAATCGCTCACCTGAATATAAAACGAAAAGTAATATTGTAATCTATAAACAAAATCTAAATCTAAAACTGATATCACAAAGTTCATATTTGTATCTGAAAAAAGCATGCGTAAAAACTTTACTGGTTGCTATTGTTAAGGGAAAACAACAGTTCCAAAAGCTGTGTACAATTATCAGAAAAATCAATGACCCCCTGAGGCGGGACCAATTTTGACCCCAGGGCTTTTATTTGAACAAACTTGGTAGACACCCATAAACAGATTTTTCATGCTTAATATCTAAACTCTAGCTCTTTAGGTTTAAACAAGAAGCGCCGCAATGCGACGAAAACCAGGTTTTCAACGACCAACTTTTGATGTGACAACAATCAATAGGTCAAAGTGCACTGAAGTTATTGAGTAGATACTGAAAATTCTATTGTAAGCAAATTACCTTGACCTTGTACCCAGATATCTAAGTGGCAATCCAAAGCTGCCACTCAGCAAGTTCAGTGTCAAAAGGTCAAAGCAAACTCAAGTTTTAACATGAAAACTAAATGCATTAACCTTGATCACAGACACCTGGGTAGCAATCCCAAGCTGCCTCTTGATATAAGCTACCCATTCATCAAGTTTGGTGTCAATAGGGCAAAGCAATCTCAAGTTATTGAGCAGAAACTGAATTTCTAATTTTAGTAACAGTGACCTTGACCTTGATCACAGGCACCTGGGTAGCAATCCCTAGCTGCATCTTGAGATAACCTATCCATACACCAAGTTTGGTGTCAATAGGCCAAAGCAATCTCAAGTTATTGAGCGGAAACTGAATTTCTATTTTTAGTAACAGTGACATTGACCTAGATCACAGACACCTGGGTACCAATCCCAAGCTGCCTCTTGATATAAGCTATCCATACACCAAGTTTGGTGTCAATAGGCCAAAGCAAACTCAAGTTATTGAGCGGAAACTGAATTTCTATTTTTAGTAACAGTGACCTTGACCTTGATCACAGACACCTGGGTAGCAATCCCAAGCTGCCTCTTCATATAAGCTATCCATACACCAAGTTTGGTGTGAATAGGCCAAAGCAAACTCAAGTTATTGAGCGGAAACTGAATTTCTATTTTTAGTAACAGTGACCTTGACCTTGATCACAGACACCTGGGTACCAATCCCAAGCTGCCTCTTGATATAAGCTGTCCATACACCAAGTTTGGTGTGAATAGGCCAAAGCAAACTCAAGTTATTGAGCGGAAACTGAATTTCTATTTTTAGTAACAGTGACCTTGACCTAGATCACAGACACCTGGGTAGCAATCCCAAGCTGCCTCTTGATATAAGCTATCCATACACCAAGTTTGGTGACAATAGGCCAAAGCAAACTCAAGTTATTGAGCGGAAACTGAATTTCTATTTATAGTAACAGTGACCTTGACCTTGATCACAGACACCTGGGTAGCAATCCCAAGCTGCCTCTTGATATAAGCTACCTACACACCAAGTTTGGTGTCAATAGGCCAAAGCAAACTTAAGTTATTGAGCGGAAACCAAAAGTTGACGCCCGCCCGCCCGCCGACTTCGGCATTACAATAACCCGGTTTTCGTTGAAAACCTGGTTAAAAAATAAATAAAGTTTTTACTATGTACATATAAGGAAAATCAATGACCTCCTGGGGCGGGGCAACTTTTGACCCCAGGGCTTTTTTTTAACAATCCTAGTTGACACCCAGTAGAAGATGTTTCATGCTCAATATATAAGCTCTACTACCTCTTTGGGTTTTTTAAAAGAAGATTTTTTGTTTGTTTTTACTATATACATATAGGGAAAACCCAAGGGATTTTATTAACACTCACTAGAAGATGTTTTATGCCAAATATCTAAGCTCTAGCTCTTTGGTGTTTTTAAAAGAAGATATATTAAGTTATTTCTTTTCTTTTGGTTGCATGGAATTAAATTCTTTGAATAATTTTTATAGGTGACTACCAAAAAAACATTCCTATGAAGTTTGGATGAAATTGGCTAATCCCTTTATGAGAAGATGTAGTTTTAAGTAAAAGTTTACAGGCACAAATTATAACTATTGCCTTACTTTCCTGTTTGTATGCTATTTCTCAAGTCTGAAGAATGATACAAAGTTTAATTATAAACCTTGCAAATTTTGCCCTTTGAAACAAAATTTTGAAATAATTGTATGATATTCATGTTTGTACACAGGTAAGACTAGCAAGATACACAGGTAAGGCTAACCCAATACACAGGTAAGACTAATCCAATACACAGGTAAGGCTTACCCAATACACAGGTAAGACATAACCTAATACACAGGCAAGACTTACCCAATACACAGGTAAGACTAACCCAATACACATGTAAGACTAACCCAATACACAGGTAAGACATATCCAACACACAGGTAAGGCTAACCCAATACACAGGTAAGACTAACCTAACACACAGGTAAGACATACCCAACAAACAGGTAAGGCTAACCCAATACACAGGTAAGACTAATCTAACACACAGGTAAAACATACCCAATACACAGGTAAGACTAACCCAATACACAGGTAAGACTAATCTAACACACAGGTAAGACTAACCCAATACACAGGTAAGACTAACCTAGCACACAGGTAAGACTAACCCAATACACAGGTAAGACTAACCTAACACACAGGTAAGACATACCCAATACACAGGTAAGACTAACCCAATACACATGTAAGACTAACCCAATACACAGGTAAGACTAACCTAACACACAGGTAAGACATACCCAACACACAGGTAAGACATATCCAACACACAGGTAAGGCTAACCCAACACACAGGTAAGACTTACCCAATACAATACACAGGTAAGATAAACCCAATACACAGGTAAGACAAACCCAATACACAGGTAAGACTTACCCAATACACAGGTAAGACTAACCCAATACACAGGTAAGACAAAACCAATACACAGGTAAGACTAACCCAATACACAGGTAAGACTAACCCAACACACAGGTAAGACTAACCCAATACACAGGTAAGACTAACCCAACACACAGGTAATGCTAACCTAATACACAGGTAAGACATACTCAATACACAGGTAAGACTAGCCAGATGCACAGGTAAGACTAACTCAACACACAGGTATGACTAGTCAGATACACAGGTAAGACTTACCCAACACACCTGTAAGACTTAACCATCACACAGGTAAGACCCAACACACAGGTAAGGTTAACCCAAACACAGGTAAGACAAACCCAACCCATAGGTAAAACTTACCCAATACTTAAAGTATAAGACTAAGATTATTTTAACAAGCACTCAAAATCAATCAATCAAAATTTCATAATGGTACTCACTTACCCCAAGAATTTCAGCAAAAATAACAGCAAACGCAGGCATGAGTCCTCCATTAATGATACTTCCTACTAAACCCAGAGCTATAAGATACCATTCTGATGCGTTCAGACGAAGAATTCGTCCCATTCCTGCATTCACTTCTTCTTTTTTCTCCTTTTCCTGTACAACAGATAAAATATGTTGCTATGACAACCAATGATAACAAAAATTGAAAAATACTTAACATCGAAAAATTATCTGTCTATCATTAAGAAGCATTTAAACATTACTTTAACTATACTGTTTCCCAAAATACAGTTTTGATGACATATTGTTTCAATAAATGATTATTTATAATTACATCTTTAGATGTCTCTCCTTTTACAGACAAAACCCGCTTCAGTGGAGACTCAATAAGTGACTTCTGTGTGCTGAGCGCAGCTTTTTGTTTGTCATATAACTCTGCTTCTATATCTATAAACAGAATTCAAAAAATCTATAAATAGCATAGAAATCTATAAATAGAATAAAAAATCTATAAATAGAATAGAAATCTATAAATAGAATACAAAATCTATAAATACTGGCAAAACAACTGGTGTAGTAATGTTTTTACAGAGTCTCAAAAGCGGCACAGGTGTGTGATGAATTAAATAGAATGAAATCTATAGAAAGAACAGAAATCTTTTGTATTATAGAATATTTTTATAGAATAAAAGTTAAAAATACAAATAAATATATCTATGAAAAGATAAGAAGCAGTAAATAGTATAGAATATAAAAGATTAAAATAGCTAATTTCATATTGATAGAAATTTGCTGCAGATACACATTATTATTATCAGCATTAGAGCAAAGTAGACAAATGGACACAATGGATTATTACACCTTCTGCAATGAAATGGAAAATTCAAATAATATTAATGTCCAATATTTTTAAAATCTAGATATTTGTTTATACATGAACAAACCAAACTTATGTATTTTTGTATAGTTTATAAATAATGAGTAAGGTAAATACTTAATTCCAAACAAACATAATATATTAATAAGTAGAATAACGAATGATGCATGTTTTGATATTTAATTATTTAACATTTGTCAAATAATCAAATTTAAAGCGGCCTTCAGTTTTTTCTACAGGTAAAATATGTTATTTTTAATAATATATGTTTCAATTACAATTTAATTGGCAAATCAATTTAATTAAGGCGGAAAATAAAAATTGCCGTCAATAAAATACATATACAACATTACAAAATTGTGGTAGCATGGCTGAGTGGTAAACGCGTCAGACTAGTAAACTAATGATCGCTAGCTGCATGGGCTCAAACCCTGTCAGGGGCAAGACTCGTTGTTTCCTTGAGCAAGAAACTTTACACTCATTGCTTATTACTGGTTGGTTCCAGGAACACATTCCCATGTGTGTCTATAAGCTTATAGCTTCCTACAAAATCAAACTAAAAATAAATTCTGTATAAACCAATATGGAAACCCAGTTTTTAGGATAAGTTCCTGAATAAGAGACATGCAAAAGCCAAACCACCAGAAATAATCCAGCTCCATATTATAAGCATTACAGTCATACTCCTTGAAAATATTTTCTTAAGCCTAATAACCCTGGAACTGAAAGTGGATTAACCTTTGCAACCAGGGTAATTAGACTAAGAGCCAGACTTCCGTGCAGTCTGACCGGGCTCTAGCCTGTTGGCTAACCAACTGTAAATTTTCATTTCAATACACAGTTTCCCATAAATGATAATAGACATCTGCGCAGTCTGATCAGGATCCATGCTGTTTGCTTACCAACCCTTTTACAAGTAGAGAAACTAATAGTGAACAGCATGGATCCTGATCAGACTGCATGGATGCGCAGGCTGGTCTGGATCCATGCTGGTCGCAAACCCATTATGTTGGTTTTGTCGTGACACGGCTCAAATGTGTTGCTGTGATATGATTTGCATAGCAATCAATTTGTAACTATAAATTATCACATTACTTCAACATTACAATCAATATTATATTTAAATAATCTATGGTTAAATTAATTAATTAATAAATATTACATATTCTATATAATAAATCTGTGACAGTTTCTATTTATAACAAAGGCAGTTACAAAGTAATTGACCAGGTATGTAGAAAATGAGGAATTTTGTCTTTTGAAGTGAAATGGATGTCTGAATACAGAATGATAAGAGGGGTTTGCCTGTTGAAGTAAGGGGAATAATGAAAGAGTGAGTCATTTTGCCTGTTGAAAAAGGTGGGTCAAAGATGAGTGAGGACTTTTATTTATTAAAGGGACTCAACTGAGGTTTTTTGACATAACAGGACTGAAAATAATTGTTCAAGATAAATGTTCCATTTGATGTAGGTCTAGACAAGTAACTTGTGAGTAAAATTTCAGATCATTATTTTGATCACTCTGTTATTCCAGAGTAATTATTCTAATCATGAAAAATGACCCAAATTAAAAAGCGTTGCAATGCTTTCCTCAGATTATAGCACAAAAAATATCATTTTCAATTTAATTCTTATTATATTTTTTTAAAAAGCTTTTGCATATCTTTCTGTTTTAAGTGTCCAAGTTGATCTAAGAAATTAAAATTTTATGTTTTTAGGGTTTTGGACATCAGTGGAGTCCCTTTAAAGTTAGGTGGATTAATGTGGAGTTGGGATTTATGTCCTCTAGTATTGAAGATGATAACATTAACCTCTTTTTTTTTCAGCTGATGAATTGGTGAGGATGAAAATTATGTTATAATAAACTGAATTATAACTTAATATAAATAAACCAACATGCTAAAGTACAATAATTCATGCTAGATATCTCCAGATATGTTATTCTAAACTTATACACAATGAAATGTCAAAGAAGCATTCCTCCAGATTCCTGCTAATTTTCATAAAATTTTGAAAAAGTATTTAAAAGTAAAGTATTGTCAAGTGAACAAAGAAAGTAACCATGTAAATTTTTTAACAAATAAAGGTCAAAATATTCAATAATAGTCTGTACTGTGTTTAGTCACAAAATAGAAACATGGTTATATTTTAATAAAGTACTCAGAAATCAGTCATTTATTGCATACAACATATAAATCATTGCTTGAACTATTCTAAAATCTTAGTAGTATATACATTATTCTCATAGTTGATTTTCTTGAAATATTTGGCTTATCTGGAGGCATGCAGCTTTAATACGAAAACAAATTGTCATGACAGCAATTTGTCATGACGAACATTTATGAAAAATCATATCATAAAGATTTTTCTTGCATGAATTAATGTACAACAATATTTATTACTGTTCAATCCTGATGCATTTAAAGAATAAAAATAAACTTATAACAGCATAAATTTTAAGTTCTCTTCTTGGTTATAATAATAAAGTCAAACCTGTGTTTAAGAACACCTTGAAATAGAGATCATCCCTGAAAATTCAGGCTGCTCTTTAACAAACTTTCATTAATTAAAATGAGCAGAGTAACCATTAAATAAAGACAACTTGTCTTTAAGTCATGTTAAGTCTCTCCCTTGGATCACCTGTCTTTGTTATCAGGTTTAACTGTATTAATATAAACATTTATCAGATATGATAAATAGTGGTCTTAACTTTTTACATAATATCTGACAAATATAATTGATCTTAATTCTTGGCATAATATCAGCCAAAGAGTGTTCTTAATTCTTGACATAATATCTGATAAATAGTGATCTTAATCCTTGACATAATATCTGACAAACAGTGGTCTTAATTCTTGACATAATATCTGACAAACAGTGGTCTTAATTCTTGACATCATATATGACAAATAGTGGTCTTAATTATTGACACATATTTGACAAACAGTGGTCTTAATTCTTGACATCATATCTGACAAATAGTTGTCTTAATTCTTGACATCATAACTGACAAATAGTGGTCTTAATTCTTGACACATATTTGACAAACAGTGGTCTTAATTCTTGACATCATATCTGACAAATAGTTGTCTTAATTCTTGACATCATAACTGACAAATAGTGGTCTTAATTCTTGATGTCATATCTGACAAACAGTAGTCTTAATTCTTGACATATTACCATTCTTACCGACTGAATCTTTTTATTGCTGGGGTGAGAATTCTTCAAATATTCCAGTTGAAAATAGGAAATTCTGTTATGTTAAAATGTAATGTTTTTTTTTCTTTACAATTCCTTTATAATTAATATAATTTCGTAGAATCTTAATTTTAGTTTGAATATTGACAATTTGTGGTGTCTGACCAATCTCTACAACTGATGGTTAGCTCAATTTTTCTAAATTTTCTTGGTGACAAGCGTTAAGATACATGATGCAATATTACATATATATTTATATAGCAGATAATAAAGCGTTCTAGAACAAAATATTATCATTTATCAGATAAATGTCTATTCTAAATCACTTAGACATTATCATTATTATCTTTCAAGCAGTATTTTTATAAGAAAATCCAAATGGTAAATTTCTATTGTTCTTATCAATATTTGAAATACTAATGGAATATGTGTCCATAATGTACACCAATCCACTTTAAAAACAATTTACCTTGTATAATGAAATAAAAAAAAAATGAACTTTTGAAAATATGACAATTATAAATTAAAATGATAATTGCAGAAGACCAACAGATACGTTGTTTTAATATCTTACATAAAAATATCATACAAGAGGGTCATAATGACCCTTTGATGGCTCACCTGAGAAATATTGCTAAAAATTTAGGTCACAATATATGTTTTCCGGATCCGGAACTCGGCAAATGTGGGTTAAATTTTTCTGAGCTAATCCTCAAGTACAACCAAACTTTTACTGTTATAGCTTCACAGTGTACTACCGATCACAATAGATTAGTCAACATGTTCCCCTATTTTTTGAAGCTGTAACTGTGAAAGTATGTTTGTACCCCCTGAATTAGCTGGGAGAAAACCCCAAAATATTCATAATTCCCGAGTAAGCCCATTCTTCAATGCAAAAGTCAGTATATAGGTCACATTGGGTGAATAATTTTTTACCAGAGCTTTATAACTCTTTAAATATTTGTAGAACTGATGTTTGCTCTGAAATATATTCAATTATTTAAGCTTGTAGCGTTGAAATTTTGTTCAATCAAGAAAACTCACTAGGTCTGTTTACTTAAAAACAAAGTAACCATAAAAGAAAACATTTTGTCATTTTTGCTATATAAGTCTATATAGACAAAGGGAACCCAATGCTGCAGTGCTATTTTTGACCAAGAAAATCTACCTTATATCCAATTGAAATACTTATTGTTCTTCAAAAGTGCCCTTTTTCAAAACAACAACGCACATATTGAATATTGGTTCAATAAAAACAAACTGAACCCATAGCTGCAGTGCTATTATTGACCCCAAAAATTGACTTTAGATTGAAATACTTATTGTTCTTAAAAAATGCCCTTTTCAAAACAACAACTCACAACTTCATGGATGAATTTTGACTGAACTTTGGTTTGATAAAGGTCATTTTAAAAGTCATTACACTTTCCTGAACCACCTGTTAATACAAGATATGGCTTTGCTAATTGGACATAGCAACTGGCAAAGTCATTTCAATATTGTCTTTTTTATTTTCTCAGTGGGGAATCATTTACAACATTTCTCAGTGGGGAATCATTTACAACAAACGGAAAACAAAAAGGGGGGTTAAAATTTAAGAACAAAAGTGAACAACGGTAGTGAACATGGGTAGGATATTGTCTTAAATTGTCAACAGTTAGGTAAGCAAAGGATTTGGTCTGTATCATGCAAACAATAGGTTAACAATGGTTTAAATAAAGAAAACATCCAAGTTCATTACATGCAAACATTAAAATTTCATGCTGACTGTAGAATTGATTCCTAAAGTGTTTTTAGTTATTACGATGTTAATATTTCTTAGCCATTACATTATTAATATATTTTAGCCATTACAATATTGATACATCAACTGCCTTATGAAAGAAATCTGAAGGGCAAACCTATCTGGTTAATTTTGAGGCAATCAATGCATAGAATTTATGTTTTTCCTCACAGATTTTTGTACTTATTTTAAAAAATGATGTTCATGATTAAACTGTACAAACATATCTATTAAATAATCGTTCTAATTTAACATCTGTAACTTAAAAATAAATGTAAAGCCTGCATTATACATAGAAGGAAATTTCCCAATTAAGCATATCCCCCACCCATTTCCCCTCACACCCAGTTCCCTTCACAAAGTGACGAATGACTTTCACCTTTACCTACAAACTGAAGAATGGCACTATAATTAACTCATATTCAGGGGACCACCAAATTTATATTGCTATATCAATATATTGTTATATTGTTATCTCAAGAGAGGTAACCAATATGAAAACAAGAGCAAGGACTGCCCCAATATCGTTATAAGCAGTGTGTCATATAAGTGATATCGTACAAGTGGAGTTTACAGCACTTTGTGGACAATGGCAATTAAAATAAATTGGAAAATTTAAGATTCTAAAAACAGATCAGTACAGAACACATTACAACCTTGAATACAATTGTTAAAAATACTGAGCTTAATTAAAGGAACTCCACTGATGTCCAAATTCTAAAAACATAAAATTTGAATTTCTAGCAAAGATCAGCTTGTACACTTAAAACAAAAGAATATGAAAAATATTATTTAGAATATACAATGAAATAAATTGAAAATCATATTGTTGTGTTATTTTTAGCCTTATTTGAGTGAAAAGCATTGCAATGCCTTTCAATTTAATATCATTTTACAAATTAAAATGATTATTCTGGAAAAACCAAGAAAGCGGATAGTCTTATATTTTGCACACAAGTTACTGATCTAGCCCTACATCAAAAGGCCCTGATCTCAAAAAATTATTTCCAGTCCCGTCATGTTAAAAAAAAAATAACCTCAGTGGAGTCCCTTTAAGACTCAAAACTCATATCCAGTCCCTTTACAGCTCAAACTCATATCGTCCGATCCTTCTTATACAAAACCCTACAATACTTAAAATATTAAAATTTAATGACCAGAACTAAGACAATTATAGTTAAATTTACAAATAACAATGCAATAAAGACAATTATGATCAATTCCCTTTAATCTGAAAGGAAGAACTTGGATATACCCTTTATACACATATAGACAGTCTATATAAACTTGACACAGGTGTACCACTGTAATGAATACTTAAATAGTCTGTGTCAATTTTATCAGGCCTATCTGTAACAATAATTAGTACAACTTTACCTTCTATAATGACCAATTTCCAAGGTGCAAAAATATAAAATATACATCATACATTATTAAACACTCCTTATCAATAATCAAGTACACACTACATAATGGTTACAGAGTAAATATTTTCATGCTAAAACTAATCAAAATACAAATTATTTTGTGCAAGAGATTGTTTATTTATTAATCAATTGTTTCCAGAGTGGCTTAACCCCATGAAATATTGTAATATCAGATGAGCTGTTAAGTAAGTAAATCGGCTTTTACCTCAAATAACAATTAAATTAAGGAGTTACTCTTCCTACAAAGTTTTTAAAGTAAATCTGATGAATAACTCTAAATTTGATAGATAAAGGGGAATAACTCTGAATTTGAAAATCAGAATACAAACTACATAGTTGTGGGTTTGTAATGATCTAACAAAATAAAATATTTTTTGAACAAAAAAAAATGTTAAGAAGCTTACCATCTTCTGAAACCATGCTCTGAAATATAACCAATGAAAACACAGTAAAGTATTTGATTATTATAATGATAGTTTCATTTTTCTCATGAAATATTTTTCTATTATGAAAATAAATTATTTACTTGTCATGTGACTAAATCTACAATTTAATCTTCCTTATTTTACTGGATCTTAACCTTACACACTTAACCCACTTCTCGCTTGTTTTATTTGTTTTGTTTTGGGTTTAATGTCACGTCGACACAGTATAGGTCATATTGCGACGTTCCTGCTTTACTGGTGGAGGAAGACCTCAGGTGCCCTTCCGTGCATTATTTCAGGCACGAACGGGCACCTGAGTAGAATCACCGACGTTCCGTAAGCTAGCTGGATAGTTTCCTCACATGAAAGAATCTAAACCCTTGTCAGGAATCGAACCTACAGCGGTGAGGGGCACACTTCTTGCTTGAACCGAAGGTAACAAGCATTATTTTGCTTCCAGTATAAAGCCATCCTGCCATGTAGTCTGACCAGACACTGCACTGGTGGCCGGGCAAACTCAAAACATTAAGAAAGACACATTTTGAAATAGATATCCTTGTTTGGATATACAAATGTATCTGTGTTATTTTGTTTTTTTGGTTTATGGTGCACCAACACAATTTAGGTTGCATGGCACCAAAACAGGAAAGATGATTTTGGTTAATTTAGAGTGTAACGAACTTCAAAGCAACACCAGGGGTTAATTTGATAGAGCTAAGACATGTATAGACTCCAGAAATTTGATCCCATTTAGTCACCTCTTCTGATCATGCAGGGACAAACATTTGCTAATGTTTATGCCTCTTCTATAAAAGGCAACCCTTCAGCTACATGGGTGTATCTTGTTTTTTTCTTCTTGTTTAAATATTGTCATGTTATGTTCAATATGATACAGAGTTGAAATCTACTGCGTCCAATGGCAGTTTGAGTTTGAAAACAAGTAATATTAACATTAAAGGGAAAGAACTCAAACAATAAATCAGAAGTTACCTGCCATATTTATTCACCCTTTTTTGTGTCTGTTATTGGAAATTATATAAATGGAGACAATTCAAAACTCAGAGTCACAGACAGACAGACGGATGACGTAAGCACGATATTTTTGCTTCCAGAAATGGATGCAGAAGTGTGTCTTCCTACACAATCGGACTAAAATCAATTCTGTATAAACCAAATATAATCAAATGCCTGTCAAAAGCACATTAAAATCAATGTATGCCATACCTGTTGGGTGACAAGTTGATAATATATCCCGTTCCTTTCCATAAGTTCATCGTGCGTTCCCTTCTCTATTATTCGGCCATCTTTAAATCCGGCGATCATATCGGCGTTTTTGATTGTGGATAATCTATGGGCTATAACAATGGTAGTTCGGCCATGACTTGCCTAAAAAATATATGTCATTGGGTGAGGAAAAATGTTCATCCTTTGACTCAAACCTGGGAGTCTCACACTCTTGGAATACTGTTCTACCAACTCAGTTTCTTTGTACTATAAGTGTTTTCTCCCAAATATCATAATCTGTTCTATATATAGAAGATATTGAATGAGTGTAGGTTCAATACTGACTTTGAACAAGTTAAGTAAAATTATACTATGAGAGCCTCTGGCGAGCATAATATTTTATTCAACAAGTTGAATAAATTCAGTAATGAACTTACACGAATATAATATTCTATTTCTCATATACTCAAACTAAAGACTGCAAAAGAATCATATTTAGTTACACCTATAGTGTATCTCTAACATTTAACGCGTCTTTACACTATGTTGGTATAACACACTTGACGTAACATCAAAAATATATGAATGGCCATGCAATACCATTTTTGCAGTGTGGAAAATTAGGCACGTATATGTGATAAAGTGAAATATGTCATTTATGTAAACATTTCAACATTTGATTTGATGATGTCATGAAGTTGACTACATGTTACACAGCAAAATCAGACAAAATTACTTAAACAAGCTAAAAATAGCATGAAATAAATAGAAAATGCGTCTGTTTTGTATGTAAGATCAAATTGTATTTCACTTGTGAATGTTCTCTATGTAATAAAATACTGTTTTATTTCTACCTTTTCCAGGGCCTCCTGTACTACTCCTTCACTTTCAGTATCCAGGGCAGATGTGGCTTCATCAAGTAACAATATTTTGGGATCACGCACGAGGGCACGTGCAATAGCAATTCTCTGTTTCTGTCCCCCACTAAGCTGAGCACCTCTTTCTCCCACCATTGTTTCAAATTTCTGAAAACAATCACTTCTTCATAAATACCTTATTGTTTAAACAAATTCATTCATTATTGAAATTTGCTTTTTAGTGTTAAAATTGTCACTAACAACTTGAATATTGTCAATGTGCAGCAATTACATGAAAATTCCCCCTCCTATTTAGGTACTATTCCCCAACCAATCAACCTTTCCCATCCCCACCCCTCCCCCCAGGCAGAAAAAAAAAGGAACAATGTGAAAATCCCACCCAACCCCATCCACAGTAACTATTCCCCATCCCCCACCCCAAAAACAAAAAAAACCTGGTGAAGTTACGTCATTATAAAACCACAGTACTTACTAATGGTAATTTCATGATAAAATCGTAAGCGTTGGCCATCTGTGTTGCTTTTACTATCTCATCATCTGTTACATTCTCACGCCCGTAACGGATGTTTTCTTTAATTGTTGTACCGAACAGCACAGGTTCCTGGCTCACTATACCGATCTGTTCTCGCCACCACTTCAGGTTCATATCTTTAAGGTCTCTACCATCAATATGAATCTAGCGGAAAAAAAATTAAAAGTCATGTTTTGTTATCAGCAAAATATATACAGTCAAATATTTAACTTGTAAAATTTATCTGAAAGTATATTGAATAAACTGGTACAAATTCGTAGTACAATACACAGATGAATTATTATTCAAGTTATTCAAGCATTTTGTTTGGTTTTACGCGCACCAACACAGTTTAGGTCATATGGCACCAAGACAGGGAAGACGATTTTGGCTAACCTCAGGCAAACTTTAACCAACACAAGGGGTCAAAACCACCTCACCTGCTAGAGCTAAGAGATGCGTAGACTCCAAAAATTAAAACCCATTTAGTTGTTTTTTCCAAAAACACAGGGTTAAATGGTGGCTGCAATTCAAAATACCTTGACCCGTAAAGTCAACCCCTAGGCCACAAGCGGAAATTTCATGCGTAATTTTGGATTATCAATCATACATTAACACAAACTTTAAACTTCTTATTAAAATTAACAGGACTTCCAATCCAAAGAATCAACAGACTAATTTAAGCTTTAAACAAACAAAAAATAAAAAAAAAGATTTATCTAAAATCTAAAAAATACTTTTTTATCAGGCAAGTATATCAATTATATACCAGTATAAAACAAAGCATTTACATAATTTAACTGGTCAAGAGTGGTGCAGCCAAAAAGTAAATTTTAAACACTAAATGCAAACCATTGCAAAAACTTGTAACAATAAGGAAATATTTCTGGACAGGTGAAAAATATAAGAATATTACAATGGCTGCAGGACCAGAATATCTAGCTTGAGGGTAACTGTTTCCCTTTGCAACGAGGCTCTGTCGAGTTTCCGCTAAACAGTTACCCAAGAGCTAGATGTTCCCGTCTGTGACGATAGCCAGTGTTTGATTTTTTATCTTGCATATTACATACAAATTTTAAATCATATTTCAAAAAGAAGTTAAGAAAACTAATATTTTCAGTAAGCACTTTTTTCTCAAAGTAGCCCATGAATTTACTACTTCATTCATGATGACAAAAAAAATGACATCATCTTAAAAAGGCAATTAATTCATTAAAGGCACACAGGAAATGACATCATATAGAGCACAAGACTTGAAAGACAGGTTTTTTTCCAGCACTGGTTAAAACACTGGATAAGCCTGTCTAATATGCAAGAAAAGAATACATAGAATACTTACAGAGCCTTGTTCTGGATCATAGAATCTCTGCACAAGTTGAACAATGGTGGATTTGCCACACCCACTTGACCCCACCAAGGCCACAGTTTGACCTCTTCTAATCTCAAGGTCAACACCTTGTAATACCTAAAAATAAACTTTTTTATTATACACTTAATAATGAAATATTAAGAAATAGTGATGAAATAAAATGCCTTTTTTTATTTTCTGTATTTTCACAGTAAAAATTTATTTTTCATTGCAGTGAAACATATTTCCCATATTTTCACTGGTATCTTGCTGCAGTACTTATCTACGAAATTCAGCCAATACGCAAAATTTTAAGTATTCTAAGCTTCAAATGTCTTAAAAGCGAAAAATTTATATTAAATTTTTTTCTATAAATACAGGATTTATCTTCATCTTGTGGTATGAAAATCATCATATTTTACTTGTGACTTCCGCCACTCGTGGCATTTTGTTTATACCACTCTATCTAGACCATCCAGTCTTTATCAACAATACAAAAACAAATCCTTAAATTTGCAGCAGATGTGTTCATAGAACAAGAGTGGTCAGTAGGACAGCTTGCTTGACTATTCTCAGTGCTTGATAGTAAAACAGGAGCCTGGATAATGAAACAGTTTCAACAATGTGAAAAAAGGGCATTAATTTCGTCAAAATCCATATTAGAGTTATGGGCCCTGGAAGTGACTTCCTATTATGCTATGTAGTAAGTTTGTGCAGTTTCAACCTTTTCCCTTCAGCAGTTTTGATGATACCAACATGCACAAAAAACTTAACCAATGTGTGACATCGACACCAATGCCAACACCTGGGTAAAATTTTAGCTCTTCTCTTGAGCAAAAGACGTCCTGTAAAAACCTGATTATAGCAATTTCATTTCTTATTTTATGTTTAGATGACGTTTGTGAGTCTGAAAATCCTGCAAAAATGTTCATCATGTGACGTGTTAATAACTTATACCTTAACATCTGGTCGGGATGGATAATTGAAGTAAAGATTTCTCATAATTATATTTCCCTCAAGTTTCTGCGGCTTTTCTCCCTTTGTTGATGCACTGTCTATTGGTGGCTCCTAAAATATATACAGGGTACATTTTAAAACTAGACAACAAATTATGTGCCTTTTTCGTTGTTATATTTTTATACAAAATGTCTAACACATTCAACAAGAGCCAACGCAGAGCGGAGGCAACGCTCAATTTATTTTACTTTTTCTAAAAGCAAACAATTTAAAATCTAAACAAATCTTTAGAAAGTAAATTTAAAAAAAAAAGTTTATCCCTAATTTTAATAGGTCTGTCTAGTCACACTTGTTGTTTGGTCCCAAGTATGAATCTTATCGATAAATAAATGACGAAGTTATATAAATGCACATCAATTTTATTAAAGGAACTCCTCCAAGGTACAAAAGTATAAAAACATAAAATTTGAATTTTAAGTTAACGACCATAACCACTTGGCCACCAATGCCCCTATATATTATTAGTTATAAAGATTGTTGACAGGTTATATGGCCCTATATAAACAGCTATTTGTAAATATAACCCGAGCCGCTAAGCAGGGTTATATTGCAAACAGCGGTTTATATAACCTGTCAGCAATCTTTATAACAAATTTATAATACTGCAAGCATCATTTTTTACAGAAAAAAGTAAGATTTCTTTATGAATCGACAACAGCCGTGTATATAAAACTATATAAACGTCACGATTATCCAATGAAAAGCGACGTTACGAACGTGCAGTATTATAAATATGGCCATATAGCCTGAAATATAATTTTTTTTATAACTAATATTATACACATTAAAACAGACCTGCTCTATTAGTTGATATACAATATAAGCAGCTCCTCTTGCGATAGCGAAACTCTGTACGTTAGGTGCAGCATTGCCCAGGGAGAAAGCTCCGATCAGCACACCAAAAAATACCTGAAATAAAGAGTAAATAAATAATAATTTATTGATATATGTAACAGTTATTCATTAGTGTTTATAATTAGAAAAATCTTTCAACTCTCACTACACTTTCTGTAATGGACATATCCTACCATGAATTTTAAACAGTATGTTTAAAGTTGGATGGATTTCTTAATTACATTAAAGGCCCATTGTGTCCAAGAAATGCATTTACTTTTATTTCTCAAAATCTCTGCATTTCTTGTGTCCTATTTAAGTTTCTTAAAAGTTCCCCACTGGCCAATTACCGAAACTATCTATTGCTTCTGTTGATTTTTGGCAATGAGTACAGTTATAGTGATAGAAGTAAAAATACTACTTTGTTTACATTTTGCTACTTTAATGACAAATAATTTCATATTCAGTGCTAATTTCTTAAGTAATAAGCATTTAACATGCTCTTAAACTGTTATATAAAACTCACTTTTGCCATTTCTTTAGAAGAAAAAACATTATTTGTTTCTGAGGCATAATGTGCCTTTAAGTTTATTTTGTCTTAAATTTTTTTCAAACTTACAATCATTACATCTCCGATAGAATAAACATCTGGTTCCTCGCGAGCTAATTTTGCTCCATACCAGAACCCGAGGGCGTAAGCTCCAAATATAATCAACCAAGTCATGCCCATGGCTACACCATTCACCAACCCCTTCCGCACACCCAAATCTCGGGCTTCTATCAAATTACTGTCATACCTGAAGTCAAAAACATTACAACATGATTAACACTTGAGTTATTTTTAAAAGCATAAATTAGTAGCCGGGTCGACTTTGTCTCTTCATTGATCGGTTTGGCTAAAAAATATTCATTTAAGCTAGATTTACTTATATTGACCACTTTTGAGTCCGCTTCCTGGAACCACCCAGTACTGGTGTCATATAAAGAAACATGGTTGTGACCCGATTAGGGCTCGAACCCATAATCCCTGGGTTGAGAGGCATATATATTAACCACTAGGCCACCACTCCCTATATGGTTTGTCTCTATGACAACAAAGATGAAAATACCTTTTACACTCCTTTTCTTGTCCACCAAATGCTACGACAGTTCGTATAGCTCCCAACACTTCCTCAGCTACGGCCCCAGCACGAGCGTATGCTTTCAACTCCAATGATGACGCCAGCCCTATCAACTGTTAATGTTAATATAGTCAATTGTTAGGCAGAAAAGAAAAGGTGAGAAAAAAACTTGTTCATTAATTTGTGAATGATGACTCTGCATAAGTTCAGATCACTCTTAAGTCCTCTACAGTTCGAATATATATTAACATTTGTTGTTGTTGCTGTTGTATTTGTTGTTGTGTTGTAAGTTGTAAGCCACAGAGACCTTCATAAGTTACATCAAATGGCATTCTTTATTTCAAAGCTTTATTTAGGCTGAGAAAATGGAAACATTTTATTCCCTGTAATTGATCACATGATTGATCCTAATATCAACATAATTAATCCCATTACATTAAAAACTCTGAAAACCAGACCCTGTCCGATCTTAACCAAAAGTCCGGTTTTCAAGGGATTCTCATTTTCAGAGGTTTTAAACGTTTATTGATATTTATAATGTGTGTTTCAACATTGACTTTGTTTAAATCATTTAATGTTTACTTTTTACCCTTTTGTTTAAGTCATATTTTAATTTGTTTTTGCAATAAATGTCCTGAGTAAATTAATCATGCAAATTCAAAAATATAATTTATAAAATAAGAAATTTAACCAAACATTCCCAAAAATATAACTTTTTAATTGACTTTTAAAATATGTAATTAATATTTTTTCATAAAATTAATGCCCAAATAACTTAAAGATCAAATTTTTAAGCAAAACAGGAATCATTTAACAAAAGTTTCACAATTCTTTTTCGACATTTTATACCAAATATTAAAAAATACAAAACGAAAAAACCCAAATTAAAACATTTTGAAAAATCATACCTATACTTATCATGAAACAGCTTTAATAAGAAATTAATACACACTTACAAGTGTTTTAACACCTGCATAGATAAAAAGCAGGTGCTAATAACTGGTAATCGAACATTTCTCTTGTTGGGAGTATATCTCAATCCATATTAAAATACACAGAAAGTTGACATTTCAATTGCTGTCCAATTTTCAGAAGATTTTTATGATTTATGATTAGCATTAGAAGCCATAGAAAATTGTCCGTTTTCCAGAATTCAGAGGTTCAATTATTAAGAGAATATTTTTTCAATGGACTTATAAGGAAAAATATGGGACTTTTAAAATCATCCGGTTTTCAAAGGATTCCGGTTTTCAGAGGGTGCGGTTTTCAGAGTTTTTACTGTATTTACTTAATTGATCCGAATATCAACATGATTTATGTTGTACCAACTTGATTTATCCTAATATCAACATAAATGATCCAAATATTTATATAATTCATCCTAATATTGACATTATTGATCCTAATATCAACATATTTTATCCTAATACCAACATAATTGATCCTAATATTGACAAAATTGATACTAATATAAACATGATTGTATCTAATACCTACATGGTTGATCCTAATATCAACAAAATTGATTCCAATATTTACATGACTGATCCAATATTAACATGATGGATCCTAATATTGACATGACTGATCCATATATTAACATGATGGATCCTAATATTGACATGACTGATCTTAATATTAACATGATTTGTCCTAATATCAACATAACTAATAACACCATTGATCCTTATATTGACATGATCCTAATATCAAATGTTAAACTATTTACCTTTGTCATTATAAAAGCTGCTCCTGCTAGTAGGGGACTTATCGCTAAGATTACAAGCGTCAGTTTCCATCCATATGCAAAACCTACAACAAAACCCGCTATTCCACCTGTAAACCACTGTGTAAAGCCGCCTAATTTATCACCTATACCATCATGTATTTTTGATATGTCACTGAAAAAGATTCAATGTTAAAATATCTGTATATCTTACTATATCTCTAATTATGGCGTTGAAATGATATCACTCATTTTAGCAATGTTTGTTTGTTTGTTTCATTTTATGCCTTTTCCCAACAGTATTTCAGTCATATAGGCGGGTAGCTTCCTTACCATCGTTTCTGGAGAGTTACACCAGTACTAGACTACCTTCCTCCGTGCTAAACTACCAAAGCATCTCCCAGGGATCAATACCACGCCAGAGAGGTAACTGGATTAGAAGTCATCTACTCTAACCCCTCGACCACAGAGGCGGTTTTTAGCAATGAATTATGTTCAGTAACATAATAGGATTAAAGGCAAATTTAGGGATAAAAAGCAGGAAACCTTTTTATGCACAATAGAGCTGAAACTCTTATCTTCCTTCAATTTCTTTTAAAATCTTAAAAGCCTAACAACATTAATTCCTTAGTAAGTGACAGATTTTTTTTTTTCAAAACGGGTTTTCTGTCAATTTCCCTTCGGCTTAAAGACGTAAAAAATGACGATAATTCTGCCAAAAATGATAAATTCATATAAATCTAATCAATCTGAAAGCTTGATCACAAGGCTTTTAAAAATTAAAATGTTTCATATAAAGAACTCATTGTTAAAAAAAACCCCCGACAACATGGCTTACTTAGTAATTCTTGAATTTAGTTCCCCAGATTCGTGCGTGTCAAACCATCCAATGTTTTGTCTCATCACGTTGTTATAGAAACTTTTACGAATCCTGTGCGTCTGCCTCTCTGACGCAATCATCCAAAACATCACCTGACCATATCCGACCAGAAAAACGACACCACCAATAACTGAAATATTGCCATATTAACTTAAAATTTGATGTTTTTTGTCAATTTGTAAACTTCCACTCCTAACAGAGACATTAACTTTTGTTTTTCCAAACCCTAGCAAAGTGCCCATCCTGAAAGTATTTTAATATAGTATCAAACTCATGGCTAAATGAAGCAGCAAGAGGGAAATATGCTCTGTTTATTGGCACAAAAAAAAACAACACAAAAAACACCACATTGACTCTATACTGCAGGGATGGACAAAGGGTAAAAACATGGGTAATATCAACACTATCCCACATATAGTCACAGGGTGACAGTACATGTTTACAATTACATAAATGTAAGATATAAATATTGATGATATTTTTTTAATTGTTTTAATTTTTCTAAAAAAGTACATGTACGTGCTGTGTCTTTGTGTAAATGGTTCTGAAAAGTGAAACAAATTTGAGCTGCGTCATGACAAAACCAACATACATGTAATGGGTTTGCGACCAGCATGGATCCAGACCAGCCTGCGCATCCGCGCAGTCTGATCAGGATCCATGCTGTTCGCTTACAAACCCTATTACAAGTAGAGAAACTGATATCGAACAGCATGGATCCTGATCAGACTGCGCGGATGCTCAGGCTGGTATGGATCCATGCTGGTCGCATAGCCATTATGTTGGTTTTGTCATGATGCAGCTCATTTATGCATTTTATGTTTCATTTTTAATATAACTAGATTAAAGTATTTGAAAGCAGTACATCAAAATATGCAAAACAAGACCTATTCAAGAAAAAGTGCACCACACTTTGTGCTTTTATAACATTATAGTGACCAATCATTTAATCTACATTCATTTAACAGACTGAATCAAGGGGCCAAGGATCAGTCCAATGATTAGGGGCCGGCTGACTGATTGGTTACTATCACGCTAAGAGGTCCCAAGTACTGTTATAACAAGAGCTGTCCGTAAGACAGCGCGCTCGACTTTTTTATTGCTTGCCAATAAAAAAAGTTTTTGCAGTAAAAGGCAATACAAGAATCTCTGTATTTTTAAAGTGAACAATGGCCATGAGCATTAAGATATTTAGTGAAGAATTATTTTATTATGACATAATTTATGGTAAAGTGAACAAGTGGATAGGAATGAATTTTTTTAGATTTTTTAAGTTTTTTAGTGCTTGCCTATAATACAAAACATTGACAGTTAAGGGCCATAATTCAAATAAAATCTTTGACAGAATTACCTTCTCCTGGACATGTTTGGGAATCATGATTGTAAACAAGTATTCCAACTTTCAAATTAATATCTCAAACAGTTCAGTCAAAAAGTGGACTGGTACTAAAAACTTAACCAAGATTCTAAGTCGATAAAAGGCCTTAATTTTTAAAACAAATCCTTGACAGAGTTACCTTCTCTTGCGTACAGATGGGGGTAATGATGTGAAATAGCATTAAAAGTTTCAAAGCAATATCTCAAAGGGTTAAGGCAATAAGTGGATTTTACCCATATTCAATGTATTTTCTAAGTCAAAAAGGGGCATAATTCTGTCAAAAACCTTGACAGAGTTATGTCCTCTTGTCTGTTGATGAAGGTCGTGATGGTAAACAAGTATGGTCAGTTTCAAAGCAATACCTCCAATGGTTTTGAAATAAAGTGAGGTGGTACAAAAAAACTTAACCAAGCTCAATACACTTTCTAAGTCAAAAAAGGGCCATAATTCTGTCAAAAACCTTGACAGAGTTATGTACTCTTGTCTGTAGATGGAGGTTATGATGGTGAACAAGTATGGTAAGTTTCAAAGCCATACTTGTAATACTTCTGAAATAAAGTGGGGTGGTACGAAAAACTTAACCAAGGTGTGACGCCAACGCCGACGCCGACGCCGGGGCGAGTAGGATAGCTCCCCTTTTCATAGAAAAGTCGAGCTAAAAATGTTACAATGGTTGCCGGTACAGACTGGAATATCTAGCTCGTTTACGGAGGTAACGAGGCTCTGTGGTAATGAGGCTCTGCCGAGTTTCCGCTAAACAGTTACCAGAGAGCTAGTTATTCCTGTCTGTACCGACAGCCAGTGTTTGATTCTTTTTCTTGCATAATACAATGTCATATCAATTATTTTCAGTGAGGAAAGTATGAAAACTGATATTCTCATAACGCACTTTCTTCGTCTAGTAGCATTTGAACTTACAACTTCATTCACAGCAGTAAATGAAGTCATCCAAAGAACGCAATTCATTCATAAAAGACGCACAGCAATCAGACACCATATAAAGCACGTGACTTGTCGTACTGTGGGGTTGTAACACAGGTTTTTCTAACACCGATGTAAACAGTAGGTAATCCTGCCTGATATGCAAGGAGTATTGCTTCTTACATGACTTGCTATTTGGACATGTATATAATGTAAAGCATCATTTTTCATGCAATATACATAGGTGGGAAAAAAATATTTTATTTTTAGAACGTTATATAATATACATGTACAAGTACAACATCTACTGTATCTTACCAATAAAATATATGGCAAACTCTTGCATGACCTCCAGAAGGTCATTTTGTACAGCCTCTCGTACCGCTGCAAAATCTACCAGTCCATTTGACAGATTCTTTATATCAGTTTCATAATTACTGAAATGAAATAAAAACAGTTCAATTATTGTTTGCCCAGGCCAGGAGCATAAAAATAACACAGCTTTAATTGGTGAAATCACTGATTTATATAAAAGGGACATTACTCTTAAAGAATCATACTCTTGAAAAAAAGACTATTTTAATGGTGTAGAAAAATAAACTTTAGGATTTCAAGAATCTGATCAGCTAGAAAGTCATGATTTAAGAAATAATATATCCCAAACAGTGATTTTCTTGCTAAATATCGCCCTTGTGATATAATGGTGTGCTTTTGAACGACAAACAGCAATATAATCAATGATGGTAATATATTATTTCAACACGACATGAACAAATAAATGCTGCCATACTTGATATAAAGCTAAATTGTGCCAGATTTGTTTCTGTACCTATTTATTAGAGCTTCGCATTTTAATGTTTACATTACATGTCTTATGGTTACATCACATGTCTAAATATAAAATGTCAACAGTAATTGCACAATTAAACACACTTTCGGTCCTTCTATGTTCAATAGAGAAAAAAGTTGGTCGTGTTAGAATTTACAATAACAGTGTGGTAAAACTACTCACCTTAGTAATGTTGGATCTTCGATAATGCCTTTGTATGTAAGGGTGACATTGTAGGTGGAGCTCAAATTTGCCAGGATACCCATTGACTCCAATAATTTCGCGACCTCGCCAAATTCCCCAGATTTCACAAAGAGGTCAATCATCTCACCGAATACTATGATCATGATTGGGAATGCTGACCCATGTACCATAGCACTTAATGTTCCTAGTATCATGAACAGCACGTCTTTCTTTTCAGCATACTTGAACTGAAATCAATGAAAAATATGTGCCCTTTAATTTCACAAAGCTATTAATAATAACAAATAGAGCATAATGAATGAGTGTAGGTTCCATACGGAATTTATTGAATGAGTTGTATAAAATTATATAATGGTAGCCTCTAAAATTATATTTTGGTCTGAAAGGGGAATTATTATACTTTTGACCTTAAGAATCTTATTCCAATGTTCTTCAATATTCTTCCAATTTTTTTAACCATGATTTTGCACTATAATATATCAGTATGAATAACATGGCTCTAGAACTATGTCTTTAGAAACCTTTCGGTTAGCTCCATAGGTAGAGCATTGGACTGTGAATCAAGCGTTCCTGGTTCGATTCCAAGACAGTGCAGGTTACTTTTGTTGTGATTGATCATGAAATCCTTTCTACGGTCATTAATTTGCACTGCACCTTTGCTCTGGCATGTACAGAAGTCAAAATTAAAGGCAACTAGTACTGAAAATCTGCTTGACGGTCAGCCCAGGAACGATGCAGTGGCTGAAATGTGCTGCAGTAAATTCAATGTGGCTTACTGTCGTGATCCGGAATGAAAAAACTATCAATACCTCCACCAGTATGTCTTGAGACCCAAAGTAAGAAAAAGTAGTAATTTATTCTCAAATGCAAAGGATGGAGCTAAAAATGATGTTTATTACCACTTACCACTTCAAATATGCCAACCATTGGGGCATCCTCTTTTTTATCTTTACCATTTTTACTGTCTGAATCTTTATCATTGATTTTAGAAGTGGTCCCATTCTCAAAACCATTCCTATCTTTCATCTCCATTGCTTTAATGTCCGATGGAGACACTCGTCCTGTAATTGTATATCATATATGGGTAATAATGTAGACATTTGTCCTGTAATTATATAACATAAATGAGTAATCATGTAAAGATACTCATCCAGTAATGATATAATTTTATGTTTTATCATGTAAAGACACTCGCCCTGTAATTATAACTCAAACATGGGTTATCATGAAGAGGCACTATTTTTGTTTATAGTCCTGTTATAACATTACAATTCATACATGTTTAATCATGTAAAGACACTCCTCCTGTAATGATATAGTTTCATGTTTAATCATGTAAAGACACTCCTCCTGTAATGATATAGTTTCATGTTTAATCATGTAAAGACACTCCTCCTGTAATGATATAGTTTCATGTTTAATCATGTAAAGACACTCCTCCTGTAATGATATAGTTTCATGTTTAATCATGTAAAGACACTCCTTCTGTAATGATATAGTTTCATGTTTAATCATGTAAAGACACTCCTCCTGTAATGATATAGTTTCATGTTTAATCATGTAAAGACACTCCTCCTGTAATGATATAGTTTCATGTTTAATCATGTCTCCTTCTGTTATGATATAGTTTCATGTTTAATCATGTAAAGACACTCGTCCTGCAATTAATCAATAAACTTTTTTAATCATGTAAATAGTACACTACTAATCCTGTAATTGAAATAAAACTAAAATTATGAATAAATAAAATATATGTTAATATAAGGAAAACGATTTTTTTTATAATATACCTGTCTGAATAATGTAGAGGCCTTTATGTTATGAATTTTTTTTAATTTATTTATTTTGTCAGATTTCTGTGCCTGATGTTGTATATGTGTTAGGGATGGTGTAGTACTGTGCAAGACTTTTCTTTGTTACAAAAGAAGTTTATAATGTCTTTCTGCATCTTAGAACTGCTATTCTTTTATCATTTTTACTAACAGATAACTTTAACCATCACTCATCATATGAAATGATGATAAAATTTGAAAATTTAGTCTTGGAAGGAGAGAATTATCACAGAGTTATTCTTTTGGTAACTACACCTGGAGCTCAAGCCTTGGATCACAGAGTTTTTGGTTTTTTTGGTTGCTAAGGAAACTGATTCTTCGCATCAATTTTTAATCTCCTCAATTGAAAAGTTGAGAAGAAAGACATGAAAATTAACAAACTGGATTTTTCAGGATGGAGGGAAGAAATGAAGACTGAGATAAAACATCTGGGTTTACACAGACATAAATTCTATGGAGTCTTCACACAAAAAAAACTATCAACAAATTCTTATAGATTCCATTTCACATAAAACCTGCTCTCACATTCCTTGCTACATAAAGATTTCACAAATATAAACAAAATTTCCTCCTGTTAAACAGGTCTTAAAATCTGTCTGGAATAAAACAAGAGAATTCAATCTGTTCACTAATCCAATTTTATAGCTTCACAATGGTAAAGGAAGGTAAAAGTTATCCGATCTCCAGTCTGAAAATGTCTTTAACAAAATTTTTAAAGATCCATTTTGAAAATTTTTAGAAACATTCAATTTTTCTCTACGTATCTAAGGAATACTGAGTGCACTTAGGCTTGGCTATATTTAAGCACTGTGTGACAAATATAAATTTGACCTTGTTTGCATGGCTTATCTTATCAGAAGGAAAATGTTTATTAAATATTGATGAAAATTTAAAAAGCAACAAAGAAAACCAATAATCTGGCATATTACCTGTTATTTAATTAAAGAGTCCTTTGTACAGTATAACCTGTAAACAAAGGCCATCCAAGTGAGAGATCAAACATGACTTTTTTTTAGATAAGTGGTCTTTATTTGGAGGCTACTCTCCACTATTTTAATTAGTGAAGGTTTGTTAAAGAATGGCCTTTATTTACAGGGTGATCACTTTTCCCAGGTGGTCTTACATACAGGTTAGACTGTACATTCCAAGGTGGTCTTAAACATAGTTTAGAAAAATGTACATGAAATTACTCTAATAATTTTTGGGATCTTAAATTTGGAACCAGTCATTTTAATCACTTAACCCTGATATTAACATATCTACTAGCTTGATTTTGGGAACATTGTTTACAAATCCACATACAGTATATGCCAGAATGTGAAGGTATCAGTTGACATTTAGACCCTGATTTCAAAACTTTTGGCTGAAATTCAGCCTCATTCCCATCCCTGATTGAGTAAACCAGTTGCCTCTATTTAAACATGAATTTCCCTAAAAATAGAATCAACAAATCAAGAATCAATTAATCAGTCAGAAAACATAAATATCTGTCAGGTTGTCATGTGATTGGTCAACAAACCCAAGCAGTCAGGGTTGCCTGAACAACTTTTAACATTTTATATTTGTTATCCCCAAATGAATGGAAAATTTCATAAATGATTGCTGCACAAGTCCACTTTTAAAAATTTCAACAGCATATGGGTAAACAATTCCAGCAAATTACAGCAGAACAAGCACATGACACAAATTCAGTCCAGCAGATGACACAAATTCACTCAGACACATGGCACAAATTGAGTCTGGCATATGACACAAATTCAATCTGGCACATGACACATATTCAGTCTGGCATATAACACAAATTTACTCAGACATATGGCACAAATTGAGTCTGGCATATGACACAAATTCAGTCAGGCACATGACAAGAATTCAATCGGTCAAACAATAATCATAACATAATGAATAAAATACTTCACATTTTTCTTAATGCCACATCAAACATAATATTAACTGATGACACAAAATCCTACCTAATTTTCCTGTAGTGTCATCAACAAAGTCATTACTGGCCACTTTTTCATACCTAGTTGATTCCATGGCAACTCTTTCCAATAATTTCCTCCAGAATAAACGTCACTTAGAATATCTTATATTCAGTTACGTAGATGTTATTTATAGCGTCAAAGCAAACCTAGCAGGTGATTATTAGTGCACAATATTTTACATATACATGACTGTATATTAATTACATATATAAAGGATGTACGTAATATATCGTCACCTATGTCCATTAACGGGTTAACCCCTATTAAACTATATCAGTATTAAAATATATAAGGAGTAAACCCGATACTGCGCAAAGGTGATGATTATGTCCCTTAGGAGGAAAACACGTGAAAATTTAACCTTAAATCAAACAGAATATCATCAAAAATTAACACTAAATCAAAATATTCAACAACTACATGTGATTTTGACACAAACAATTAACATCAATTTTGCAGGTAAAATACACGTGTTAAGTTTGCTTTGTACTATAAGGAATTTTTAAGAAGCAAATTTTATTTATAATCACAAATAACATGAGATATCCTCACAAATTTATAGTAACATTGTCCATAAAACCGACTTCCAGTTGTATTTATTCATTAGCCCCGAGGTGACAGTTGTACTTTACTTGTACATTGATCACTACATTGTTTCACATAATTGTAATATTTAACGTCCTGGTGTTTTTTTTTTCAATTAACAGCCATCTTAATTAATCATCACTCAATAAAAATGTTTGGTGTCGTCTTAACCTTTAAAGCTACATGCCTCCAGATGAGTCAAAATAAAAATGTTTGGTGTCGTCTTAACCTTTAAAGCTACATGCCTCCAGATGAGTCAAAATATTTCAATAAAATCAAACTTGAGAAAAATGTACTAAGATGTAAGGAAAAGTAAAAAGTTTCAAGATTCAAGTAATAATATTACATATTATGTGTGATTAATGAATAATTTTTCAGTATTTACTCAAAAGTTAAATTGAAAATTAGATTATTACTGGTACTACAACTTGAGAATAGTGACACCCAAATTATTTTCACTCAAAAAATATTTCTGTTATATCATATATAACATGCCAAGTTTAAAGAAATTCTATTGAACAATTTAAATTCTGCCTTTAAGTCTATAAGAAAACTAGCAAAAACGTCCTTTAGATTATCCAAGTGATACATTTCTATTGTTTTTATAAATATTTGAAACACTTGCGGAAAATGTACATACCACTGTTAACCAATTATCTTTAATGCAAATATACTTTTGTTTAAAGAAATATTTTAAATCCTGACTGAGATACAAATCAAAGATTCCGAACTTTATCTAACATCATGTTCACATTATTAATATCCAGGTACAATTATCAGGTACTGGGGTTTAACAGAATCAAACAATTATCTATTCTCTAGAATATTTCCAAGACTCAGATAAGAACTGTATAATCCCATGTATTGAGCTATTATCACATCTTGGCTGGTCAAATATTTCCTGCACATTTTGCAGATAAGCACTCAGAATTTATCAGGTTCCAGGCAAAATGTCATCATGTTAATTTAATAATTGACATATTGTATAATAGATTTGGAATGCGTTCTGTTGAAAATGCGTCAGAGTTAAATCGTAGACCCCGTACATGCACAATGCGTCAACTGTTACACAGTGCGTCAACTGTTCCACAGTACGTCAACTGTTACACAGTGCGTCAACTGTTACACAGAGCGTCAACTGTTACACAGTGCGTCAACTGTTACACAGTGCGTCAACTGTTACACAGTGTGTCAACTGTTACACAGTGCGTCAACTGTTACACAGTGCGTCAACTGTTACACAGTGCGTCAACTGTTACACAGTGCGTCAACTGTTACACAGTGCGTCAACTGTTACACAATGCGTCATCTGTTACACAGTGCGTCAACTGTTACCACACTGTCTGACTCTAACAAGAACCGGTTGAACCGGGTGATGCTCCCCGAGAAGGTTCTGGACACAGGAAAGTATAAAAAAAATGAACAAAGGGCAATAACTCCAAAATTAGACCAGGCTTTGTTTAGGTTCTTTAAGCGTTGCAGTTCTATCCAATTATATCTAGCTACCTACAAAGTTTCATGTTGATATCTCTAATAGTTTTAAAGTAATGTCCAGGACAAAAGTCAAAAAGTAAAAATAAACAAAGGGCAATTACTTCAAAATAAGGCAAGGCAGAGTAATGATTTTTAAGCACTGCACTTCCACCCAATGAGACC